TCCTCCTCACTTTCTGCCATCAAGGTTGTGTCATCTGCATATCTGAGGTTGTTGATATTTCTTCTGGCATTCTTAATTCTGGCTAGGGATTCATCCAGCCCAGGCTTTCGCATGATGAATTCTGCATATAAGTTAAATAAGCAGGGAGACAATATACAGCCTTGCCGTACTCCTTTCCTGATTTTGAACCAATCAGTTGTTCCATATCCAGTTCTAACTGTAGCTTCTTGTCCCACATAGAGATTTCTCAGGAGACAGATGAGGTGATCAGGCACTCCCATTTCTTTATGAACTTGCCATAGTTTCCTGTGGTCGACACAGTCAAAGGCTTTTGCATAGTCAATGAAGCAGAAGTAGATGTCTTCTGAAGCTGAGACTCCAATACTTTGGCCACCTCATGAGAAGAGAAGACTCCCTGGAAAGGACCCTGATGTTGGGAAAGATGGAGGGCACAAGGAGAAGGGGACGACAGAGGACGAGATGGTTGGATAGTGTTCTCGAAGCTACCAGCATGAGTTTGACCAAACTGCGGGAGGCAGTGGGAGACAGAAGTGCCTGGTGTGCTCTGGTCCATGGGGTCACGAAGAGTCGGACAAGACTAAACGACTAAACAACAACAAGAAGCAAGCTCCTATAACTCAAAGGGGTTTTGGACAGCTGAGAAACATATTCACCTTTTAATCTGAAAGCCTAACCATTAAGTTGACCTATATGTGACTTACTGTACACAGCACAACCCTAAGCATGCATACTCAGAAGCAAGTTGTTTCTCTATATGAAATTATTTTTTCTTTGTATTGCTGATGTTTTTACAGTGAAATCAATTTGAGGTATCTTATGGGATGAGATTCATAAATAGAATCTAATATAAATAAGTAAGTTCCATTGAATTCAGTGGAATTTATTTTTATTTGAATTCATTGGGACTTACTCTCAAGTAATGTGCACAGGTTTGCCTTTTAAGACTGCAATATTATGCAACATTACTTAAGAACAAGCACCATGGGACACAATGTGAATTATGTCAGAGTAAATATGCATGGGAGTGCCCTGTAAGGCTTACAATCTATAACCACTTATCAGAGAGAAAACCCCACAGGTCAGCAGAACTTACCGTACTTCCAAATAGGCATAGAATTCCACTGTAAATAAGCGTAAATGAAAACTCTCTTGTTTAGCTGTTTCCTAGCTGTTTCCTATTGAAGTCATATCAGAAGTTTTCAGCACTCTACACCTCTCCAAGCATAGGAGCCAACTCCTGGGGGCCAAGGTTCCTTCAGCCGCCCCCCATAAAATATTTGAGGGGATCGACCTCCCAAAAGTTGATGGGCATTGCCATTCAAATGGTGTGTGTGTGCCACATCTTGTGATCAATTGTATGGGGCGGGGACCTGCCCTCCCCCAATATTTTGTTCAAGTTCCCACCCCTGTCTCCAAGCATATACTGCAACAATTTACCCAGTCATTAAAAACACAGACACACATGGAGAATGTATTAATTTTATTTTGCATTAAACCTGTTTCCAGTGTAACGACTGAGCCCCAGAACTTTCTACATTAGACACAACTTAAGTGTGTTCTGGGGAAAACCTGGGTGGCCTCCTGCCTCTACTTTTCCTGCTGTTAAGTAATTGTTATTTATTAGCAGCATCAGCATCACTGTAAGTATATATTATTGTTGAAACAAAATAATAATAATAATAATAATAAAATTCCTTCCAGTAGCACCTGCATGCACACGAAAGCTCATACCAATAACAAACTTAGTTGGTCTCTAAGGTGCTACTGGAAGGAATTTTGTTTGTTTTGACTATGGCAGACCAACACTGCTACTTACCTGTAACTATATATTATTGTGTTGTTTATTTATTTATTTATGGCTTATTTATCCCTCCCAGTCAACAGTGTCCTCTTGGTAGTTCAAAATGAAAACACACACACACACACACACAATCAAATACAATGACAATCCAAAACCCTTGTTAATAATTCCTGGCTTTTCATACAACAAAAAATTGGGAACAAATGGGATACCAGCAGGGAAAATATTCCTGCTGGTGCTGGATGCATGGCAAGCTGACACTTGTTTCCATAAAGGTATTTGCATGGCATGTTTAATATGGAAAGGAAAGAAGAACATGAACAGCTCTTGCAGGATCAGAAGAGCAGGCCAAAGTTCTGCTTCACATATACAGCCTCCAATACTTGGGAAACAGATGCTCCTGTGATGCTCACAAGCAGCAGCAAAACTGAGAGAGCTTGTTCCTGACAAGTGATTATCAGGGGTACACTGTTCCTGGACATGGAGGCTCCATTTTTATCATAACTAAAGGTTTTCAGTAGACTCTGCTTCTTGTCTAATCCATTTGAAGCGCCATCCCACCTAGTGACCATTTTTGCCATACATGAGCTACATGTTGCATGAAACAGTTTGTCTATCTTGAAATGACGGCCACTCAGCTGTATCCATACAATGGTTAATGCCTTCAGATTAGCAAGACTTCCATTAGCAGAAGTCATGCCGATTCATCCACAGCAAGGCTCCCCCGCCAGAGGTTTAACAGCTCTTAACTTCACAATCTTATTGTGCTTGCCTTTCTTGTAAGGTAAGCCTTGGTTTCCCTCATTTTATAGATAGAGGGATTACAAGCTGAAATGCTGAGAGCTGTCCAAGGCCGTGCAGTGCGCACAACTGAATCAGGCTATGTACGCATTAAAATGTAGTGAAGGTATTTCCCCTCCTGCTGTGGTTCAAGCCACATTTGCTCCTCGCTGTACACATCAGAGATGGGCAAAAGGGTGTCTTTACCCAATGCGTATTATCCTGTTTGGTTTCCCCCCATGCACCCTCCCCCACCAAACACCTCTCCACAAAGCTGACATTTGCACATGTGCAACAGATGCCTCAAATGTACACAACTGGCTGACCCCTGCAAAGTGAATGTGGCTTGTTTTCCGGCTGAAGCAAAGCTGCTTTGATGAAAAATGCAATAGACAGCACTTCTCAAGAACCTACAGAACCGATATAGATTGTGGCTAAACTGGGGTGGCACATCTCGTTTCGCCACTTGAGGCAAAATGGGAAGCGCTGCCTTGCCCTGCTGTTGCCACTTCTCTGCCCACCTTGTCACCTCTGCTGCTGGCTTTAATCTTGAGTAAGATCTTGCTGAAATCACACACATTCTATCTTGCTGATATTGGCTCTGCTTCTGTGGCGGGGGAAAGGCACCCATAGGGCTGCTGCCTTGGGGGGCTTCTGCTGCCTGAGGTACCTGCCTCAGTATGCCTAAGGGCAGGGCCGGCTCTGGGTTAACCTCATGTGTATGTGGCTTCAAAAACTAGCAATGGGAGTGCACTGGATGCAAAATAAATGGTGATGTGTATACAGCCACAGAGTTGATCCTGTGTAGTAACCTGAAAGGCGTCAGTAAGTTTGGAAGGCGTCAGTCTGGATGGTACCCATCCAGTTCTGGATGGAACGTGTCCAGAGGAGGGCAACCAAAATGGTCAAAGGCCTGGAAACGATGCCTTATGAGGAACGGCTAAGGGAGCTGGGCATGTTTAGCCTGGAGAAGAGGAGGTTAAGGGGTGATATGATAGCCATGTTCAAATATATAAAAGGATGTCACACAGAGGAGGGAGAAAGGTTGTTTTCTGCTGCTCCAGAGAAACGGACACGGAGCAATGGATCCAAACTACAAGAAAGAAGATTCCACCTAAACATTAGGAAGAACTTCCTGACAGTAAGAGCTGTTTGACAGTGGAATTTGCTGCCAAGGAGTGTGGTGGAGTCTCCTTCTTTGGAGGTCTTTAAGCAGAGGCTTGACAACCATATGTCAGGCGTGCTCTGATGGTGTTTCCTGCTTGGCAGGGGGTTGGACTCGATGGCCCTTGTGGTCTCTTTCAACTCTATGATTCTATGATTCTACCCTAGGTCCCTTTCCAGTTCTCTGGATCCTGTATCTGTGGGGGTAGAATGTTTAAGAGCAAGCTTGCCAAACTAGTTCCTTTGTCAAGGCAATGGCTTAAATACCACAATTTAGCATAACCAAAGTTGCTCTGTGCCACAGAAGGGACAGAAGGGCCTTACCCCCACTGCCTCACCTAGCTGCTATGTAGAACAATAGGCTAGTGTGTGTGTGTGTGTCAGTCAATTGGGTCCAGAATGCTAGAAGCTGCTAGCATAACACGCGCTGGGCTTTGGGGGCTCCCTTGGAAACCTAAAGGAGAAGCAAGATCTGTTGGGGTGTCAATGCTGCCAGCCTCCCCATTTTTCATATACTCAGGTTGTATATGTGCGTAAATAAAACTGTATCTCCGAAAGACACCATCATATCCACTGGCCCTAAGGAAGCGGAACCCTGGGGAAGCACCAGAACCCGTTGCATTTCTCCTGGCTCAGAGACTGGGGTGGTGTAACGGAGCACTGGAGCATGTGGCTAGAGTATTGATCTTCGGAGGCCTTCCTTATGCACTCAAGGTTTCTTTCCCCCATTTCACTAGAGGGGGCTAAAGGCCGGAAGGCCCTGCTTTGCCCAGGACCACGCGAGCCAGACTTGGGCAGGCTTCTGGGGGGGAGACTAGGCCCCGCTGGAGGCTCCTTTCGGAGGCTGGCGACGGCGCAGAGCTAGAACCAGAGTCCACTTGGCTTATCTATTTTTATCCCCTCACGCACCGGGTTGCTTCGGTCGCAAGAATTACTCCCCACCCACAAGGAAGGCGCGCAGCTGCTTTCCTTGGGATGACCGAGCTCGGGGCTGCGGCCCGAGTCCCCTCCCCTCCGCCCCCTCCGCGCCGTGGGGCCGGCTGCCCTCAAGAGCCCCGGCTGCGAGAGCGAGTTCTCCCGCTCTCGGAGCGGGTGTGTCCGCACTGCCACTGCCCTTGGAGCGCCTCGTCGCGGTCCTGCCGGGACCCGCCTTTCGGTTTCTAAGAAAGATTCCCCCCCGCCCGCCCGCCATCCCGGCTCCCCCCGCCGGCCGGCCACCTTCCCGACCTGCTATGCAAATTTCCCGGGACCAGGAAGTGAGCGGCGAAGCCTCAGCCCCCGACAGGCTGCGAAAGCCGCCCAAGTTCCTCTCTGCGAGGGAGCAGGACGGGCGCTTGGCAGGAGGCGGCGGCGGCGGCTGGCTGGTTCCCCTCGGGCGCGCTCTCAGTTCCCCTGTGGCCGAGAAAACGGCGCGGCTGCCGGCGAGGCGCTCCTGCCGGGCTCGGGCTCTATCCGGGCCATTGGGCTGAAGCAGCGAGCGTGGACTTCCCAAGCTCGGGACCCCGGGGAAAGTAAGTGGGCTCCCCTCGCCCTCTCGGCAAAGCCCCGGCTGGGTGGCGGGAAGGAGCGGCTGGAAGGTGGCTTGGCTTCCGAAGGACGAAGCCTGGCCATTTGAACTTCTCCCGCCGCTTCCGAAGCATCTATGCCGCTTCCCCGCCGCGCTTCGGGCTAATAGCGTCGGTGTTGCTGCTGCTGCTTTTAGCCACGTAGCAAAGTCCTGTTGCTCTGCAGAGAGAAAGCTGAATCTTCGCTGGTTGGTTCCTCATAATTTCCTCCATGAAGTAGATGCCCCCTGTCTAAAAATCTGTGGGTTGCTTTAGTGCAAGGCTGCGGCGTGCCTACTCAAGAGTAAGCCCCATTGAGTTCAGTGGAACTTACTCGCAGGTAAGCCTGCATAGGGTTGCAGCGACACTGATGTCGCCCAGGGCAGGAGACCTGGGCTCGTGCTTGGCCAAACCTGTGCGAACAGTGGTGCAGCTCTTCGCCTTGCATTTTGCCAGCCAAACATAACTTTCGCACATGCAAAGAGCACGGTCTTTTCTTTCGAGGGGGGAGAAAGGCTGCGCGAGATAAGTCCCGAACAAGGGGAAAGAAGGCGTGGCCATAGATTTTTAGATCGATTACAGGAGTATTTCTCTATTGTGCAGTGGCGCGGGGGTGGAGATCAGTGAGTAGAGAGCATTGCTGGAGATTGGGATTCCTATCAACCGTGAAGTTTCCTGGGAGGAGGGCTTTGTTAAATCCCTTTCTCTCAGCTGCAGCCTTTCGGGCTTTTGTATCATTTTTAGATAACCACCTTGCATAATTCAGCTGCGGTAATACACCAAGGGAGCTTTTATTTTTCACCAATAAGCCCTGAAATCTGATAAATGCTCCTTCCCTCTGTGCGCTCTCTTTTATTAAAATGAAAATTATTAAAGTGCTGTATTGTGAACCATACGCGGAGCACATTTTTAAAAAAGAGGAAGTGTGGTACTGTACTAATCGGACAGTGCGCGTGCCTGACCCCTAGAGGAGCTTCTATCTGGACACTAGATTAAAACATGTTACAGTAGTTTAGTTAAAAGGAAGTAGCGTTATTTTCGCAGTGGCTCGCTTTTCCTTTAGCCTGCGGGAAGGGGCGTTTATCCGGCCTATTCTCTCATGTGGTGCTGATGAATTCTTAAGGTCATCTGACTGGTTGTTTTAGTCCTTTGTAAGTACCGCTCACATTTTCCTGCCTTCTTGTTACGATCGGAGTTTGTTTGCTTAAGGAAAAAAACTTTGGGAACTCATCTGATATTGATGCATTATAATCTATTGTTCCCCACAGGCACTCTGATGACTTTTCTTTTTTGTTAAGCTCTGTTAAGTAATCAAAAGGTTTAGTAAAAGTAAAGCTTGCAATGAATCACCACAAGTGCTAGTGTTTTGTTTTGTTACCATTCATGATTAATTTGTCGGATTTAGAAATCTGGGCGGAACTAAAGTTAACAATTACATAAAAAGGAATCCTAAAGCAAACAGATATAATGCTGAATAAATTAAAGTTTTCATTTGTTTTATTCTAAGCTTCCCCAATTGGTATTTCACAAAGTTGGTATTTTCTCCAAAACCGGAACAGCTGCAAAAATGGCTTCCTGTCTTCTTAGCCACGCAAAAGGGAACCAACCAAATATATATATGTATTAAGCACTGGTGCCTTGGGAAGCAAAGGCAGGAAACTAAAGTGTTTGCTTTGTTTGTTTACCCCAGAGTAGAGAGCATTGTGATATTAAAGTCAATCAGCGATCAGGTCTACACATACTTAGCTGCAACAATGCTACATCACAGGTATCCACAAACTGTTCTCTGAATAGTAAGTAGTTTAGTCCTTGGCTATATAAATGCAATGACTATTGTACCATTTGGGAGTCACATCTAGTAAATGTATTTGCAGAATGATCTGAAATAAACGTTGAAGGCAGTGGTCTATTAGGGTAAATGGGACTCTGTCTTACTGACCAGCCTCAGCCAGGCCTTACCTACCTACTTTCTTAGTTATAATCAGCTTCTTCCTCCGTAGTCTCAGTTTTCCTCCTATAAAACTCAGCAGGGAAGGAAGCAGGATGGTGAGAAAACTAGAATGAGTTGCCTCTGCCTACCATTCTCCTGCCTCACCAGTTGCAGGAGGCATCAAGCCACTACTGGTTGAAGGATAGTCATGACAAGATGGGGACTCTGTACACACACTCCATAGAAGACAGAATGATAAAGTGGACACAAAGATTGTGCCAAAAGCCCAAGCAGCATCTTGTGCTGTAGCTCCCCACGGGGTGCCCTCCATGCTACAGTGGCTGTTGTAGTATTCTGGTTTGAAGTAAAGTACTGAAGAAGAAATAGATTGCTGCTTTTGATAAAGTTTTGAATCATGCAGAGTTAATTTAAGTAAGGGATGGCAAACCTGTGTTGCTTTTGTTGGACACAGAGTGGAAAGTTAGTTTTATTCACATTTTAATAAAGAAAGGCTTTGCATATTCATAGCTGGTAGTGACCACACACTTCACCAGAAGAACAGACATTGTCAAAAGGTTTTCTGCCCCAGAAGGGACAACGTACTTAAAATGACATACTCTTTTGTGGCATCGCAGAAGTGTATCAAAATATATAGATCTGATTATTTTTCACCTAGGTCAAAATTAATTACTTTCTTTTTTCCATGGCAGTTTTTGTGAGATAAATCATGACTAGCAGCACACTGTGCTTTAGAAGAGCGATTCTTTCAGCCAGCAAAGAGTTAAGAGGTTATGCATAATGGACTTCTAAATAGAAAGTGAGTGTGCTTCCTCAAAATAAAAGTCGGATGCTTGTTTAAAGGGTTGCATGTAGAACTAGAGGAATGAACATGGGTTCTAGTTACCTTTGCAAGTGAAATAATTCCTCAGGGGCTTCTGCCAGTGAACTTTTGGCTTTGAACTGGCTTTAATTACTCAGCTGTACTGCAGTGACTTCCCTTTTTTTTGTATTTCTGTGGACATTTTTCGTTTCCAAATTTCAAATGATTGACACTTGAGCGGTTTCCGTGCAGCCGTGGTTTGTACAGTCACAGCTAAGGTGATTTCATCATGCTTGGAAATAAACCCCAAGACAAGACAAGGCATCTTACAGTACTTTAAACCAGGAATTGAGAACCTGTGGTCCTCGGGACCTGATGGATTTGCCATGCTGGCTGGGACTTATAACAGTTGGAGTCTTAACAACATCTGACTATCTACTATTTAATGCATGGCTGCACTGTTGAGTCAACTTATTTTGTCAAAAGAACCTTAAGCTATCATACATGGGGGCTACCGTTGGCTCATGGGACTTGATACAAAAGACGTTTCCATGCTTTTAATAGCTGTGTAGCAGCTTTTAATAATATTTATAGATAACACAGGTATAGCCAACATGGTGACCTCCATTTATTGGACTCCAACTCCCATCATCCCTAGCCACTGGCCATGCTGGCTGGAGCTGATGGGAATTGGAGTCCAATATCACATGGAGGCTATATCTGACACAATGGGTAATATATAATTCCAGTGCTTTTTTCTGGGGGTACCCAGGGATATGCATACCCCTAAACATTTTCTGAATCTAAGTTTGGCCTCATTGAGGGGCAGTATTTCAATATGAGCAGGAAAATGAGAGTACCCCTAAACATTTTTTCAGAACAAAAGCACTGTATAATTCTATATATTGAGGTACCTGCCAAAGTGACAACTTCTATACATCTTGCCTATCTTCCTTTCTATCTGTTTACCCAGGCAGCTGTTTACCATTTGTGTACCATTTGTGTACTTGCCATGCTCTAGTACTTTGAGACTGCAATCTTACACCTACTGAAGTGGAAGTAAACCCCACTGAACTCAATGTGTCTTACTTCTGAATAGACATGTAGCAGATGACACTTCTAATCCCATTCCACAGAGTGGCTGAGGCAACCCAGCCAGATGTGTGGGGTATAAATAAAGTATTATTATTAAATTATTATTATTTTATTCTACTGCTTCAAACATCTGGTCAGTTGTATCATCATCTGGTAGAGTGCATGTTCTGTTGAAGGGACCGTTCCGCTACCCAGTTGCTAAAGATGGTGCCACAGTTCCTTTTGTTGAGGTTTCATTATTTCATGCAGGAAGTCTGTTTTTTTAAAAGAATTTCTTTCATCTACATTGGCATTAGAAGGCTGAATAATTTTGAGGGAGTGCTATGAGCTCCCTGTTCTCCAGTGGTTTCTCTTCCCCCTCCGCAGGGGATCGTTTCCCCAAAAAAAGACAAACGCAAAGAGAAAACAGAAACACTGCTCTGTTTTTCCAAGGCAGGGGTGAGGTTGGGAGAGTCTAGATCAGAATCAATAGAATTAATAATGAAATATATTGAATTTGCAACACACAGTTCCAAAAATACCATAAATGCCATTTAATTAAAGCTTACATTGGCAGACTGCACAGGTGTTTTTTTAAATATATATACCAGTATGTATGAAATCACAGATCGGTTCTTGCCAGAACTGCAGGAATGTTGATGCAAGGCATCAGTTGTCATGGGTCTTCATTTTTATTTTACATAGGATGATGACAAAACACCTAAGAAATGTGCTTTTCATGATAATGCACCAGGGGATGTCCTGTTCTGCATACAGTCGCTGTGTTGGTGACTGCAGCACTATAATGACTCCTCTTCCTCTCCTCACTCCCTTTCTTCACTTTTCAGTGGTGATTGTTTCAGTTTGGGAATGGAAACTAGCTAGAGCTGCATGCATGCTTACGAGCTGATCCCAACTCTGATGATAACATGATACTATACATGCACTTCTATTTTCATTCACAGGATGTCTGTCCTGCCTTTCTCCAGATAGTCTCAAAACAGCTTACATTGCAAAGCACTAAAATACAATAAACAACACACATGAAACAGCACATAAATATACATAAAATGTAGTCGGCAATTAAAAGCCCTAATAGAGACAGCACTAAAGGCGATTAAAAGGATCTCTGATCCATATAAATCTATTAAATGTACAAGGGAACAGAATGAGCTTTGCTTGGTGCCTAAAAGCTAGCAAGCAAGAGATGTTGTAGCTTAAACCTTCCCACTGGAGTCAATGGAGATCCCAAAATGAAAGCTTCCCTGCACATCACCTTTTATATCTCTCCGTCCCCCATTCCCCTAGGATTTCATGTCAGCTAAACATTTTCTATTAAGCTACCACTTCACATAGTGGTAGTGGTACCACCCCATGCTGGCCGATGTGACTAGAATCCTTATATTTGACTACTAGTGGATAAAGTGGGAGGGAAGATGCTATGTTGTAGGCCTGGCCCCCCAGAGAGGCTCTATGAGAGTTCCTTCTCTGGTCTGCTCCTGTGACTGTGATTATGGTATTGTTCTCTAGTGTGGGAGGCCTGGTTTCAACTCCAAGCTTGTCTCCAGTAGGTTCCCCAAAAGGTAGGTTTTGCATTGTGGAGGCCCCAATTTTATCTCCATAGGGTACAAATTGAGCCCAAACCTCATATAACCCATTGCTTACCTTTCTCTCCTGCCTCCAGCAACAATGTTGCTGAAGACTTCATTCTTGTACAAATGGCTTCCTTCCCTTTACTTTGCAAAAAGCTAGTTCTCCTCACACAGGCACCCAGCATGTTCTATTTAGTATTGTTAGTGTTTACTGTGTGGAATCACTGGCACCGAAACAGGAATTGAACCCTTTTCCTGAGAAGCTTCTGGGTTCTACCTGTATTTGCCTTCTGCCTGCTGGGGCCTCTGGTGGAGGAAGCCGAGTTTTCTGTTCCTGGTTGGGTGGCAACTTAGAAATACTAGCTAACAGAAATAGATCTCAACACAGCGGAGACAGCTATAACCAGGTGACCTTTGTGCCTGCTCAGTCCAGGTGCTGTTGGAGGTCAACTTTGAGGATTCTGAGAAAGAGAACCTATCCAGTTGACGCCGACACAAAACCCTACACGTACACTGTAAAGAAATATAAATTTCACCACCACTTCTCCCCCACTATTCTTCTTGACCTTATACTTGACCTTATACTGTACTCTACACTAACGTCTCATAACAAATGTAACTGATCTATAGAAAACCTGAACTGTACAACCTGAAAAATGAGACAAGGCATGTACTTTTGTAAACCAAGAAAATCTTTAATAAAAACAATATTATTATTTAGGATTCTGCTTTCCCTTCTTAATGTTATTTATCTTTAAACTTGGTCCTTCACATAGAGGGCTGTGTTTTTTGCCAGCCCTTCAGATAAAGGGTTGTCACTTGTAAAGAAGGACACACGCTCACCTTTATTTCTGGGAGCATAGTTGTGCACTGTGTGTGAGATGGGTGTGCTGCTATGGTGCTTCTGTTATCACCATGTGCTGTTGACTGGTGGCATGCATGCATAGCTAATGTGCAGACGTCCTCAGCATGCAACGTTTTTAACAAGCTGCTGTCTTGCGGGGGTGTTGTTAGTTTTTGTTTCCACAGGTTTTGAGTTGTTTGTTCTGCTGCTCTAAGTTTGTACAACACTCTTCCCCAATCCCCACCACCCCCACGTCATGTATTGATATGATAGCTTGCACACTGGAAAAAGCAAATTGGTGGCCATCAACTGCCAGTGTGCAATATTCATGGAAAGTGGGAAGAGGGAAGGCAGGCACCATCATACTGGGGACCCCAGTAGCTTCCTAAAGATGCTGTGTGCTACTGCCTGACCTGTGTTTCTTTACCAACAATTAAATGCAAGGGTGGGGGACCTGTGGTCCTCCTGATGTTCCTGGATTATCACTTGCAACATTCCTGACCATTGGCTTTTGTGTCTGGGGCTTATGGAATTGGAGTCCAAACATCCAGTGGGACACTAGATTAGGTAGGGAAGGCTGATGTAGAGCAATGGAATGGACTTTCTCGAAAGATGGTGGGCTCTCCTCCATTGGAAATCTTAAAGCAGAAGTTGGTTGGTCATCTGCCATGGATGCTTTAGTTGAGATTCTTTCATTGCAGGGGATTGAACTTGATGACTCTTGGGGTCCCTTCCAACTCTATGATTCTGTGAATGGTGTTCTGAACAACTTCAGCTTTGTCAATGTATGCTAGCTATTACCAGTTTATTCTTTAAAACAGCCTGCGGCCATGCTGGACTCCATCCTCCAGTTGTAGTTCAAAACATTTGGAGGGCACCAGGTTGAACATAGGAAGTGCCTGCTGGATCAGGCCAATGGCCCATCTAGTCCAGCAACCTGTTCTCAGCGGCCAACCAGATGCCTGTGGGGACTTGCAAGTAGGAGACCTGGGCACAAGAACACACTCTATTTCTGTAGTCTCCAGAAGCTGGTATTCAGAAGCATCTGACAGTGGAGGTAGAACATACCTGATATAGCTAATAGTCATTGAAAAAGACTGCTCTCAAGTTTTAGAGTCTAAAATAGGGTTGGGGAATCGGGTATTACCAAATTCTTATTTTCCCAGTGCTATTTTTCTAGAAAAAGGGTGCCAGGACTCACCTTGTTCTCTTATAATGTCAATGGCACCCACCTGAGAGATGCTGGAACGGAGTTCTGGCTGAAAAAAGCCCTGCCCCTAGCCATTGCGGCTCAAATTTGAGGTGCGGGTGGGGCAGGGCTTGTAAGCTACCACATATCAACTCAAGGGAGGTGACTTCAATCCTGTTTTTTTCAGGGATTGGCTGCTTGACGAAATTATCCAAGAGGGATTCAGTTGTGCAGCTGATCCAGCACTAGCTCATAGCCAGTGACTCAAGCCTGCTTTCTGCAGGGATCAACTGTGGGGAACTCATTTGTGCAGCTGAGTCACCCATGTCCAAACTGGGACCCATGCTGGGCTAAATTTGGTCTGCAGAATGGAGGTTTCCCACCCCTTTAGAATATTCTAAAAGAAAAGTGAAAGATACTATGATACATAGGGTGCTAAGGTGTGTGTGTGTGTGTGTGTGTGTGTGTGTGTGTGTGTGTGTTTTCACACAGTAGCTCTGTTACTCTAGTAAAGCTTTGATAGCTTTCATAATGTACATCTCTGGTGATCTGAAGATTTAATGTATTAATATGTTATGTTTTTGTAAATGTCAAATCTGTGACAGTAGTTAAAAATCCTACTTCATGGGTGTAGCCAGGGGGTGCAGGCAGAGGGGCAGCTTCCCCCCATCAAGTAAATAAATAAAAATACTTAACTGACTAATTGAATTACAGATAACTTGGTTCTGCCCCCCAAAAAACAGAAAGCCTGCCCCCCTTAAAATAACCTTTATGTTTTAGGCTGTTTATTGTATGCACTTCACATCCCTCAATCCTGCTCTTAAGCAGATATCCCATTCAGAATTCTCTGGTGAATCATCTGCTACCAGGCTTCCCCCACCTTCAATGATAGGGCTCAAAGCGTGACTCCAAACCACCTGACTCCACTACCTGTTTCAGGGATGGGGAATCTGTGGCTTCCACATGGGAACTGAAGTTCGTTAAGCATTCTGGTTTTGCCTGCAGAGTCTGGATTCAGAAAATCTCTCCCAGACTACCACTACACCTAAGTCCCTCTGGTTCTATGTAACTTAGACAACATTTTAAAAGAGAGTAAATTTTGATCTTGGAAAGCCCTCTGAGTTAAATAAGAGGTGTGTAGACTTCTAGTCTGTGTACAATAAAACATATGGAAGGTGTGCATTGATTGGATCTTCTGAATGGAATCTACGTTCACATGTAACTTTTGGGCATGCAGCTTCTCATACTTATGAACCTATAGCTTTGTAGATATACAGAAGGTAGCACATCAATGTTTTCTTAGCACATAAGAATCTTATACTGGGCAGGAGCTTCAGTTGAACCCAAGTCTTCTCTGCCTTGGGCTTACTGTACCTCTATTATGTTATTCTATTTTCCCCCAGGCTTGGTACCCAATATATGTATTTTTAAATTGAGATATTGGCAACTGAACTTAAACGCTTCTAGTGCTGAGCTATAGTTCTTCCTGTGTGACTATTAATCCCATAAGAATTTAAGAAGAGCTCTGCAGGATCACACCCAAAGCCCATCTGTTCCATCATCCTGTGCCTCGTAGAGACTTACCATATTTTATCCATACCATCCATAATTATATTCACCTGTACCAGGTTCCCTTTTTACTCTGCTCCCCCCCCCCAAAATAAAAAGCCCAAAACATTGAGGATGAATGTGTTTTCTAGTTCTGCATTATCCAGAGTTGTCATTCGTATTCCATGTGTAGTCACACTACAGGTTTAAGGAAAGGCCTTGGGCAGTTTTGTTTTTCATCCTTTTCATAATGGTTCCTAACATGGAATTAGCCTCCCCGCCCCCCAGTGAAGCTCAGTCTGCCTTTGAGAAGTTTCTTGTTCAATCTGTATCAGCCCTTGACAAGATTGTATTGTTTTCTTCCTGCCTTCTCTTAGTCGCTGAGATTTATTACTGAGTGCAGACATGCGGGTGTCATGTCATGTTTCCCATAACGATGTTATGTTGTTGCATTTCGCTAAAACATTTGTTTTAGAGAAATGCAACAATAAATTGTTGCCATTGAATAGAGTTTAGCAAAATATTGGGGCTAGAAGAATACATTTTCTTTGGAATCTCCAGCCATCTCTGATAACTGCAGGTTACAAGAGATGCCTTTTTGCCAAGTCTCTTTCACCTCAGACTTTCTGTTTAAATGATTTATTTGCAAAATGAAGGTGGGAAGCATAGGTTGAAAGATGCTGGAGATTCAGATGAGGAGTGAAAGTTCTTGCCATGAACGGGAAGGAGGAAGTGAAGAAATCTATATTTGGAGCTCAGCCAAGCTAATGGATGCAGAATTGGTAAAGCAGTAACTGCAGTTGTGACCAATTTAAATTGGTTTAAAAAGTATGCAGGCTTTAAGTAATAGAGAACATGAAGTCACCCATACATTACTCTATTTCATGGGTAGGCAAACTAAGGCCTGGGGGCCAGATCCAGCCCAATCGCCTTCTAAATCCGGCCTGCGGACGATCCGGGAATCAGCATGTTTTTACATGAGTGTCCTTTTATTTAAAATGCATCTCTGGGTTATTTGTGATGCATAGGAATTGGTTTTTTTTTTTTCTTCCCCAAAATATAGTCCGCCCCCCACACAAGGTCTGAGGAACAGTGGACTAGCCCCCTGCTGAAAAAGTTTGCTGACCCCTGCTCTATTTCATTGTTGAATGTCCCAGGAAGTTGTCCCCATGGACATTGACAGTTTATTGCAACGCTCAAAAGTCATCCAACTATACATAGACAGGAAGTAGCTAACAGTTTCCACAGGCGTATCTGGTACTGCCCCAGACAGACATGTGAATCTCCTATGATGCTACTTTCTTTCGTACCTCCAATGTACATTGGTTGCCTATAGTTGAACTTAGCAACACATAAACCTCTTTGGCTCTCATCTGGCTTGATGTGTGATGCTAGTGAGCAAAGGGTTTATAAAACAGTAGAAACTGAATGAACAATATTTATTAAAATATTTGTATACCACTGTGTGAGGCAGCCACATGCTCCTCAGCCAAGCAGGTTAAAGAAAAAGAGGGAGTAACAAGCTGAATCGGCGCCTGGCCCCCTCCGTCATTTGATTAATGCACTTTTATCTACATCTGACTCCGGTCCAGTGTTGAAGGCAGGACGGAAGAGAAGTGTGAGGAACAACCAACTGCTGGGATGTAATGGGTGGGACAGACATGTGAATGACAGACTCCATCATGTCTAGTTGTGACTTCCATTTAATGAATAATGAACAGTCTCATGAGCAGCCTCTTGCCCCATTGCCTGCTGCCTCTTTTTTTCCTTCCTGTTGCTCCCATGCACACACCCAGCACATGCAGTTGTTTCATCTGTGTCTTTTGCTGCATTTGCAGATTCCAGTCTTTAGCAACTTTCACTTCACTCCTGCACAAGTACAAGAACAGAAAGCAGACTATGATATTCAAAGGCCTCCCCCTTTCTTTGTCTGCAGTAAGCAGCTCACAAGAAATATTTCTGGGAAGAGTGGGAAAGCATCTACAAAAACATGAACAACTAAGTAAGCAGGCACCTCTTTTAACCCAGGCTTCCCACCTATAAGGCTACCTAAGAAGAACTAAACAAGAAGCACCAGAGAGTGGCACTTCTCACAGTTGACCACAGGGCTGGCCCAAAACATTTTGGTACCTGAGGCAAACCACAAAATGGTGTCCCCTCTCCCCACCAAGGAATAAGGGGTGAGTAAAGATCTACATCAGGAACAAGGACAGACTGCATTGTGATCTGTGGCCCGTATGGATTCTGCCACCTGAGGTGCTTGCCTCACCTGATGTGTGGACCGGCCCTGGTTGGCCAAGTTTATCACTTTTACTCAACTGTCACACATGCAACACTTGCAAGCCCTTCCCCTCCAAGTGATGGTTTTAAATAGGAAAGCACTAAGAAGAAAAACAAGTTGCCTTATTATTATTATTAGCATATTACTCAGATACATAGTTTGTTTCACACACTAACTTCCTGGCAAAATAAATAACCTGAATGAGAGTGGGTTCTTTCATCAGGCCTGCCTTAGCCTGAACCCTTCAGACAGAAGGTGTCAGTTTCTTGTCCACCAATAGTTTTCTTCTTAAGCCTTATTTTATTTCCCTTCCCTGAACTACATTGTATAGCACCTATTTGTTGAGCTTTGCTTACTGTTCTGCTAGGATAGGGCCCATTCAGTTGTCTTCTTTATTGTGCATTCATGATGCTTTGTGCTTATGATCATAATGTGGTGATTATAGATGTTCCTGCTTTCAATACTGTTTGCCCCTGCCAGTGTTAGAAACTAAGGTATGAAAGCTAGGAGCTAAATGGCACCTTAAACCTAGGTTATGGGTGCAACAATGGAATGTCTAGGCGTGCTTTTTTATAACAAGAATACAAAGCTGAAAGTGTATGAACTGCAGTTAAAATATTATGTTCATTTTTCACATGGTCTAGTCCTCCCCCCCCCCCCCCGCTGATATTCTTAAGAAGGTCTCTTCTTCAGTCTTCAGAGAGCAGATGGAAGTGGGGGCAGAATAAGGTCCTCCTTTCCTTCCACTCTGCAGTTTTAATCAGAAATCTTTGGCGCAGTACTGTGCCCAGAGTTCATAAACTGCTTGTGCTAATAAAAATGCACCTAGAACAATGGGAGTTTCGAACACTGGCCCCTGCAACCACTTTGAGAAGTTACACTTCTTCATCTCCAAACAGTGCATGCCTTATAGCTTCCTGCTGAAATCCAGTTGCTTTTCTATACCACAAATGTTTTGGGGGTTTTTATCCATATTTTGTTGTGGTATAGCACTAAAGTGCCCCTCCAGACAGCAGTAATGTAATATTGAGAAAGCACCTTAGAACACTTAATAAAGCAGAATTATGTGTGGAGCATCTGGTATAAATTCACCCCTAGTGCACTACTGTATATATGGGCTGGAGGGGCCCATATGTGCAAAGATGGCTTCATACCCCACCCCCACTTGAACACAGAGTACACCGTAGTGTTTTCTTCTATTGGAAAAAAGAAGCAGAGTGATGACAGATCTGTTGGCTTTAAGAAACAGGGGCAAATTACTCCCCTTGCCCTGGGCTAGGAGATCAGATAAGCTGAAGAGTATTACTGAGAGGGTCAATTGGTTACGCGGGCAGTTAAGTGGTGCATGCAAGTACACCATGCATTTGTTGCAATCTTTGCTATTGCAACAGGATAATTAGTGCTCACTAACTATGCCTTTAGGGAAGGGAGTCCGTCATAAAGGGAAACGACACAAAAAATGTTCTTGAAATAGGGAAGTACACAGCTTTTAGGAGCCTCAGGCCTTTAGAGCCTATTCCCCCACCATCTTCCACCCAGACAAAAAAAGTCAGATGCCTTTTCAAGTTGTGAAACTCAAACTACAGTAGTACTGTATTAATGGGCTGGTAAAGGACTCCTGTCTGAAATCCTGGAGAACCGTGGCTAGTCACCAGTGGTCTCAGTACCTGGTCCTACAGCTTGACTTGCTATAAGGCAGCTTCTTGTCTTCTTATGAAATGCATGATCAACTTTGGTGATAACATAACTTACAGAATAAGCCTGTTCAGTATCTGATGAGAGAACACTTGCCGTGTTGACCTACCACTTTGTGGCTTAGCACAGGAATTATATCATTTAATTACGCATATAGACGTGACAGACTCCTGAAACATCTATTTCTGGATCATGGTTGAAATATTTTTCCTATTCCACTTTCTGTTTCACTTAAAAATACCCCCAACAGATTCCCCTTTTCACAGAATTGTTCAGTCCAATGATCTGTTAAAAATGAACAGTAAATGACGACCCTTCCTTATTAGTGCAAACTCCAATGTGAAATCATCACACTTATATACTGAGTATTTTTCCATCCTCCACACTTCATTAAGTTGTATTTAATGGCTTCCATCCCATAAGAAACTACAAGAGAAGAGGAACAGAAATTATTGATGTTACAAATTCACACTTGTCTCTGAAACTGAGGATTAGGAAGTGGTCATTTTTACAGCTGCATACAGATCAGTGAAAGATTCAGTGGGATTCTTGTGATTTTGACAGGATATCTGAAAGACTACTTACTCCCTTTATGGGTTGCTTGTAGGCTACATTAATATTCAGAGACCTGCTTTTTAGCTAAATATGTTTGGTTGGTGGGAACATGAGGCAGGGCCTTCTCTGCAGCAGTCCCTGGTTACTGATTTCATTAGCCCCATCCCTACTGGTTTTTAGGTGAGCAGTAAAAAAAAAATGTATTGTAAGCCCCAAAAGTAATATAAATATATTCTCATTATTAAATAAAAATGTCACTGCCCAGGGTAAGTGACCCTGTACATTGCAAGAAAAAGGGGGATAATTCAACATGGGAATGCCATTGAAAGCATCGTTCTCTCAGACATCTGTAGTCTTGGTTCTGACTAGTGTGTGAGCTTTTTAGTTTATAGAACTCTTCTTCATACGAAAAGGGAGACAAAGCACTCCATGATGTAGATGCCTCAAAGTCTTCCAGTTGTAAAAGTCTTGAGGGGTGAGTGAAGATGGAAATACACCTTTGAGCTTAATTTGGGGTGGATAATTAATTTTGGTTACTCCATGTGTAGCCATGTGTAGTTTACAACTTCCAAGTCTTCAGCTTTCTCCTACAGCTGCTTCAGATTTGAAGTACCGTATTTTTTGCTCTATAAGACTCACATTTTCCCTCCTAAAAAGTAAGGGGAAATGTGTGTGCGTCTTATGGAGTGAATACAGGCTGCGCAGCTATCCCAGAAGCCAGAACAGCAAGAGGGATGGCTGCTTTCACTGCATATTTTTTTTATTGTTTTCCTCTTCCAAAAACTAGGTGCGTCTTGTGGTCTGGTGCGTCTTATAGAGTGGAAAATACGGTATTTCCTCCTTGAATTTCATTGGTGGGGCATTCCATTCACTTTATGCTCATTTATGTAAGAATAAGCAGATTTTGTGAGCAAATAAACTCTGTGCTGGAAACTGGTGCACTGTCACCACAGCCAATCACAAACAAACAACCACACCCTAGGCCAACCCCAACCTCTCTCACCCCCAAAGGAACACAAGTGAATAATAAAGAGAGCCCGCACAAGCGATGCTGACACAAAACCCACACATACATTAAGTAGAATAGAAACATCGCCATCCGACCCCACCCCCACTCACCATGCCCCCCTCCACCTCTTTCGCCCTTTTCTTCCTAAGGTAACACTAATGTCTCAACAAATGAAACTGATCTGTAGAAAATGTAACTTGAAAAAAGAGACATTGCACATACTTTTGTAGACCAATAAATCTTTAATGAAAAATATGGGTTTTTTAAAAAAGAAACTGGTGTACTGTTGCTTACCACCAAGTTTTGCCAACTTGGTTCATTCCAGATCAGCATTGGAACATAATTTCTCTGGCAAACTTTGTACCTGGCAGAAATAAATGTTACACAGCAGAAATAACCCTAGCTGTATCATGTCCTCATTTGAGAATTTTAATAGACTTTGCTGCAAAACGGCCTAGAAAAATTGTCAGCCAGTGCATAGGAAGGTTCCCCCCCTGTAATTTGTAGATAAACCAGCATGTCAGAGGAAATAGGAAACACTTATTGTGTTAGAGATAAGGCCATTAATAGCTCAGTTTGTATTTATGTCTGAACTGTCCAAGATGAGTCAGCATTTTAGCCTTTTTTTAAAAAAAATTAAAGCGAAATCCTTGCAGAAGTCTTTCTTTCTAAAATCATTTCTTTGCTTTAAAAACAACATTAAAATATATTGCTTTTCTTTTTCTTGTGAAGGAATACAATCCTATCTTAGGTAAATATGCACTTATCTATATACATACATACATACAGAGAGAGAAACTTGGCTCATGGTAAGAATTGTTTAAGCTCAGTCCTTTATCCTCCTCTTTAAATCCAGTTGGTCAAAATCAACAATCTGAAGATATGTACGCCCAATTTCTAGAAGTTGTGCAATACATCTTAGTGTGGGAACAATTTTATGTATTCATTCTATCTTGTGCTGCCCTCAAATCTGATATGATGAAGACGACATAGAACATAAGACCAATACAACGAAAAACAAAATGGCATAATATACTGCATCAAGGTTTTTAAACACTGCTGGTTTAAGAAATGCTTTTAAACAAAGAAACAAAGTGGCAGATAAACTCATTAAACAAATGTAAGATTTGTTCATACCAGATCAGTTTAAATGGTCCAGCAAATGAAAGGGTTCCTTGCCCGCCACTACAACATAGTGAACTTGTTTGGGGAGCAGATTCCGGAACCAAGGAACAGAGGAAATCCCCATCCTTTCTAGATAATCGCTGCAGCCCTGATAGAAGAGAGATTGAGAGAAAGGCCTTGGAAGATTTTTGCTACATAACCTAGACAACATTGATTTTTGCTTAATTCTTATTTATTCCAACAGGAAAATATGGGATGTATAAAATCCAAACGAAAAGACAATCTGCAGGGAGATGTGAAGACTGAACCAGTACGTAAATCTGAACGAACTATTTATGTGAGGGATCCAACGTCCAATAAACAGCAAAGGCCAGTAAGTAGATTAGTTTCAGGGAAGAATTCCCAAGAGTGAGATCACAGCACGACTGGCATAATTAAAATTTTTATTTAAAACTAGGGGCTGCCTCCCTGCTCGCACCATTCGCCAGCCTCCTGCCGTTTCCCCCACATTAACCCCACAGAGCTTCCCTTCCCACCCTATGCAAGCTTGCTTTCCACCTTCGCAACCTCATTTCTGAAGCCAATTCCATTCTGCAGCCCCCTATTTTCACCTTTATGCTCATGTCAATGCCTCTCCACTTCTTTTAGGCATCTCCTGTTGCACACAAAGCACCCCCATGGAACCTCCTATGTCTTCCTCCTCCCACATATTACATCTACATATTGCACCATCTGCCCACTTATGAAACCACCTTTCTGCAAACCCTTTCATGCCCCTGCTTTCATCTATAACCCCACCCCCATGCCTCATATGCCCTTTTTTGCAACTGCCTTTTTTCCTCTCCCCTTCCTTTTCTTAACTCTCCCTTGTACACAAACCATGCCCCTATCTCCACATTTTCTCCTTTCTATCATATTGTTCAGCCAACTTTGCACACAAACACCATTCTCACCTACACTCCCCTTTTCCTTGCCTCCTCCTCCTCCCTCTCTTTTTTCAACCGTCCCTTGCACACAAACCACCATTCCACACTTCATCCTCTCTCCTATTCTACAGTCCCCTTTGTGCACACACTCCATGATGGTATATGTTACTGTATCTGTAAGATCTGTAAGATAACTAGAACAAGCCTGTCAGTTAGCTTGTTCAGTTATAGAAGTTCAGTTCAGTTGATGGATGTTTTAAATATATAGATGTTTGCTTGTTAATAAGATACATATTCTAAATTACTGCAGTTGAATCTGAAACTTAAGGCAACACAGAGTACCAGAAGTATTATACATTGTGTACTATGAGTATTTGAGGGTTCATCACCCTTTATCTCTCTCAGATGAGGAATGGAAGAGAGAGACATTGAGTACAGTGAGAAGGGAGTAACACTGAAAGGAAAAATATATGTTTTAAATAATGGCATAGGTGTGAACAAAGCAAAGATGGAGATGCACTGAGGGGTTGTTCTTTAAACAAACAAACAAACAAGTTTTAATAAAGAAGAATAGCAGAGATGGCTGCAGCACAGAAACTAACACCCAAAACTGCTTTGAGACCCTCTCCCCAGGGATGATGGGAGCTGTAACCCAGTAGCATCACTCGAGTGCTATGCTGCCTACTCCTTTTTAAAGAAAGTCACAAAAGTGATTGAACAACGTATCTTAAATGCTTCCAAGGCATCACTATTTCAAAGGTGCATTGTACTTTATGAGCCCAGGGAACTTGTGTCTATAAAAGAGGCTCTGTGTCTGTTAAGAAGATTTTGTGCACACCCATAATCACATGGAGAAATACTAAAACATACAAGTATGAGTGCCTGGTACATTTTTCTGAAATAGCAGGAACATTTTTTTTTCCAGTTGCCAGAAGCACAGGACTCTGTGTGACTGGATCTATATGCATCTTGCTTCACGGTAAACTGAATCTGAGTGATGGAGTTGCAACCATAGATCCATTGACATTAACAGAGGATTTTTCTTCCTGACAGGCCTGGAGTCAGTGCATGGTATCTTTAGGCAGCTATTGGAGCCCCACTTCCATAGCTGGACTCACTGTTGACACCTGCCCTGGTCTCTTCCTTAAAAAAATAATTAAATAAAAGTAGGTAGCTGTGTTGGTCTGATGCAGTTGAAATGAAAATAGAAAAATAAAAAATTGTCTAGTAGCACCTTATAGACCAACTAATTTATTTAAATAAAAATGTTAGTGCTCTCCAGTGAACACTGGGCACCTTATCTGAGGACCTTGTCCCTTTAAATTTCCCACTGTTCTCCAGAATGATGGTACATCAGGGTCATTTTAGGAAATTTAAACAGTGGTTCCTCCTGACCCAAGTGCCTGGTTCTTATTGGAGCACTACTGCAGCCCTCTGCTAGGTAAGCCCACAGCATCACTGACCTAGCAGAAGGCCCATCAGAGGTTTCTCCACCACTTTTTGTAGACCATTGGAAAATTAACTAGCAATTTTCTATCTTAAATTTATGAAGAGGGTTGTTTTAAAAGTAAAAGCAGTTTTGTGTCCTTTCGTGCAGCTGTTTTGTTTTTTGTTTTTTTAAAAAACCCTCTCAAGCATTTATTAAGCATCAGCATACTTTCAAAATTCAGTGGTACCTTGAGTTACAAATGCCTCAGGTTACAAACTCTGCTAACCTGGAAGAGTTACCTCGAGTTGAGAACTTTGCCCCAGGATGAGAACGGAAAGTGTGTGCCGGCGGCACAGCAGCAAGTGGCCCCATTAGCGAAAGCTAATAAACGGACCTCCGGAACGAATTAAGTTCATAACTAGAGGTACCACTGTATTCAGTTTTTGTTCCATGCTTGCAACAAGTCTTTTTCAACAGTTAATGGTCTAACTGCTGCTAGGTTGCCCAAAGGCTGGTTTCAGACAATCTAGAATCCTGTGAGCAGCTGTCTGCAAGGGAGTCCCATTCAGCACAGTGGAACTTGATTTTAAGCACAAATAGGATCAGGCTGCAAATCACCCCTTTCAAGAAGCAACTCTGGATTAGGCATATTAATAAAGCACTTGTCCCTTGATAAACATAGAGCAGTTTCCCAATTAGCTGTATTTCAGGACATGTGCTGCTTCTCCTGTAAGCTGCAAAGGTTTTGACTGCCGTAGGCGTGTAAACCGTTACACTTTGTCTTCTAAGAATCTCAGTGTAAATGCTATAAATTATATCTAAAAGCTGCCAGAGATAACAGAGTCATCATTTAAAAAAATAGTATAGTTATGTTTTAAACATGTTCTAATTTTATAAGTGTGCATTTATATAAATATGATAGTGTTATAAAACAATTTTTTTAACTCTTGTTGTTGTTGTTTTTCAAGGCAACTGATGATATCCTTCTGCCAGGTCAGAGGTTTATAGAAGGTATGTTTCTAAAAGCCTGCTGGTTACTACTACAAGTTGCTGTTTTGATAGACTTGAAAAATGAGTAAGAATATCTTGCTTGAATTTCTGTATTAGCAAAGGAAAAGGAACATCAGGACCTTGTGGTAGCCTTGTATCCTTATGATGGCATTCATGAAGATGATCTGTCCTTCAAAAAAGGAGAAAAAATGAAAATTCTGGAGGAGTAAGTATCGAAATAGTCACTGCTCTGTTTGTTGCTCCTAGATCACGTTTATGTGTGTGTTGCCACCTAATAACTAGCATTATGCTAGTTTCTTATACATATGCACACAAGCTTTCTATTTTGAAGTTCCCTGCTTGTCCCAAGCCCCCAAAAGCCTGCCTTGATAAAAACTACTTATTGGGGTAGCAGCGGAGAGTTTTGTGGCACCCTATCTTAAGGCTTGTGTTAGTTTTTGCTCCAACAGACTAATATAACTGCCTCTCCAGAAAATACTAATAAAAATGCGGACAAGTTGATGCACAGCAGAATGGGCTGAACCTCCTTGTATTTCTCTGCTCTGAATCATCGGAAATTTATTTTTATAATTGCATGATCTAGAATTCAACTTACAGCCTTCAGCAATATGGGCATGTTCTTGGAGGAGTCGATTCCAGAAATGTCTGGTGGAAAGCAACATATTTCTCCCTCTGGTGAAGTCTAAGCCTTTTTGGATGGCACTAAAGGTGATCAATACATCTTTACAAAAGATTCTTTTCTTTTTCTTAGACATGGAGAATGGTGGAGAGCCAAGTCCCTTTTGACCAAGAGAGAAGGCTTTATCCCAAGCAACTATGTCGCAAAAGTCAACACCTTAGAAACAGAAGAGTAGGTTCATATATTGTAAATACTTGATTTTCTACTTTGCACTGTGCACTTGAGAAAGACAAAGAAGGTGTAACTTTTTCCCCATAATACTTTACAGATGGTTCTTTAAAGACATAACCAGGAAAGATGCAGAAAGGCAACTTCTAGCACCTGGGAATGTTCCTGGGTCATTCCTTATCAGAGAGAGTGAAACATTGAAAGGTGAGCTTTCTGTATTTCATTTGAATTAAAAGGAAACTCAGCCTTCTGCCTTGATGAGCTCAGATTTTTCCAGTAAGTTCTCTTTTCTGTTTATGTATGAGTGAATTTACTAATTATCTGTCATCAAAGAATGATAGCATTTTCAATTTACATTTAGCTTCGCCCCCATTACTAAAAAAATCTATTAGCCTGATAAATGTGGCTAATAGCACCAAATTATTATAGAGGAACGGGCAGACAAAGAGGGAAGATAACTGTAGACCAAGTATTTGCCTTAAGCCATGTTATTATTTTTATATATATAATTTTTATTGGTTTTTACACGTATTTTCCAGCATATCATCCTTTTAAACATCTTTCAAAATCTTTGGCTATCACAGCCTAAGACTTCCTTCAACCTCAACTGATGGTTTCCTAAAATCCTTTCTAATTATGCATTACTACTTTTACTGCTATAAATTCAAATCTTAATACCTATTCTTAATTCTTTTCACAATAATTTATATATTACTCCTTACAAAAGTTCTTTTAACCCTACAAGTGATGTCAATTGGTTACAGTTGCTTTCCAAATGCATTGAAATCTTCTTCCATTCCTTTAGGAAAGTCTGGTCCTCCTGGTTCCAAATTTTCCCAATTAATCTTGCCGTCTCAGCATAGTTCATCAATTTCTCTTGCCACTCTTCTTTAGCTGGCATTTCTTCTTGCTTCCATCTTTGGGCTAACAATATCCTTGCTGCAGTTATCGCATATAAAAACATTTTTTTATCATTCATATGCATTTCTGTACCCACAATACACAGTAGAAGGCTTTTGGTTTTTTAACAAATGTATATTTCAACATTCCCCCCCCAATTCATTATAAATCATTTCCCAGAAGTCCTTCACTTTCTTACATTCCCACCTCATAGGGTAAAAAGTACCCTCCTTTTCTTTACATCTCCAACATTTGTTATCTGTTTTGTACATTTTAGCTAACTTCACTGGTGTTATATACCACCTGTACATCATTTTCATAATGTTTTCTTTCAATGCACTGCAAGCAGTAAATTATATTTCCTCTTTCCATAATTTTTCCCAATCCTCTATTTGTATATTATAACCAGTATCTTTGGCCCAATGAATCATAACCTATTTAACTTCCTCATCTTTCAAATGCCATTCCAATAGTAATTTATACATTTTAAATTATATTTTAACTTTCTTATTTAATAACTCCAATTCAAATCTTGATTTTGTATATCCAAATCCATTTTTGTTTTTATCTTCTTTGTGTTATTCTTAAATATATGCAGAAACTGGGAAATTATGCCTGTGTAGCCTTTGTAAATAGAGAATAGGTGTGGGAGAAACTCTTGTACAAATATTGGTGAGACATTGGGCACTGGTGAAGGGATTATATACTAACATGGATCTATGTGTTTGCACAGGGGGAAATTTAGACTTTATAGCATAGTATAAAAAGTACAAAAACGGTCAAAGAGACTTGTTCTGGTCTTATCTAGACCTCTTTTTCACATCAAAACCTTGTTGCATCATTTATGGAGTGCCCAATTCGATAATCATACAGCCAGATATATTACAATGTTAATTTGACCAGTACCTGCAGTATTGCAATATGGAGCAATCTGGCACTGACACAGTGGCTGCATCCAGATGCCATGGTAAACAATGGTTTGTCATAACCAGTTGTTTATCTTGATGGGAATGAGGCTATCCACCCCTGTGCTTCCCCTTTCCCCTCTCCTCCAGGACATCCGCAAGGAGAAAGTCAGAATATTTCACTTGCAACTTCACTTCAACCAGTTTGAATCGGGCTTGTTTCATACAAATCATAGTTATGATTAACCACATTTTGTTGGATTCTGATAATACAGCAACATGAAAGCAAAACTCAGATTTGATGCGGCTAGTTCTAACTCCGATTTAACCTGTGGTTGTGATTATTATTTTTCTTTTTTTGTACACAGGTAGCTACTCTCTGTCCATGAGGGACTATGACAGACAACATGGTGATGTCGTCAAGCACTACAAAATCAGAAGTCTAGACAATGGAGGATATTACATCTCTCCAAGAATTACTTTTCCCTGTATCAGTGACATGATCAAACATTACCAAAGTAAGCCAGTACCTTTACTGGACTATTATTAAAATGCAAGTTGTTATCAAATAATTATATAAAAAAACTACTGCTGTATTTCAGATCACTCAAGTCAAATGCATTCTAACTTATAGTGCAGATTGTATAAAGGTGGACATTGATGAAAGTTCTACACAACTCTCTCAAGGGTGGGAACTAAAAGTATGTCAGTTTGATCACAGGATTTTACATCAGCTTGAAACCGAGCTGATTGTATGCGAAATATCAGCTCAGTGTAAATGGGAACACTTTGCTTCCTGAGTATAAGCAATATTTAAACACTAGTATGAACATAGTGATAAGCTGAGAAGTTATCGGCATTGTAATTATTGTGTGCCAACACGGTGGCAATCTTGTGAACATATTTGATGTGGGAAAGTAAAACCACCAGTGACATTTAAAAAGAACATGTAGCTCATGCATAGTAATGCATTATACAGAAGTTTGCTGAAAAACAACAACCCATGAAGCTGTTTTCATCAGCTGGGAAAACCATACTCAACCTGATTGCAGATCTTAAATACTTCAGGGCATGACTTTTAATATATGGCAAAATAATGATCCTTGGTTGAAAACTATGAGCCTTAACTTCATATGAGTGTATTTTCTGAGGTTAAAACAGGTGACAGCTATACTTAAGAAATTCCTTTTAATTTAGATCCCACCATTTGTCCTAAAAGTTCTGGGTGGGTTACAACAACACATATATAAAACAAACTCATTAAAACAAAAAGAATGACACTTAATTTATGAATTCCTGGGATCTTGGCATGCTCTATATTCAGAAGCCTAAACAATATTTACTTACCCCAGTGACCAAAATAGGTTTTCATAGGACACATATCTGACTAAAATCTATCAACTGTTGATAGTTGTCAGCAATCCATGTAAGATGCAAACTGCGGCATCTACCGGTGTAGTTAAAGTTATCCTTCTGTTCATGGCAAAAGAGGCAAATATGCATTTAAAACTGAGAATCATGAAGGGTATGCCTCCCACCAGTACCTGTTGCCATATACCAGCCTTCCTCAACGTGGTGCCCCCCAGACTGCAACTCAGACCACTAGCCATGCTTTCTGTGGTTGATTGGAATTCTAGTCCAAAACATCTGGAGGACACCAGGTTGGGGAAGGCTGCAACATACCAAAGTGAGAGAATATTTTGTCCCAGTAGCATGTATCTGTACTACTACACCATGTTGTGTCAAGGTCAGAGGGAGAAATCCAGTGCAGCAGAACCTATGGCACATGTTGTGTTGTTTACCAGCAACGAAGAATATAGTTTTGTTCCTGTCGGGTTTTCAAAAAATTCTTACAAGGAGGTTTTAAAAGAAAAATTAAATCTCTGCATGTATGTTGTCCTTTGTTATGAACTTTGGTGTTGCTTAAGGTACAAATGTAAGGATGTTTGTCTCTTAAACAGAGCAGCCAGATGGATTATGCAGAAAGTTGGAGAAGGCATGCCTCAGTCCCAAACCACAGAAGCCATGGGATAAAGATGCCTGGGAGATTCCGCGGGACTCAATCAAATTAGTAAAAAAGCTTGGAGCTGGTCAATTTGGAGAAGTCTGGATGGGTAAGATATTTGTTCATGTGGATAATTCAGATATCTAGCAACATGTGTGACACCACAGTACTGACATGCTAGGTTGTTAACTATGTTCATGTTCAGTGATGTAACATAAGAAATGAACTAGGTTCATTCATTTGTAAAAATGCCCCATTTTGTTTGAACTCCTAGAATGGGGAAGCACCATATCTGTGCATGCACGTAAAGATTTATTGCCCTTCCCCACTCTGTGCCCCCACAGATTGGCTCTGGGAGGTATCAGTAGAACTCCAGAACAGCACACAAGGGAAAGGGAAATAATTCCTTCTGGCAAGCAGAAATGCTTTTCCTGACAGAATGATGTAATCAAGGACCAGACCCTGAAGTTAGCGTATTTGTCAGAGGCAAGAGTAATACTATTTAGTGTATATATAGTGTTGCAATCAGCATTGATTTTTCAGTTTTAGCTTTAGCTGGCTGTGTTGGAGCCTACAAATGCTACAGAAGGTGATCCACACTGTGCCTTAGTTTGAAGCTCAATTCCAATGTCATGCTAACTCATTGCAACTTTCATCATCCCTGACTGTTGACCATGCAGACTTGAGTGATGGGAGTTGGAGTCCAACAACATTTGTTGTGCCATATTTAGCCATCTCTGGTTTAAAATGTTGTGCATTGAATTATTGTTGTTAAATGTTTTGTGAATCCCATGCTGTGGGACAGAAAAAGTGGGATATCATCAGATAAACTGGGGGTAGGGATAATATCCAAATGGTTGAACATGCTTTCGATTTTGCTGTAAACCAAAATGTGAACTGACCATTTGAAGAGGGCTTGCAAATAATTATTTGCATGAACAATGGCATCTGCTGTTGCTCTTTCTCCAGGCTCCTGTCCACCATAGTGATGGGAGTGCTCAATGGACAGAAGCTGGAAGCAGAAAAGTAGCCTTTTCATCTGTTGTTCCCTTGGCATGTATCCAATGATGTGGGGACAGATAGAGTTGCACCAGGGAGTGCCCGAATAGTAACCGCATCCCTAGCTTGATTCCCATTTGACAGCATGAAGCTGGGGTCCATGTTATACTTGGTGGATACTGTTGGGACAGGGGCAAAATCTGTTCTCTGGCTCAAGGAGTCTTGGTGCCCACTAGCATTTCGCTTGAGCTGCACTGCCTGTGCTTCCTTAAGTAATGCACCTTGGTATGCTTTGGTGACCCCATCTTCATGAGTTCCTCTCTTCTCTACCCACCATATTGGTTGGCCACTTTGTTAGTGTAATAGAAAACGTGCCTTCATTTTCTGGGGATGACATCATCAGGGCATTTGCTGTTTAATGAGCCCATATGAAAACAGTTTGCCTACTGAGCTAATATGCAGGGGTTATTGAAGCACTGTCAGCTGCAGAAGAAAGAACTAATTTCAGGAAGTTATGTTCCTGCGTATGTGCTCACAAAGGGTAGAGGGGGAGTGTTTCTGGTTCAAGATGTTTCCTCTTGTTTATGTGAGCCTCTTTGACGTCTAAATTTGGCTTGGTCCTCTGTGGGTTACTTTTACGTTATGGGTAAAATTACTGCACTGTGAAGCCTGACTACATTCTTCCTTTCCCTGCTACAACTATGAAAAGCTGATTTGCATGATGGCAGACCTTTTTTGATTGGAACTAAACTGCATGCTTTGGTAGAGTTCCAGTTGCCTTTCTCCCTGGAGGGCCCAAGAGTTCCATCAGCTCCCAAGGATTGCGTTTACTTAGTACTGCTTGTTTCAGAATGATTTCAGGATGGCAAAGGAATGAGAAGAAATATAATTGTAAAAAGCTAGCTGTTCTCACATTACATTGCAGTGAAGTTACTGTTTTCCCCGCAGTGGATTTTCCAGCTCTTTCCCCTTAGCTGTTCACATTGGCATAGCTTCATTAGCGTTCTGTTTATTTCTGCTTGTGTATGGACCAGTGGGCACACCTTGGCAGGAGACGGACTAGAAATGGCTTAACAACTCCATTGATGTGAGCTGGTTTGAGAAACAACACACTGGACAGTAGTATTTTATAATAAACTACTGGATGCATATGCATTTTGGATCACATTGTGTGAACATGGATTAAAAATTCAGCTCTGGAAGCACAGTGAGTGCACAGAAAGTGGGAGTGTGATAAGAGAAGGTTTATGTTTGTTTTTGTGTTTTGTTTTGTTTTAGGAAAACATTTTAGAATAGTGGTTGTGGTTGTACATAGTACTAAACCAGCAGTGTTGTGGGGCACTTTATTATGCTTTATTTTACTTGTATCCTGAGTTTCAGGATGCAGATATTTTCATGGTGGCTAATAACTCTATCATGTTATGAGCTTCCATGGGCAAGAGCCTACTTTGACAGACGCAGGAAATGACAGGGATGGAACTGTTTGCAAGAGGAGATTAACAATGAAATTGGAGAGATGATTTCAGTTGATCAACTGGAATCAACACCTCGCCCTGCCCCAGTCTGTGTCTTCCGTCCTTTTAACAGCATAGGCAATATTTCAGATCCAAATTATATCATCCACAGTATAATAGTTCATAGACCTACACTTTTTCCAGTGTAATATACACCATTAGCTTGGCATAGTTCTTGCTGTCTACCTTCAGTCCCTAATATGGCAAGATTTGTTTCTGGTCATTTGTTGCCATAATTCTAGCCTAATGTTTCCCAAACTTGGGTCTCTAGTAGCTGTTTTTGGACTACAATTCTCATCATCCCTGACCACTGGTCTTGCTTAGCTAGGGATGATGGAAATTGTAGTCCAAAAACAGCTGGAGACCTAAGTTTGGGAAGCACTGTTTTAGACCAACCAGTTGTGCAGTGTGGGTCTATTCACCATCTCTCATAGTGTGCCCAAAGGAGCAGGGGATTGAAAGGTCCGCAAAGAGTTCTACAAGGGTCAAGTAAGCTAAGTAATATGCTCTAGAGAAAGGCACTGTCTAAACCTATCTGATCAGCCAGATAATGCTAATTTTGTCATGTGTCCTCTGCATCTTACCATGTGGACAGGGAACTTTTATCCTGCTCTTTGGCTTAAAAAGTTCCCAGAGCAGCTTACAGGATCGGTCACAGGCCAGTATATGCTTTGGGGCTTACAGTCTGAAAGACATCATTTATACACAATGAGAAAGGGATGTGGAGGGAAAGGGGGAAAAAACAAGTTCATGCACCAGTTCCTAAAGTTACAGTTTTAGAATGACCAGCTGAGAAGGAAGCCTGATGGAATGGCTCCTGCCAGGTGACAGTTGAAGCAGCTGATCTCTCAGCAGGGGCGATGACATGGCCGTGCTTCTCTAAAAATGAAAATGCCCAGGAGAATAAAAACGTCTTTGGTGCACAGATGACATCAGATTAAGTGATAGGTAAGGCTCCCTTGGGAAAGAATCCCACTTGAAAAGGAGATACATGTTTTTGCAGGTACACGGTGGGCACTCATTGGGGAAACAGCCAACTGAGGCCTCCTGACACATGTCAACCCATATTATGTCCACCATGAAAACATTGGGATTTGAAGTCCTCTTCTTTGTAGCAGCTTATTCTTCTGCAGTGTCAATCATCACAGAATATTAAGCTTGCAGGAAGTTGGCAACCATCTAGTTTATATTGGTTAACGACTGTGAAAATATTTCTCCCACTTCTGCCATGGTCTGCATTCTTCATTGACAGGATTAAATCTCAAAGTTTAATTCTTCCCATCAAAATGTATTTGTGTATTTATTTTTTTACAAAATATTATTGAAGTAAATGTGCGGTGGGGGAAATGGAAAATGAGGTCATGTGTGTCAGGCTGTTCTGTACATACAGTATTCAGCCTTCTTCAACCTGGTGCTCAGTGGCTGGTGGGACTCGGAGTCCAAAACATCTGGAAGGCACCAGGTTGACAAAGACTGAAGTACAGTTTTCTAGGCCAATACAGTCGTACCTTGGATCCAGAATGGCTTGTGAGTCGAACATTTTGGCTCCCAAATGTCGCAAACCTGTAAGTGAGTGTTCCGGTTTGTGAACGTTCTTTGGAGGCTGAATGTCCGACACGGCTTCTGCTTGAGTGCAGGAAGCTCCTGCAGCCAATCAGAAGCCACACCTTGGTTATCAACCATTTTTGGAAGTTGAATGGACTTCCAGAACAGATTCCATTCAACAACTAGGGTATAATAATAATAATTTATTTATACCCCGCCCATCTGGCTGAGTTTCCCCAGCCACTCTGGGCGGCTTCCAACAAAATATTAAAATAAAATAAAATAAACATTAAAAGCTTCCCTAAACAGGGCTGCTTGATGTCTTCTAAAAGTCTGGTAGTTGTTTTTCTCTTTGACATCTGGTGGAAGGGCGTTCCACAGGGCAGGTGCCACTACCAAGAAGGCCCTCTGCCTGGTTCCCTGTAACTTGGCTTCTTGCAGTGAGGGAACTGCGAGAAGGCCCTCGGTGCTGGACCTCAGTGTCTCGGCAGAACAATGGGGGTGGAGACACTCCTTCAGGTATACTGCGCCGAGGCCATTTAGGGCTTTAAAGGTCAGCACCAACACTTTGAATTGTGCTTGGAAACGTACTGGGAGCCAATGTAGGTCTTTCAAGGCACGACTGTAGTAACATTTGTTGGTGCCTGCTTGTAAATACATCATTTATAAATTTATTGTTAAAGATCTCTCATGGCAAGACATTTGACCACCACATTCAGCGCTCTGGATGTCTCTTCTCCTATAACTATCCCTTTTGTTCTAGGTTACTACAATAACAATACCAAAGTAGCAGTGAAAACTCTGAAGCCAGGCACCATGTCTGCGCAGGCATTCATGGAAGAAGCCAACCTTATGAAATCACTTCAGCATGACAGGCTGGTCAGACTCTACGCTGTAGTTACCAAAGAAGAACCAATTTATATCATAACTGAATTCATGGCAAAAGGTAGGTATTACTGAATTCATTAACCAGAAGTACCATTTGCATGTAGGAAATGGTGTATGGTACAATTGCAACAGGCACTTGTAACCGTCAACTCGATAGCCATTCGTTATGGGACTGTAGTAACTTGAGTATTGGTTAGTAGTGTCTCGTACCCTGGACAAAAAATATTACACATTAAATTAAGTATCATAAGAGGAATAGACTTAAAGAAATAAATAGGTCAAGAGGAATACACTTATAGAAACAATTTGGTCAAAGTTTCGTCTGTTCTGCAAATAGCCAAAGTTGTGTCCTCCAGATGTTGTTGGATTTCAACTCCCAGCATCTCCATCCAGCATGGCCAGGAATGATGAGGGTTGTCATCCAGAAACATCCTTTCTTTGCACTAGAGCTCTAAGGGGCCACGGTCTGCTGAATTGCCTTCTGCCGTCATCATGAGGAATTGGCAGGGTGAACCTGTTCTATGGATTATAATTAGAAAATCATGCAGCAGGTTACATTTGAACTTTGCAGTGGGTAGGAGATGAAAGCTTGAGGGCGGTTCATGCCAAATTTGGGATAGAATAGATGAGTGGCTTATTTTGAACCAATTAACATTTGTTTGTTTGTTTTTATTTCATAAAATTTACACACCACTTGATTGTAAAAACAACCACCACCCTCAAAGTGGTTTACAAAAGAGAAAACAAGAAAAAAAATGCATACTTTAAAATGCTAAAACAGATTAAAATTAGCTTAACCTTCTAATTACCTGGGTAGGCTTGTATAGACAAGGATGTTTTTAAGCAGGCACTGAAAAGAATATAGTGAAGGTACCTGCTTGATATCAACAGGCAATGAATTCCAAAGTATAGGCCCTGCCATGCTAAATGATTGAGTTCTTACAAATACAGAACTGGCATGTGACACCTATAGCAGTACAGTGGTACCTTGGGTTAAGAACTTAATTCATTCTAGAGGTTCGTTCTTAACCTGAAATGGTTCTTAACCTGAGGCACGCTTTCGCTAATGGAGCCTCCTGCTGCCGCTGTGCCACTGGCGCACAATTTCCGTTCTTATCCTGGGGCAAAGTTCTTAACCTGGAGCAACCACTTCCTGGTTAGTGGAGTTTGTAACCCGAAGCGTCTGTAACCCGAGGTACCACTGTACCAATTCCGCCCATTGAAGCAACTGAGTGGGCACATGCAGGGTAAATATTTGAATGGCTGGCATTTTGACAGGTGATGCAGATTTCCCCCATCTTTCTAAGATTTTCTTGGGCTGAAGCATAGGAGAATATTTCTCTGTTCTGCATGTTGCATTAGGTCAAAGGAAACATTGGTATGTACTGTTACTTTGGCAGAAGCGGAAGTGTTTGTAGTTTTTACTGAAAATGCAGTTCCCCAACCATTTCAGCCTACGGAGAAAATTTGAAAATTCATACATGTGCTGAGTATAAGCCACAGCTGCCTAGTAATCACTTGAGAGGGAATTCGGGCCACTATATAGCCTTTTGTTGGAATGATGCCAGGGGAAGCAGATAAGAGGTTGCCCCTCCGCTGACTGGAAAGGGCTAGAACAGGTGTTGAAGAAAATTAGGAAGAGAGAGAAACAGTTATTTAGAAGTAACAACAAATTAAAGTGAAGGAGGTATGAGAAAAAGTGGCAGTTTATGAGAAGTGGATAAGTTAGGTATGGAAGAGGGGGAGGAGAAATTACAATGAGTAAAAACAGTTCTGAGAAGCTTGGTGTGGGGAGATGAAAATATAAAATAGGAAGCCCTCTCTGCTTAGAGTCTTTGGATCAACATCTTCTTCCTAAAGTGGAAAGCTGAGTCAGAATGCCCCCATACCTAATGTATGTATTTAACTCAAGGAAACTGAACTGTGGATCTGCTTGCTAGAAAGAGAACAGTGTGGTAAAGACTAAAAGCAATTTCCAAAGAGTGATCATAAATCAAAAGAAAACAATGTCAGTGTCAGCTGCTCATGCTGGACACTGCTTTGATAAGTCACCATTTTGTGACTGGAGGGTCTCAATAATTTCCAGCCATCTCAAGAGGGCCCTTTGAGTACAAAGTTTGGGAATGCCTAGATTAAGCAGCTAAAGACATTATAGTCTTGCATATTCCTCTCACTTTTAAGTTAGGCTCCCTGAACCCACACTCTTTCAGTTTAGCAGTGGATATACAGTAGAGGGTGGATAATGTGTCCAGCAAATAATTTAGCGGTCACAACTTTTCCAACACTTAATACACACCTAATAATTTCTGCCTCATGCAACAAACTGCACTGTGCTCCCTCAGCACAGCAACTTGTAGTGAACAGCCAGGCACAAAATTCTAAAGGCACCACTTTCCCAGACACTTGCTGCACATGCATCTGATGAATTTTTCCTGGACACCCCCACACACACCATGCACATTAAGCCCTATGTCAAACTGAAGGACCAATATATTTCTGTAACCTTTGAAAAGTTGCTGTGTTTTGTGAGTTCCTAGCAGGATATGGCAAGTCCTCAGCTATTTGCATTGGTAGAGCTCTCATGGCCTACTTGTTTGGCTGCTTCATTTAAAATAATAATAATGGGTGCAAAGTGAGTGCAGATTTGTCATGTGCTACTGAGATCTTTTCCACTGCACATAAGCCTGATATGTACACACTATGAATCTCTTGCCAATTTCTTAAAGCAGCTTTTAAACTAATCTCATAAAATCAATCACCCTTGGCATGGTTTTGCAGAAAGCTGAAATGTATTAGTGTTGTTAAAAGGTAAGTTTCCCCATCCATTTAAATAGAGATGATTGCTTTCAAAAATCTTATTCACTCACAAGACCCCCAGAAATATTTTTATGGCATTCACTCACATCTGAGTTTGACTTGTTTCTTACCACCTTGTCTTGCCCTTCCTTTACCACACAGGGAGCTTGCTGGATTTCCTGAAGAGTCAAGATGGTGGGAAATTACTACTTCCAAAGCTCATTGACTTCTCAGCTCAGGTAAATAATTTATTTTTATTTTTGGTACTTGGCTGGCTTGGCACTGGCTATGCTTCATTTTCACTGTTGTCTGGAAACCAGGTTTACTGAGACAGGTTTTGGATGCTGAAAGTTTGGTTTAAAGTGGATTTCTCCTGCAGATGTGGCAAGAGAAAATTGCTCTCTGGATTGCTGGGGCCCCAGGCACATTGTGTTATCCCCTACCATTTGTGGCTTAGTCAAGTCACATCTGGGTCCGTTTTGAGGAGGAAGTGGCAGGTCAACTATAGGTGGAATAATAGAATGATGTGCCTGGGTTGAACTATATAAATATAGCTACCCCAGTGCACAGCATGGGGAGATGTAACTGGCCTCATCCTGACCCTAGGTGTGTAAAGGTAGCCCTAACTGCAGTTTATGTACAATGCTACCTTTACTGTGTAAACTTTGCTTAGTTACGAAAGTGTAATTAATTGTATTTAGAGGGCTGCTGCCTGTTTGTCTCTCCAAATGTTGCCTGAGTTGCTGTGATGTCATGGAATATTCACAAATATTCTGATTAGCAGGGGGAATTGGCAAGAGAAGAAAGAGATTATTCTTGTGCTGTCTGGAAGAAGGCTGTCATTGTGTTTAGTAAAATAAATTGCTGCTTGCTACTGCCAAGGAGAATACAATGAATGTTGCCCAGGCCAAGGTGGAGCACTGGCTTAGTACGGTGGCAGGGGTGTCTAAGAGGCTGATGTACAACCTCTGAGAAGGATTGCTCCTAACCAGGAAGAAATGGGAGTGAATGAAATTTCCAGTGACAGATACTACTTCCTGTCAATGATGGGTAGCCCCAAAGAGTGTGCAGCAAATTCAGAAGTATTGCTCCTTATTCAGAAGTGACACGTTGCGAGGGATGGGCATCCACTGGCTCAATGCATCCTGGATCGCCTTGCTGGTGCTTGGAGCTGTGTGAAACTGTAACAGGCTCCAAAATTCCACAAACCTTGGAAGACATATCACAGAGCAGGAACCCATGCAGAATGGTGTTTGTAGTCCCTTCCGTCAGTTTAGAGAGTGCTTCCAAGTAACTTGCACCCTTATTTTCCCAAAAGCAGTAAAAGGAGCTACAAAAGTCCCTGTAGAAACAGACCCCATGACTATGGAGTGGCTTCATCTGCACCATGCAATTAAAGCACTATTATACCACTTTAAATAGTCATGGCTTCCACCACAAAATCCTGAAAACTGTAGTTTGCGAAGGGATCTGAGGATTGTTAGGGACCCCCTATTCCCTTTACAGACCTACAATTCTCAGAAAGAGGAACTGATTGTTTAAGCACTCTGGGAGTTGTAGCACCGTGAAAGGAATAGGGGTCTCCTAACAACTCCCAGCATCCTTAACAAACTACCATTTGTCTAAAGTAGTAGAATGGTGCTTTAAATGGCTGGTGTGGATGTGGCCAGAGACAGAAGCAGGGAAGGCAAGTCAGATGAGAGTCAGAGCAAGCACGTTGCATTCTGGTGAAGGTTGCACAATAGCTTGCTCTTGGTTTCGTCTTCCTTATTTTTGCAAATGGCTTTCATTCTCTTTAGAACAAATAGCAGCTGGTTGGAATATACTATGCTCTATTCATTGCTCATCTTCAAAACAATGGCAATGAAAAGAAAAAGTCTATGTGGAGAAGGGCCCACAGTGCTTGGGTAGATTTTAAACAAAAACATTTAAATCCTGTTAAAACAATATTTACCAGAGGGCACAGCACTACAGAGCAACATGTCCTGTACCAAATATCCTTTGAACATGACCTTAATTTCCTGTTGCAAAAGTTGGCCTCAGTCTGGCTGAAAATGGTTGTAATAGTAACAGACGCCTCATATCAACATCTTTATCTATGTCACATGCCATACTAGCAACGATTAATATCTATCTTCAGACTGTGTTACAGTTGCTTTCTTTTTCGTGGTGATTTCTTTACTAGCACTTGTATAGTCCACATTTCTGTTTTAAAACACACAAGTGGCTTCACAATAACACAGTTTTGAAACAGTGTAATATAGAACTTGAGAGTTTTAGCTTCAAACACGACCCAGACATGGTTTAAAATAGTATTTTTCCTCATGGAAATTTTCATTTCACGGAATAGATGCAGACTGTGAATAAATATTGAACATGCCTGGTAGTTTTAATTTTTTTAAGCTCTGATTACTAAATATAAGAAAAATAAATATGCTATATTACATCACTCTATAGGGCACCAGAAGCATTTCCAACAGAAGTATTTTTATTTTCTCTGATGCAAGTTACCATATGCAGTTACCCTAATCTTACAGCACTGAACATCATTGGTTCAGGATTAGTGATAGAACCATTTGTTAGGATTGCAAGTTGTGTTTAGAAGTTCATTCTTGGGGAACATCTGGAATGCATTGCTAGCCATTAAACGTCTGGGGGGTGGAGGGTCATATCTGGCATGGAAGGGGAATCTTAAATAATTTTTTTCCTGCACTAAATTGTAAACTATGTACCTGAACTTCTTGGACATGTGGAGTAGATAAAGTATGTGACCATGAGTCAATTGGAAAGAAGACCAGAACTCAGAGGTAGAGGGCATGCTTTGGGTGCAGAAGGCCCTAGGTTCAATCCCAGCATCTCCAGATAGGACTGAGAAAGAAACCCTAGGAAGGTCTTGCCAATCATGGTAGACAATACTAAATAGGTCATACTTGGCAGTTTCATATGTTCATATCTCCCTTCCAGTGTACGTGCAATATGCTCTCCCAATATGCTCAATATGCTATCCCAATATGCTCAATATGCTCTCCCAATATGCCCAATATACTCTCCCAACAGGCCAGCCTTCACTGAATCAAATGGTTTGGACTACAACTCCCATCAGCCCCAGGCAAAAGAAATGGCTTGTCTCTCTGGCCACGGGTGCTTGCCTGTGGAGCTGGCATCAGCATCTGGCACCCTTAAGCAACTGTTAGGAACCTGGCACCTGGACTGAGCTCACCAATGATGCCTGCTTCCACCCCTCCTTAACTTTTTTCTGGCCTGCTACTCTGAGCTGTGCCAGATGGCTGGGTCTACCTGCCATTTTAATTTCCACAGTGCTTTCGATGTCACAACACTCTGGGGGCATTGTGGGAAATTAAAATGGTGGCTAATCTAGCCATCTGGCTGTGTTTATAGCACTGCCACCAGCAAAAGGAGGGGACTTACCCAAGACTGCTTTGCTCAGGCACCCCACACAACCTTGGAATTGGCCCTGTTTGCCTGAAACCAATCCAGCCATTCAAGCAAACTCTTCCATTGTGAAGGAGCAAGTTAAAATGTGATTTTGTGGCCAGGGGTGGGCGGCTTCCTAAAATGGACTGGAGCAGGTGCTGATGACACACCTTCTCTAATCCTTCCTCACGGGTAGCAGACCACATGCTTCCCTTGAGTTTAAGTTCCAAATTTATCTGCTGGGGGTTTGCACCTGTGTGCTGCACTCTGCTGCCAATGTTAAAGACTCATGCTCTAACTGGGATTTTGGTTGGTTGATTGCTGGGAAGGGACCTAGAGAGGCCTTTTAAAATAACAAGACGTCTTTGCACATACCTTGGAAGTTCCCACTCCTGCTTCCTCTTCTCTAGACCCACCCAAGGACTGAAATTTGGTCTAAATTTGCTGCAGTCAGCTCATCTACTTGTTCATTTTCTCTCTCTCCAGGATGCAATACAATAATTGTTTCCTTGCAGGGGGAGAAATATCTGCAAGGTACAAATCCTTTGCACTAGGGCCAATCTATGCTTGGTGTCAGGAAGCATGATCCTTCATTTTTCTCCTCCTGGCATTATTTGTACCAACTTTATTGTTATTTATTGCTGTTCCAATCTGTAATGGGTTTGTTTGTCCTATCCAGCCTTTGTGCCCCCATTTCATCTCAATATTTTTTTAAAAAACTGACCTGTTGTAGGCTTCTTGTCTTTATAAATCCCTTCAGTCAACAGGCTTCTTATCACACTTCGACAGATATCTTAGCCTTAGCCCTCCTAGTAGAAAATATATATATATATAAATAAGAGGAAACAACAACAGATCCTGGGGACGGGAAATATTTGCCACTAAGGGAGTAGCTACATCCTCTGGTTACAAGAAGCCCTACTTTCTGAGCCTTCTGCACCAGAGAGAAACTGCTGGTCCTCTTCAAGGGCTTAGCTTTTGTGCAATATTTCTCTTCACAAAAACTGTGTTCAGCACTTGTGACAGTGTGGTGGGAAATACCACCATGGGTATTTTTCCATTGCCTGGCCCACAAAAAGAGGAACAAAGCGAGTGTGCAGTTCCTTTTTTTAAATAGATGCTGATCTGCGTATTGCAACAGGACTGGTACCCGAGACATTTTAAAGAGTATGCAGACATTTATGGTATCTATTAATAGTTCTGCAGTCCCTTGAACAGCCAAAACTATTTAAGCCAAATAAGTCCAACTGACTTTAAAAAGAATGAAATCTGGTTTGCGTGTGAAAACTTAAGACAAAAGTGTGTTGCTCATCAGGCTTGGTTGGGCTGCGTGTTGACAAACTTGCTCAACAAAACTAGGAACTGATACCTTTTACATGTTGCGTTGTTTTAGAAAATATAAAATAAATATATAGCTGGGAACTGAACTGAAAACTTTTAGCTAATGCAGCCCTGAAAACAATGATTAGTAGCTTTTCCAGTCTGCATCTGTCCTGGTCTCTCTGGATTAGGGACCCCTGTTTGTATCATAACAAAGAGACAGGTGGTATGTTCTGGAACTGTGTTACAAAGGGACAGAATTGGCTGCACCCTGATAGAAGTACTAGAAGTTGAGGAACAGAAGCGGGGCAACTATGATCTGAGCTGTGTTGTCTGTCTTCTGACATCTTTACCTTGCCAGGCAGAGACATTACATTACACCAAGAGTTGTCAACTGGGTGCCTCCATGCCCACTGGTGCCTTTGATGGTGCCCAGGATAGGTTTCAGTAAACATCACCTCAGAAATCCACAATGCAATTAGGGGGAGGCATGCCTGAACCATTTTGTGTTCCTGCCTCTTATCTTTTGGCTGTGGCCACCATTTTGTGTTATGTGACATGCACCATGGTAGCCATTTTGTGATTGGCACTCAGGGCCATTTCTCAAAATTCCAAATGTTCTCACTGGCCTTAAAAGCTTGGCAATCCCTGCCCTACACAGTCTTCTGCCCCTACCAGTTGAGGTGCAACAGAGAAAGAAAGGAGGCAACCTGCCATCAACATGGGGTGTGAGTGAGCTGCAAGGAGGGGAGGGGAAAGGAGCTGGAAATATTATTAATAATTATTATTATTATTTCAAGCAAAGCATATTTATAGATGGGAGCTGATTCATAGAAAACTAAATATTTGTGCTAGCACAAGGAGTAACACAATAGAAATTGCCCCCTTTCCCCCCACTGTGTGCACCTCAGAACAGATTTAAGGAACCCACAAGGGGAATGTTCCATTGCACAAGAAAAAGCCTAAATAGTTAACAAACCATATGGCAAGCCTATACCAAATGCTGTCCTTGGCTGTATGTAAAGGTACTATATGGCACTTCTGTAAACTGAAAATGAGGAAAACCTATGAATGTTGACCAACCCACTCCCCATTTCCCTCCTCTCCCCTCCATTTATAGATACAATCTACCATTGAGCAATGAATGATATTTAATGTAAGCAAAGGGGTGTTATCAGTACTAAAGTGTATCCATATTTTCATTTTTTAAATACTGGAGGCTGTGCATATCATGGCTAATGTGTAAAAATGATATGTTAAAAAAGGAGTTTCCCTGACCGTTTACAAATATTATTTGTGTGTGTATAAAAGTGCTTACAAAAAAGAACAGTACAAAAGTTAAAGATATTTTATTTGTTGTTGCAGATTGCAGAAGGGATGGCATATATAGAAAGAAAAAACTACATCCATCGTGATCTGAGAGCAGCTAATGTTCTCGTTTCAGAGTCTCTAATGTGCAAAATTGCTGATTTTGGACTTGCTAGAGTAATTGAAGATAATGAATATACAGCCAGGGAAGGTTTGTATCACATTATAATTTTAAGCCCTATAAGAATAATTCTGTTAATAGCCACTTGTTTCACTAGAAATATCTAAATGTCAACACACTCTGTTCTATCTCTGCTCTCTGCCCCTGGGATTTCCTACTTTGCTACTTGGTTTGCACTTGCATTTCTACAGAGAGACATAGCAGACCTCCACATTTTTCTCATGGGCTCCTGTCATAAAATCATAGAATTGGAGGAAGCCTTGTAGGCCATAGGAGCTAACCCCTTGCATGATGCAGGAAATCCAGAGCTAGAACATCTCCAGAAGATGGCTTTAAGACCTCCAGAACAGTGTCTGTTGCAGATGTCCAATGAGGGGCAGCCTTCTAAGCAATTAGTTCCATTGATCTTGAAACCAAGAAGGTTCTCCTAACATTAAACCAAAATCTACTCAATCTACTCTTCAGTAACTTACACCCTCTGGGGCAGTGGAGAACAAGTCTTCAGGTATTTGAAGAGTGCAAATTTGTCATCCCCCCCCCCCGGTCTTCCTTCCCAGGCTGAACACCAGTTCCTTCAACATTTTGTCAGAGTTTATTTTCCATACTATTGAAGAATCTTCATTGTCACTTCCAATTTTTCAGTCACTTTTCCCTTATGAATCACCATCTGAATCACCTTATGAATAGTTTTTAATGGTTACATGAATGAAACTGCTGTGGTTTTCCTCTCTGTAGGTGCAAAATTCCCTATCAAATGGACAGCACCAGAAGCCATTAATTTTGGCTCATTTACTATTAAGTCTGACGTGTGGTCCTTTGGAGTGCTTCTGTATGAAATAATTACTTTTGGGAAAATTCCTTATCCAGGTATGTACTTTTTATTTACTGCTTATTTGCCCTCAGTTTATACAGGTACCAGAGTTAATAGAAAAGGTGCAAACATGTAACAAGAGACATTTTGATAATTAGAAAATGTGTATTGGTTGCTGTACTTAAGAAAGTGTCTTCAAAGTACTCCGTTACAGGTGGAATGTGGGTTGAAACCATGCGAGTCTTTGGCCTCCCTGCAGTATTTAAAAAAAAATGAATTAATGAATGAATGCCTTGGCTTCATTCAATGTAAGAAACATATTCTGCAGCAACAGCAGCACGTTGTGCAATGATAGTCTTTGCTGTGTGTTTGCTGTACAGTGGTATAACTTGGTTTATGAACTTAATCCATTCCGGAAGTCCATTCTTAAACCGAAAATGTTATTAAACCAAGGCATGCTTTCACTAATGAGGCCTCCCACCGCCGGTGTCCTTCCACTGCTCGGATTCTGTTCTTTGTTGTTGTGTCTGACTCTTTGTGACCCCATGGATCAGAGCACGCCAGGCACTCCTGTCTTCCACTGCCTCCCGCAGTAAAGTTCTCAAACCGGGACACTATTTCCAAATCATTGTAAACCGAATCGTTCTTAAACCGAGGTACCACTGTATCATAACTGGAGTGGAAAGCTGAAAGCAGGCCCTGGGGTCAGAGCTGAATGTTACAGGTGATGAAACTCTGGGGATGGACTACAGATCCTTAGTACCTTTGGGGGGAAATTGAGCAGATCTCAGATAAGATTGCCTGCTGCTGATGCAATGGCCTTGGCAGATGATTACTTCTCTAGGGAAGGTCACTGAAAGGCCAAAATGCAAACATACAGTCTGTGAGAACACAGGTGACCAGTTTGGCTGCTAGGTAATCTTTGGGTCCTAGCTGCCCAGCACCCTCTTTGATACCACCCACTTTTTAACCCAGCCAACAGTGGAGCTCTGGCATTGGAGGGCAAGGGCATCTTGAGGTTTTCTGGCAGCAGGTATGGAGATCTAACCTAAGGTCTTCGTCTCAGACATCAGAGAGGGGGTTCTGATGTATCCTACCAGGGGTGTAGTGTAGGGAGGCCTTGGATCAGCTGACATTCAGTTTACAGTGCAATCAAATGTTTACTCAGAAGCAAGTCCCACTGCAGCACTTCACTGGAGCTGACTCCATAAATTATCTTAATTTCCTACAATTGACTTTCTCCAGTAACAAAAGCTTGACTATTCAGTGAATGAATTTGATATATGTATTAGAAATGCAGGGGTGGAGGAAGGTTTAGGATTGTTTGGGTTGCTTTTTTAGACTGACATAGCCAAATTTACTAGTGGAAGAAATATGTTTTTTTATCATTTCAGGGATGAGTAATTCTGATGTCATGATAGCTCTTCAACGTGGGTATCGCATGCCACGCATGGAGGCCTGTCCAGCTGAGCTCTATGATATTATGAAAACATGCTGGAAAGATAAAGCAGAAGAGAGACCAACTTTTGAATATTTACAGAGTGTCCTTGATGACTTCTACACTGCTACAGAAGGACAATATCAGCAGCAGCCCTAACAGGAAAAAGGAGGAGCTCCTGCCTCCAAATTGGTGTAGACCTCTTAATGGGACATTGTGGTTGCGCCAGTTACTTTTGTGCATTAGGATATCCTAACTGCTTGTGGATCCTGAAACTGAAGCTCAAGAAAATGTTGCAGGTGACCACTATCCAGCTTAAGGCTTTAATGTCCTCTATTGCTGGCACTTTCTTTCTATTTTTCTTAAGTACCCAGCTTCTTTTGACCCATCAGAAGATCAAAATCAAACTGGAGACAGCTGCAAATGTAATGAAGAGAAACAGCAACAACAACTGTTCATGACAGCAACCAGAACTTAGCCCCACATGTTCCAGTCATAACATGCATCTTAAAAAAAAAAAAGGTCTGTTTTAGGGCCCATCTATATGCTATAGTGATGCATGAGCTCTCGCCACCTGTTTATTTTAACTGAAAAGCTTTTGAGGCTGTGGGAGGGGAGGAGGGAGGACTGTAGAGCCATCATTTATTTGCTCAGAATTGCAACTTTTGGAATGGCTTGCCCACCTGCAGCGTAGAAAACACAGGAATGGCATCTTTCTTAAATTGGAAGCTAGCTTAGACAGCTTTCACTGAATTAACAGTGGCAGAGGAAATGTTTAACCAATCTGCCCACTTATCTCTTCCCTGGTCACCACTGAGGAGCTCATTTTTAATGTGTTTTGCCTTGTAAAAGTGGATTGGATGAAGGGGCTTAAACAGTAAAAGCTGCTGTAGTTTCTATACTTATGTAAAGAGTAAGGTGGAACTGGCACAGTTGCAATGAAGTGAATGAGACATTAGAATAGAGTGGTTCTCCCAATCCCCAGGAGCTAACCATGATTTTAAGCAAGAAACAGTCTTTCTGGCTCACATTACCTCCCTTCAAAGGACCTACCTGTAGAATCTGAAATGCAGTACATTTATACCAGATGATCTAAAGGTATAGTTTGTTTTCAAGTAGGAATCTGATAGGGATTAAATGAAGTGTAACCCTAGAGTCATGGCAGAAACCTTTCTACCAGTGTGGCTCATAAAGCTGCCCTTTTTAAAGGCAGCACTTAATGTTTAAATTTAAAAAGCACAGCTAACACAACATTCCCATTAGAAAGTACAGCCAGCTACTATTATAACCAAGTCTATACAATTTGTTGCACATATTACGTAAGTAGGATGCGGGAGTGGGGGCGGGGAGACACTTGAAAATCAGGTTTAAAGGCACTAGTTGTATAAAGTCAGATTGGACTGAAGTTATGAATAGGATGCGATCTCACTGTGCCTCAGCTTTCTCCAAAAGGGTTGGTTTTTTCTCTCTATCATGCTGAGACTTTTCCAAAATACTTATTCACAACTTGGTTACTATAGGAACATTGTGATTCTAACTATGTTCAGTTGCACAAACCAATATTTTTGTAGTACACGTGATATTTTACACTTTTTAAATGAAGGAATCCAGTTGACAAACTGGCAACCAGGCTGTCAACCTGTAAATACTGTTTTCATTTTATTGTGATTTTAATAAATAAGCGTTCTTGAAATTTCAAACCTGGCAGATTTTGAGTATTTTCTAAGTTGTTATCCCCCTGATAAGGAGACAACCACAGTAAATGGCAGCAACTATATTAAGTCTATGCTTCCTAGACAATTGTGTTTAGTTCATTCGCTGCTGCTTGTCAAGTATTGGTAAACATTTTTATTAGCATAAAATGGCTGCTTTACACATTTCCATCCAATTTCTTCATACAAGGAAAGCAATTCAATTCAATCACAGAATTCATGTAGCTTCATTCTACACATTTTTACAATGGTCCTGAAGCTGAGATAATGGATATTGTGATCTGAACATTAAGTATATTTCTTAAAACAAGGGAACTTCCAAAATTTATCCTAGTACAAGAACAACATAATCAATGGTGTGTTTAATGTGTTCTGGCATTCTTGATGCAGATAGTAGCACTATACAGCAACAAGATAATCTGAGGCCACATTTAAGCCATGCTTAACTTATGTTCAGCAAAGCATTTTATTTTCAAAGTAGAAATTGCCTCCAGTGCTTTTGCCTTCTCTGATTAACCATCAATTCAATACCTGTACTAATTCAGTAGCTGCATTAAACCCTCCCCAAGAAGGATCCTAATTACTCTCTTACTTTGTGTGTTGCTTAGGTCACTTGTGAGAGCTTGTAGAAGATGCCTCAGGTTTTTCTGAGTCTTTGTCACCGAGTGTTTTAGGAACATCTGCTAGGGTATGTTTCAGATTTGCAAAGAAGCCCTTCTTGGATTTCTGATGCTTCGAATCTGTGCTTAGGAGTTTTTTGCTTTCACGTAGCTCCTCTTGTAGAAGAGACACTGTGGCTTCAAGCTGATTGCCACGCTTAGCCCGGTTTTGAAGACCCTTGACTTCTTCCTGTTAAGCCATGGAAGGATGCATTAGAGGTAGAATGAGTCCTGGCATTTACTGATTTTAATATATCTCACTGGCATCCTCTGAAGGTGAGCAGCCAAAATGAATACATAGTTAAACATTTTCTAATAGGTTAGAGGCCATCTTGAAATCGCCAGTTCTCAGTCAAGACGATACCTCTGTTGCTTAGCTGGTATGTACAGCAGTCTACTTCAAATATAATGAAATGCATTGTAAGACCTCATATTTTCTATTATTTGCTCACCAAAAGCTTGAATAGGAAGAGAGCAGAAAATTGCATTTTCAAGTTAATCTTCTTATCCTGATAAATTTGAAATATAGAGAGTTTCAAGTCATGCAGGAGGTTAAGACTAACAGGTATAGCAGTCATAAGCAGGAGAAATAGCTGAGAGAGAGAACAGTCAAATGCAGCTTTAGTAGCCATGTGACAAACCTTATGCATCATCACTTGCTTAAGTCTATTATTTTCTTCCATTGCTTGTCTGTAGAGTTCATTGGCATCTTGCAACATTTCATTTAATTTCTCTATTTTTAAGTTCAAGGATCTTATTTGCTGCAAAAGAATCTTATTGTTACGATTAGTGTTTAAAGGGAGAGTCATGTTGGTGTAACTCTCTGCTGCAACCTTTGACTGACCGTGATTTTGCTCTATTGTAGGGTCAGGGTTTAGGAATCCGCTAGCCCCCAACCCTGATACTGTTGGACTCCCAACTCCCATCAGTCCCATCCAGTGGTCAGGAATTGTGGGGGTTATGGTCCAGCAACAACCGAACTACCACAGGTTCCCCATCCCCACCTTACTTATTTTACCAGCCCCTGATCAAAGAGCTCTAAGAAATATTTTGATAATGAAGCAGAGAATCAGGAGGGACCACGGAAGGAATCGGGAAGTTACCTTTTCTCTCTCATCACATTGTCCCTGCGAAGCATCTGAAGCATTGCATTTAAGATCTGAGAAGCAAAACAAGGCTAAGAATATTTGGACCACTTTTCAGGAAAAAAAACCTTAAGCTCAAGAATGCAGGTTGCTTACCTGGATCAATATTCCCTTCTGCAGAGTCTAAATTAGGACTTTCTGAAGGCAAGGTATTGAGTTTACCAAGTTTTGCTTTCAACTCTAGTATTTTCATTTCTCTGTCCTGAGCAACAAGATGAATTATAATAATTTTGAATCATAATAATTTACTCAAATGGTACATTTTATTGTAGTAACAGCATGTGCTTTAAAAAAAAAAAGCTTAGCTGTTCTTCTCCCCTGCCCCACCATCACTTTAAGCAACAATTAAGATAACTTTTAGCACCTATTTCCTTATCCAATATGATGAGCTTTGGAAAACAAACATATTTGTGTCACATCCCACTTTGGTCTAATATTTTCTGCATTAAATATATTTAGGAACTGTTGAATAGTGGGTAGACATGGCAGACGACACAGCGATTTCTCCAAAGCAGCTCTTTATTTTGTAAGCTGGAACAAAACTCAACAGCAAACAGCTTAGCCGGCCTGCTTTTATAGGCAGCCGGCTGTCAACATTGTAGCAACAACAACCCAGGGTTTCCCGCCTAAAATAACTGACGTGGACCTGAGTGAAAACTATCTACAGTATCCCCCTGATGGCCCAGGGTGAGAACTTCAGTACATAACAGGAACCCTTTCATGTCTAAAACTTTATTGGTATACCACCAGACAATGTACTTTTGGCTGACACCTGTCAAAATATTTTGGGGGCACACAACATTTCAAAATACATAGGCACATCCAAAGTCACGAGGATTAACTAACATCACTCTCTCCCACAAAAAACCACAGCCCAATATAACCCCTACCTTTTCAGAGCTTTCATTTAACAACTTAACCTTTTAACAGAATTCCTGCAGATACCTTGGAAAGAATGCCAGCGTGTACAATGGACAAAGATAACAAGTTTTAGAGAATAAGTACCTCGACCTTTGCTTGCTCAGCAATGAACTCCTCTACTGGCACATAGTGGTTTTCAATTTGATCCATTGCACACATGTATGCATGCTTCTTTATGGCCTCCTTGTACATTTCAAATTTACTCTCCATTTTTTCTTCATACCTTTCTTTCAGATCTTCTAAGCGTTTACTGGATAGTATTAGCAATGAGAGACAGACAAAATACTTTTAATTACTAATTATCTATACTAATGACTCAATTAACAAGCCTACATAGGGGTGGGTACAAAATGCATCCGTCTCCAATCCCAGCACCCTTTCCCTATCCTGCACCTGAGGTCAGAAGATCTTCCCTCTGAGCAGTAGCACAGAGGAATTGTCAAAATATGTCTCTTATCTCATTTCTATTATATAGAAGCCCTCGTTTCATTTAATGGGAAGAACTCCAGTTCCAACCCATAGCTAAGATCACAAATTATGTCCCATGCATGTTTCCTAGAGGTTTCCTGTACAAATAAGGACTAACCTCATAGTAACTGACATCTGGCCAACCCCTCCTCCTTTTACCCCTCCCTCCTTTGCCTATGCCCTCACAGGCTGCCCAAGCCTTCCCTCACAGCTTTGCCACCTCTCTTTCCTTATAGCTCAGCCCCTCCTACTTTAAAGGAGGGTAGGAACACTTCAGAGAGCAGTTTGCAAAATTACTCTCTGAAGTTCCTCCGGATCTCCTTTAAACAGCTTCCCTGGTCATCAGCCTGCTGGTCTGCCATCATGCTGGAGTTGCTGTGGCCACATGAACTGCAGCATGAAGACAGGCTTATAATTTTATTACATAGTAAGAAGTAAAATCAATTTACTACAATATACCTTACTTCCTAGTAAATGTGCACTGGATCGAACAGTGAAACTCAGATTTCCATTCAGAAAGAAACTAGAAATGTGAATGCCCACCATTTTCAACAGAATTAAACCCACTATTTATTATTAATTATTGTTATTATATCCTATCACTCTAGTAGTACAGTCCCATTGCTGTTGGCCTGATATAAACATTGAATTAAGCTGAAGGGTGGCTAATAGAATTTCTTATATTGGCCATCCACTGTATTGTGCAAGACACATGGTTCTTGGTTCCATACAAGTATAGTAGTACAAAATAATTTTAGCTAAGAGGTCTTGAGACAGTAGAAGATGTCTCTAACACTTGGATGTTATCACAGAATATATTTAAATGATTGCTAGAAAGCTATTGCACAAATATTTGGAAAAGCAAGGCATTTTCAAACCAACTGCTTTGAAATAGTTCAGCATGCAACACAAAACAAAAGATCATGGTACATCAGTGGTCTGTCCTAGAATAAGGCATCCGTAAATATGATGCCTTATTCTAGAACTGATGATGTGCTAAGCCATGCTTGGAGTGGTGGGTGCCTGGGGCCTTTCAGTTCCTCACAGCTACAAAGTCTTAAGGCTCACCTCCAGGCTTCTTCTGTTTCCATCAGTTGCTGAAACATTGCTTCGGCCATCTCCTTGCGTATTTGCACCTCAAGGAGCAGCTTGCCTTGCCTCTCTGCAATCAGCTTGCTCTTCAAGATCTCTGTCATTTTCAAGAGATCCTGCAGGAATGAAGTCAAATTAAGAACATGGAATCAAGAGCAGAAGACAGCATGAGGTGCCTGAGCTAACATTTGCCATTCATTAGAGTAGGACTGGGAGACCATTCCCCACCTCCTGTCAAGGGCCTCCCTTCCCCAACCTTGTGCTCTCCAGATGTTTTGGACTATGCCTCCAATCAGCCCCAGCCAGCACAGACTTGTAGTCCAAGCATCTGGAGGGCACAAGGTTGGAGAACATTGCCCTAAGGGGTAATCAGCCAAGGGTCACATGCTGGTTGGTAGGGCTAAGAAACCCATTACACAACTGGGAAAATACTTAGTGTTTTCTATCTGCTGCTAGGGATGGAAGGAACTGCCAGTTATGGTTCTCTCAGTTTCTCATTTTTCCAATCTTAAATTTAGTTCTCCATATTTCTGCAGAAATTTGTAAAACCTTGTTTGTTTGGAGAACCGCATCAAAAAATTGAGATAAGTGGAAAAACTGAAGGACTGTGTTTTAGTTCTCATTTTGTTTCAGAAAGTGTGGATTTGATAAATTCAGCTTTAAATGCAAACTGAATTTAAATTCTTCCCCGTCCCTAACCGCTATAGTCTGTTAAGGATTTAGGCTAGGTAACACTACTCAAAACAGTCCAAACAAAGTATTATATTGATTTAAGAATCACTCCATTAATTTTTAACACTATTAAGATGATTTATCTCCTACTGAGTAAGCATGCACCAGATCATCTGAAAACAGTTTTAAACATTACCTCATGGTTCATAATAGTTATATCTATTTCCTCTTCTTCAGAGGAGATACAAGAATCCTCTGGAAGCTGCTCTGCAGATATGTCATCAAAGTGCACTGTAGGCCTATCATCCCTTCCAATATATTTTTTGGGAAAATAATCAAATATTTTGTGTTGGAATGTTTGAATAACCTGAAAAAGAATACTGTGTCAGTGGTTTAAATTACAAATAAGAGCACAATTTCACAATAAATTGTAGTTTTGCGTTATCTGCCCTGGAAGGCCACAAAGGGAATTTTTAGAACTTTGGGAAGTACACTGCAATGATTATAATTGAGAAGCAAGTTGAAAAGTTCAGTTGTCTAAGGAACCAAGCTTTAAATGCATTTGTCATGGCATATCTGTTCACAGTTTACACTGCAGCTCATATACACACATAGAACTCAAGCATGTGCGTGCTTTTGCTGAAGCCTTCTAACATGCATGTCTTCTCCATTTACACAAAGAGGAGGTAAGGTTAAGATTTAAGAGACAGAGAGCAGTAAGGTATGCTCTTTTGTTTCTTAAATTTGGACTCTCTCGGGTTCAGGATACCTTCAGCCATTTTATCCCAACTCAGTCTCTGGGATCATCCAGTGGAGTCCTGTAGTTGCTGCCTGTGTTTTAAAAGCCTGGCCAGTTCCAACTATAAGCCAGGCATTTAGTGTCGTTGGCCCCATGACGTGGAACACACCAGCAGCAGCCATTTGGCAAGCAGCCTCCCTGCTAACTTGCAGACTCCTCTTGAAGCCAAACAGGCCCATTCAATTGTTTCAACATTTTTTCCAAGATGAGCCAATTACACTTACAATTATTTTGTGCTGTTTTATGGTATATTATATTTTATTGCATTTGTATACGCTGTTGTATACAACCCTGGTATTTTATATTAGTGGGTGGTATGCCAATAATAATAATAATAATAATAATAATAATAATAATAATTTATTTGTACCCCATCCATCAGGCTGGGTTTCCCCAGCCACTCTGGGCGGCTTCCAAGATTAAAAAGACATTAAAATGTCACACATTAAAAACTTCCCTAAACAGGGCTGCCTTAAAACTACAAAAACACCACACACACATATTTGCTGCTGTGAGCTGAAGACTCAGAACATCGACAGAAGACATGAGAGTCTGGATATATATCAGGCATGTTATATTTGAGGTTGTAAGACTAGCTGCTACATTTTTTTATGTTGTCGTGCATTACAGTTAGATGGCCCAAGCAAGTAAGTGTTCCTAGTAAAGAGGTCAGGATCCTACAGGCTACTTGGCATGGAGACACCTCAGCCAGGAAGCATTGGCTCATAAAGAAGATAATTTCCATACGGTTGTCTCCACCCCCATCGTTCAGCCTGGACACTGAGGTCCAGCTCCAAGGGCCTTCTGGTAGTTCCCCCACTATGAGAAGTGAGGTTACAGGGAACCAGGCAGAGGGCCTTCTCAGTAGTGGTGCCCACCCTGTGGAACACCCTTCAGATGTCAAGGAAATAAACATCTATCAGACTTTTAGAAGACATCTGAAAGCAGCCCTGTTTAGGGAAGTTTTTAATGTTTGATTTTTTATCGTATTTTTAATATTCTGTTGGGAGCCATCCAGAGTAGTTGGGGAAACCCAACCAGATGGGCGGGGTATAAATAATAAATTATTATTATAAATTATTATTAGTAGTAGTATTCACCCAGGAAAAAACAAGGTAATGGTGCTTGGGGTATGTTGTGAAGGGCACAGCCTTTTACTTACTTGCTTTGCTACAGCAGAAAACTTCATTACATGCAATGTCTCATCATAGGTAGAAGCACACTGGTTAATATTGACAATCATGCAAGCTTTGCCTTTACCACAGAAGAATGGCTGGAAGAGGCGGGTCAGTTTACTCTCTCTGAAGGGAATGTATGCTGGCCTTAATCTTAAGGGAAAGTTTTATTAACATTAATTTCAACATGTGCATGATTTGTAAAAGCAAGCATGGATTCAGACATGTGTGATTGCTATCTGCCCTTTATCTGCACATCAAATACTTATTAGGACATAGCTGTTTTCACATTCAACAGATTGGTCCCATATTCATTCATTTTTAATTATTGCCAACAGACTATTCCATCTACTTATTTTTTTAAAACTAAAGAGAAGAATAGTGCTATAACACTATATTGCAAAAATGCTAAACAGTTGTACCTTGGTTTTTGAACAGCTTATTTCCCAAATGTTTTGGCTCCTGAACGTTGCAAACCTGGAAGCGACTGTTCCAGTTTGCAAACTATATTTGTAAGCCGAAAGTCTGATGGGGCTTCTGCGACTTCTGGCTGGCTGCAGGAGCTTCCTGTAGCCAGTCAGAAGCCGCAATTTGGTTTTCAAACATTTTAAAAGTCGAACAGACTTCTGGAACGGATTCTGTTCAACTTCCAAGGTATGACTGTAGTACTATAATGTTATAGCATTATGGTGTTACAGCACTATACCTCTTTCATTTAAAATATACGGTAATTATAGCCATGAAATCATTTAGCAATAACTAAAATAAAGATTAAAACAAAACAAAATTGAGTCATAAAATAGCAAGGGTCATAGTGAATGCCTGCTGAGAAGTACTAGGCTGATTTTCTTAATATGTTTTGACCATGTCAAAAACCCCAAAAGACAGAAAAGGTGTGCTAACGGCATCTATATCTAGTGGTTTTTTTCTGGGGGGGGACGCAGGAGTACACATGCCCCTAAACACTTTGTATATCTAAATTTGGCCTCATTGAGGGGCAGTATTTCAATATGAGTAGAAAAATGAGAGTACCCCTAAACATTTTTTTAAGAAACAAAGCACTGTCTGTATCTATGAAAGCTGTGTACTTTTCCTTTCTTCTGAAAAAACACAGAGAGAATTTTTGAAAACAGAGAAATGGCATAAGCAGCACAGAAAAAATGCAGGCTGTTAATGACTGGAGGACAGCATAATGTGGCTGCCTCATAAAAAGCGTGCATACAAAAAAACGAAAATAATAGTGTTAAAATATGTTTTCAGCACTCTTAACCAATGAAACAGACACCTTGCTTCTTGGGGAATATAAACGTATAACAATAGGTTAGACTAAACAGTTTTATGTGAAACTGGTGTGAAGATTTACTTTTGTCACTTACTTAGGGTTTTGATTTTGCTTTAGAGCTGCAATGCATTTTCCAAGAATAAGAAGAGAATTATTAATATTGCCTGCTTCTTTCAGTCTGTCTCCAAAGGTTTGTGCTTTATGGCATCGTTCTGATCCAGCCAAGTCACAGAGAGAGAGTCTGTACAAAGAATGCAGCTGATTTTAATATCATTCTTTCTTTTGGAATTAATTTTTATTCGCGTTTTTACATACAGTTCAAAAAGATTAAGTAAAGAATAAATGGAGAAAATGAAAACAAAATCACAACAAACCAAAGACACAACACAAAACATCTAAGGACTTCCTATCAATCTTTCAATCCATCAATCAATATTTGAATTTTAGGTAGCCTGGTACAACACAGACTCATAGTATTTTTAACAAGTAAAATACACACTGTCAAGTAATAACTTTTATTATTGACCCTGTATTTTTACTGTGTTTTGGGGTAAGTGTGTTCCAATGGCCATCTTCAGCTGTTGATAAGCATGTCACAAAGTTATGGATTACTGTGACAGTAAGAAGCTGCACTGAACTGCCCCATCCTGTCGGGAGGAGGAGTTTCTAAGCTTTTACTATCATTTTGTCCTGGAACGATAGACTGTGATCAAGACTTTGAAGCAAATCAACTTCAAACTACAGGTGATCAAATTGGCTTGGTTTTTTAAAAAATTAAAATCTCAATAAAATGCATATGTATATCAATTACGAAAACAGAACAAGTAAACATGCAATACAGATTGATGCAATATTTACAGTAAGCCTGCAACATGCAGGGGTTCCGTTCTGGGGATGGTCCCTAAAGCCAAAATTGTGTATGGTCAAAATACATTGGGTTCAATGGTGGGTGGGATTCCCAAGCTCATTTCCCTCCAAATCCTGTCCCGTTTCAAAGAAGAAGAAGAAGAAGAAGAAGAAGAAGAAGAAGAAGAAGAAGAAGAAGAAGAAGAAATAATAATAATAAAAAAAATATTATTTTGCCATGCACATAAAGTTGAATACACACAAGTTAATTGCATGTAAGTTGTGGGTTTACTGTATATTAATATCCCTTGACACCTTAAGACAGTTTCCCTTTTGTAGCACTGTTAATCTGTTACTTAACTGAACAGTTAATGTTGACTGCAATTCCACAAACAGAGAAAACAGCGAATTGTAGCTAACTAGAATTTGAAGTGAATGCTTCTGATTTCCCAGCTGCATGGGAAAGAAGGTATGCTCAGGGACTTAGCTCACTTCAGCTTGTTCCTGGCACTAGAAACCAAGGTGGGGAACCTTTTCGGCTCTGTGGGCCAGACCATTATAAAATTCTAGGCTTGTAGACAAAACTTGATGCAGGAGGCTGCCCACCTGTCAATCAGCTGATATCATAATGATGTCGGGTGGTTGGGTTCCAAAATCAGGACTTCAAAGTACTACACAGCTCTTGCAAAAAAAACCCCATGTGATGCTTTAAATGCCCAAGGCTTTGACTATTCCACCCATCTGTTGATGAACGGTGAAGCCAAAGTGTCAGAGACCAGACTGAGGATTATAGCTTTGATGAGGAATTGTGGGAACCTCCCCCTCTTCCTGCTCCTAACCAGGATCCTGAAGCTACCCAGGAACAGTGGAGCAGTATAGATTTAGAGAATTGGTTTGCAGAGGGACATAGTTTGGAAAACAACAGTTGGGCAGAGCTGAATGGGGAACAGCTAGGAGAAGCAGAACAGGAAGAGAGAGAGAGATAACCGACTCTTCTTCGCTGGAAAGTGTCCAGCCGCTCTCTCCAAGGGCAAGGAGAGCTGATAAGGTTGCTACACAGAAGGCTCCAGTGGTTGCGAGATCAGGTTGCAAGAAGGGGGAAGTGACGGAGATGGACTTGGGGGGAAGTAGGAGGAAAACTTAATTGGGAGCACCTTTACTCCCAGAATGGCTGTGTTGTTCTTTTGCTGTGATCATTAAACACTTTTATACTGGCAAGGTAATTGCTTTGTTCTGCTGATGCACGGCTAAAGGGGGGGGGGAGCCATTTCTCCGAAGCCTGACACAAAGCCTGCTTTCTGCAAACATTGGAACTCGCTAGTGCAGCCAGTTCAGCAGGCCTGAAGTTTGCTTTCTCTTGCCAAAGCTTGTGGCACTAGTAGGTGTGTTCTCTACCTGCCTCACACCTGACACCACATATGATGGTTTGGAGAACACAGGTGGTTTGGTGAAAAACAGCCTTGTAGGCCAAATATGAACTAATGGCAGGCCTGGCCTGGCCTGCAGGCTGAAGGTTCTCTACCTGCTATAAACCTTGGCTTATCATGACATTCCCATACAATCAGTTTGTGTACAGAGTTACCCTGTTCACCTTGATAGATGAAGCTACACAAACACAAGGACAAAAAGATCTATATACTGCAAAATCAAAACACACTGTGGCATTTGTACAAGCCCATTTACAAAGAAGAAGATTTTGTCTTCACTCAACTTTCTCTGCACCAGGAAAGCAGTGAGACCTACAAAGCAAAGTCTCAACATTGTTCCAGTGCCAAAGACAGGAGCTCCAACCATAGGCCAGTAAAAAAATGCTTGCACTTTAGCATAGTTTAAAACTGAGAACACTAGTTTGTCCTCAACAACTTTGCCACACAAAGGAAGATTCACTGTAGTACATATTTAGCAGAAGCAAAAAAACCACTTACTCAGAGACTCCAAGAACTCGTGGCACACTCTCATCACTCAAGCTGAGCAGTCGAATAGAAAATATACTGTGACTGGAGGAAAAGAGACACAAGTTCAATTTTTTAATCATGTCATTATTTAATTACTTTGTATTATGCTCTATAGGGACGCGGGTGGCGCTGTGGGTAAAACCTAGGACTTGCTGATTGCAAGGTCGGCAGTTCGAATCCCCACGGCGGGGTGAGCTCCGGTCGTTCGGTCCCAGCTCCTGCCCACCTAGCAGTTCGAAAGCACCCCTAAGTGCAAGTAGATAAATAGGTACCGCTTTATAGCAGGAAGGTAAACGGCGTTTCCGTGTGCTGCGCTGGTGCTGGCTCACCAGATGCCGCTTAGTCACGCTGGCCACATGACCCGGAAGTGTCTCCGGACAGCGCTGGCTCCCGGCCTCTTGAGCAAGATGGGCGCGCAACCCTAGAGTCGGACACGACTGGCCCGTACGGGCAGAGGTACCTTTACCTTTACTTTATGCTCTATATTGTGCTTCTTTACTTTCTCCTGTGGGGCTTAACTGATGTAGTGCTTGAATAATCAATTCACATATATATTTGTTTGACATCTGTCTGGAAGTATTAATATTATTTAGAGTTTTTTATTCCTTTTATATTACAAAGTACATAGCTTTAAAAAAGTAGAAGATATAAAGAGACGGTATCTCAAAATTGGATGGGGTGGGGTGTTTCAAAAAAGAGAGAAGAGAAGAGAAGGTATCTTACAATTAGTCATATTGAGATAATGCATATAAACTTTACTTAACTGAAATTTTGGCATACAGCACACAAGCAACTTACTAACATTTAACTTTACAGGCTTGGCCAAAATGTGTTATACAAAATTTGAAAAGGGTCAGAAAAGGGGTGGGCATCCAGAGGTGGAAACTTTGGCAATCCCACCCACCATTGAACCCAATGTGTTTTGACTATACACAATTTTGGCTTTAGGCGTGATCCCCAGAACATAAGCCCCATGAAAGTTGTGGGCTTACTGTTTAATAATACAGCAAGCCACCCATAGAAAAATATATTTCTTTCTATCAAAACATCAAGACTCCATAATGTGCACTGGATAACATATCTCCTATAATGATCAATAAAACATTTTTGCCTGAAAATATCCCAACTTTAATTTTGTCCTTTGAGTCTGATAAAGGAGGTCAATTTAGCCATTAAAGCAGAGTCCCAAATTTTACCATACCATTCTATAATTGATGATACACCTCTGCCTAGAATTATATTCAGATGCCAAAGCTTCATAATACTCTTAACGTGCTGTTCTTCAATGTGCACAGTTTTTAACATGCAAAAGCATTCATCAGAAAAAAGTTAGCTATGTCTAAGGTCCATGCAGATCAATGGGACAAATTCAGAAGTCCCATCATTTCCCCTAAGATGGGAAAAGTCCCATATTTTCCAAACTTTCCCTGGGTTGGAGGAAATATTTGGAAATTAACTTGGCATGTGGGTATATCCCATATGCTTAATTTTTAAGCTAATTATAGAGAGGTTAAGGGGCTATGGTTAAGGCAATATATTACTTTTTCTTTAAATTAGATTATGTAAAAATAAAAATAAAAACCAACACACCAAATACAAAGTAACCTTGAAAATTGGCAGCTAGATTCCAGAATAAATCTAGTGCCAGTAGAAAGGATAAAGGGCAATAGTCAAGAATACAGTGTTTAGGATATCCACACTCTCTCTCCAAAACCAAAAATGGCTGGACTCTGGGTGTGAATGGCCATGCTCTAGTCTTGTTTATCTATCAGGGCTAGACAGGCCCCTTCTGCAATTAAGAAGGGCTAAGTCTCCTTCTCCAAGTCTCCTAGGAAACACCGCAACACAAACTAGTTGCAGCCGAGTGATCATTAACGAACAGATAGTTCTCAACATTAATCATTGATTTTTCCACAAGCAGAGATCCTTCTAGCCAGGAAGTCCAAGATAGCATATCCTTCTCGTAACAAGAAAGGGGCATTGCTGTCGCAGGATATGAACCAATTCATCCTCATTTTGGTTCTGCCAGTGACTTGCACACATCAAGCAGGTTTTAAGATTTTGATCTAAACAGCAGCCCCTAGTGCTGTATAAAAAACAGGAACATCCAGGTGTGCAACTTGCCACGGGCACAGAGAGCTGCTATTTGAAGAATGCTGTCATCACCCAGTAGCATCAGCTGGTGGACAGGTGTGCATGCTGTCGGGGAAATGGCCTTATGGGCCCAAACTGGCTTGTGAGCCCATAAATCATAGAATCAGAGTTGGAAGGGACCCTGAGGATCATCTAGTCCAACCCCCCACAGTGCAGGAATATGCAGCTGCCCCATATGGAGATCAAACCTGCAACCGTGGCGTTATCAGCACTATGCTCTCACCAACAGAGCTATCCACCCCTGGTTTAAAACCCTACATAGTTAATTGTGGTCTTAGTAATGCCATTAGCCTAAATTTTTTATTATTATTTATTGAATTTATAGAGCGGCCTATACTAGGAGGTCTCAGGGCAGTTCACAGAATAAAATCAAAATATAAAACCAAAAAATACACAATCAAAACCAAAACAACAACAACCCAATAACCACCACCACCTCCTTAAGGAACAAGAACCTCTAAAATGAGACTGCAAACCTTCTGCTTGATTGTTGGTTCATCCTGGTGCATGCCAAACTTCTGTTCTTATTTCCTACTTTAAGAATTTTGCAAGCCTCATCTGTACTCTTTATACTGATCCACTTTAGGTCTGGGGAAATAAGGTATTTTATACAATTAAGTATGCATAACCATCAGAAAAACAGCAGTATGTAAACATTTTGGCACGTTTACAGCATACAGCACTTTTCTACTTGCTTACACAAGAAACCAGACCCACTGAGTTCAAAAAGTTTTACTTATATACATAAATGGGTGTAAGGTTACAACCTAAGTGTGAGAACATAATGGAGATCAAGATAGATTTGAAACAGCGGCAGCCTAAAGCAAGGGTGGCTAACCTGTGTGACCTTCCAGATGTTCTTAGACTCCAACTTCCATCAGGCCCAGCCAGGGATGATGGGAAATGTAGTCCAACAACATATGGAAGGTCACAGGATAGCCACACCTAATGTAAAAAAGCAACAAATATTATTGTTTTTAAAATTATACTAATCTGGAATCAAACCAGAATTTGAAGGACCACAGATATAAAGTATGGATTTTTGGATTTTTGAATAAAAACAGTAACACATAAACAAAATGGCATATTTTTAAATACATGTCTGTCTTCACGAGTTGGGGCAGCATAGAACTATTATTTTTAGATGCAAGATGAACAAGATTTTGGTGATCAATAACTGATCTCGCACCTCTTAATTTGCTTTAAAAGCAGCTGGCAGGGAACAAGGGAGGGAAGAAAACGGATGTGTGTTGGCTTTGAATTCAAAAACTCCTTCACCAGCACTACAGATGCCCCTAGGTTCTTCTTAACAGCACAAATAGCCATGATATAAAAATGGTGGGGGAAGGTTAACCATTCTCAAGCACACGGAGCCATAACTGGCCATCTGTATTCAGTGACTATAACCAAACAGCTCAAAGCAATCCATCCGTGGAACCTTTTCAAGATAGAACATAACAAAAACATGGGCGAACTTCATTACACCTTAGATTATTTACAATGGAAATCAAGGCTTACAAGTGCATTCTGTACATTTATTTGGTCTTGCAACTACTTGCTAAATTTGGCTGAGAGTGGGAAAGCTGCGCCCCCTGGTGTCAAGAGCTTCCTCATGCAGCTGAAGCTGTCCACTGTCCAAGAAATAGTACAGTGGTACCTCGGGTTACATACGCTTCAGGTTACATACGCTTCAGGTTACAGACTCTGCTAACCCAGAAATAGTACCTCGGGTTAAGAACTTTGCTTCAGGATGTGAACAGAAATCGTGCTCCGACGGTGCAGCATCAGCAGGAGGCCCCATTAGCTAAAGTGGTGCTTCAGGTTAAGAACAGTTTCAGGTTAAGAACTGACCTCCAGAACGAATTAAGTACTTAACCCGAGGTACCACTGTATTTGGCTAGATCAGTGGTTTTCAACCAGCGTGCCATGAATGATAGTCAGGGGTGCCACAGGCAACACTGGCCTCTGTCCCTCTTTCCTTCCCTCCCTCTTCTGACACCCTCTTGCATCTCTGCTTCCCAAAGGCTTGCACAGCTGTTTATTGCATCAGCCCTGGCTGTAAGCTCTGCAGGCAAATGGTGCCTCTGAGAGACACCTCTATTTGGGGCGAGGGGGGGGGAGCAGCTCAGAGACCAGGGATGGCAGCAGCTGCTGCCCAAAGGAGAGGGGAGAGGAGGCTGAGGGAACACTCCACAAGGGAGGGTGCTTGACAAGGGTGAGAGGCTGCCAGCTCTGGAGGCAAGGGGTGACATAACTGGGCTCGTGAACCCCACAGGGGTGGCGCAGAAAGAAATGTAGTTGGTCAAGGGAGCCGTGGACTCAAAAAGGTTGAAAACATCTGGGCTAGATGGATTCTTGAGACCCAAAAGAGTAATTATTCCTTTGAAGCAGTACCACCAAAGTTGCAGCATTACCTTTTACGTAAGAGTTTCCTCCCTGATCTTCGCATATCCTTAAAACTTTGCGCTTCTGATTTTTCGATGCAGGCACTACATCCAGTAGGTCATAGATGTACTCATTGTAGATTTCAAAGAAAGAAACCCAAACAGATGCTAGGGTCCTGGGGCACTTGCTATAAACCTCAGAATCTAAACATTCAAGGATGGTGAATAAAGGGAGTGTTGTTTATTGTAAGGTTAAATTTATTTAACTGCCCTTTGCCCTAAGGTCGCGTTCCAACATTAAAACACAGTATCAGAAACAGTTTAAAACAACTTACAGTAGCAGAAGGTATGCGCTATTTTTGTTCTCATTTATGGATACTTCCTCCCAGGACAGCTATTGCACCATTCTTGTGGAAGCATTTGGTGCAAGGCACATACTTTTGCATTACTACACATTATTGCACTAAAATCATTGGATGAGGTCTCCTGGTTGCATTGTGATTCACTTAGTAGTAACCAGGAGGGGGGTCTTTTCAACAGCAATGCCCTTCCTGTGGAAGCACCTCCCCCTCTGACAACTTTGGCACATGCTGGAAACACATTTATTCCTGGAGGCCTTTGCTAAACATCAGTACCAGCTGGATTCTTTTAAATGCCTGCTCTGAATTTAATCATTTTATTTTGTGATATTACATATGAAAGTCAATATACAAATATTTTAATAAATAAACATAGGGATATTCTTTCCCCAATATCCTACAAAAATTAATCCTGTTTTTATACGATTAGTAAGCAATGCTATAGCGACCATTTCACACAATTCTATATGCATTTTTAACCACAAATATTCACCCATTACCTGATTCATTCAAAACAAAACTTGGTGAGCTACAGCTACTAGAAGTTGAGCCTGATGCACTTGAAGATGTGATAGACTTTGAAGTATTTTCAGTATCCTTGATGAAATACAAAAATGTCAAGGTTATGTTGCTGACTGTATTCACATCTTTTAATTTCTACAGGAGGCAAGCTATCCACCAATTAAGTTTTTTAAAAACAAAGCAACTGGTATAGTTTCTAATTAAATCAATTTTGAATGGGATATTCCCAATAATTCAAGGTAAGTGCATTTTTTGAGAATATTATTATTAATAATAATTAAATCTGTATACCACCCTTTACCCAAATATCCCAGAGAGGTTCACAACAGGAAAATACAAAATGAGAATACAAAATATATAATAAAACAAAAACAAATCAATAACCTCCCTCCCACAAACACATTTTTAAAACTATAGAATGTTAAACAGCCAAATGCCTGGTTGAAGAGAAACACTTTCATCCCCAAGAAGAATTCAAGATGAAAGTCAGACTTTGGTTGAGACTGAAAAAGATATGTAAGAAAGGGAAAGTATGTTGTGGCCCTCCAGATGTTGCTTGAACTACAACTTCCATCATTCCTGACTATGCTGACTTGGCTGATGGGTACAGGAGTCCCGGAACATCTGGAGGGCCACAGATTCCCCACCCCTGATCTAAGGGATTGAGAAAAAATCCATAGTGGTATTTATCTTATTTCTTCCTTCCTTCCATAGACCTCCATGCCAAGCAGGAAAATGCTTTGAGAAGTCCCCTTGGATGCTCTGCTGCATTATCATAATAGCTAAAGATTCCTCCTGAAGTGAACAGCATGATTCAGCACTCAGAACTACCACACCTTAGAAATGCATAAGACTAGGAGAATAAAGCCAACTTGTTGCACACAACATGCACAGCAGTGGCATGAGTGCATAAATGCACAAGAAGCTAAAAACACCAGTCATGCATGTTTCCTGCTTTTGGAAGTGGTCTCAAATGAAGAAAAGAAAAATCAGAGTATTTATTTATAAATTACTTTCATTCCAACCTTTCAGAAGCATCTTACAGAACAATCACTTTAAAACAAGCACGCAAGCCTTCTCTGTGGATGTTTTTTGTTGTGGAGGGAGGGGGTAATTAAAAAACACCAATCCTCCTATCAAACTGGGAATATCTCCTCACTCACACAGTACAGGATATTCCACCATTCTTCACCAGAGTTTCTTTTCTTTCAGTATAGTAAGCGGCTCACGTATACGTCAAACAAAGTTTTAATAATAAAGAAAATTGTAACACAATAACATACTGTCTGAGAGAAATTAAAACAACACCCTGATAGTTGGTTTCTCTACCTCAGTGATGGCCAAACTTGGCCCTCCATCCAACTGAACTGAACTGAACACCCAAAGGGAGGGGCCAATTCCAGAGCACAACACTTAAGGCCCTCCCACCAGATGACAGACATTCTACTAATCAAATTACGCCCCAGCGCCTGTCTTACAGTTATGAGAAGCAAGGCCACCACCTCATTTGCATTCGGAAGCTTGAGAACCTGCTCTCCATCAGCATAATGTGGCAATGGTGGAGCCAACAGCTCCCATAAAGCCCCATAACCGGTGGTGCCAACCTCCTTTCCAAAACATTTTAATCTCACCCACATTTTTCAAAGATGTCCCAGTGTTTCAAAGAGAAGTGCAAGGTTAGGTGGCTATCTAAGGATCCAGAGGAATTCTGGGGAAATTAAGATGGCTGTAAATCAGTGCCCATCCTTGCCACTGTTTCCACCCCACATAATCTAACCCAAAGAACTACAGCAGTGCTATAGTCCAGAACCCCCTTAAACCAGGCCCCTTGAGAGGCTGTATGAATTTGTTGTTGGGGTTTCCAAGGAATCCACATGGTGTGGATTTTAACGCAGGATCTGGAAGGGTGCTTGCCACTAACCTCTTTCAGAGAAGCAAGAAGGGCAGCTTTGATGGATTCTTCTTGCTTAACCTGCATATCATTTAGCCTCTTGGTAAGATTGCTGAAGCATGGTTTTATGTTCATCTTTGGATACTGTCTTCCCCTTACATGGTTAAATATGAGATCAAGAGAGCGGGGAAGGATACCACCGTCTTTTGAGCAGCCTGCAGAAACAATGAGCCTCTTTTCAATACATGCCATTGTTAGATCGTTTGTATTTGACCCCATGAAGAATAATTGGATACCTTGAACAGTGAAACTTTTGCCTGCGTTAGTCACACCATAGGTAAACACAAGTCCATTCACTCCGTTGATACAAGTTTTTACTATGTCATTCATTGTGCCTTCAAAAAATTCACTTTGAGAAGTCTCTGGTCCAAACACCTAAGTAGAGAATAGGAAAAAGTTTTACAGGGACAGTGAGGAGCAAACTGTACACATGAGGTGTGAGTGGGATCTCCGACTAACTGAAGTGTTAATAGCAGCATCCATAGGGGCCTACTTCAAGCTGGGACCCTGGAGCTTAACGTTTTCTCACCACCAGTCCTTCCCTCTCCTACAGAGTTGCCATTTGCCTCATGAAGTCAAATGATACCTATATGGTTTCCCCCATGAGGCAAATAGCAACTTTGGGGAAAGGGTGATTAGAATGGGGAACGACTTGGAGGGGAAGGGTTAACCCCCAAATCCAAGTGTAATTATTCCGATCCAAATTAGAACTTTCAGCAGCTAGTGATAATGTTTTTTAAAAAACCCCATAAAATGTGTTATTTATAGATTCATGTTGCATCCAGTTTGGCACAGAAAAGCAGTTTAATTGCTTTGCTTATGACAAGTCATACCATGCCACAGCCAGTTTGATCCTCAGAGCAATGCACCACTGAATCCTCTTAAAAGTATTATTTTATTTTATTTTGAAATAATTTTTATTAACAGGCCAATCACATTACATTATCCAAATCACATTAATTCCAAATTATACAGCCAAATTTTAAATATTGTTGGGGGTACCCATACATCAAGCTCCGAACGAGTCCAAACATCACTTATATTGCTGCTTTAATTAAACAATTCTATCCAGTTCAATCCAGATAGTCCTTTATTACTTTCTTCATCTTCTTGTTGTTATCGTATATTCCTTCCTTTGCAATCTCTGATAATCTTCACAAGCAGATTAAAAACAGGCATCCTCTGTGTGGGTTTTGTGTTCTCCAAATATCATATCAGTCAGGGACATCCGCCATTCCACACTTCCATAAAAAATTAATCTTCGGTATGTCCTTTATTTTTCTCAGGCTTGCCAAATATTTCAGGAGGCTCTGTTAGGTTAAAATCACATTCCTTCTCATTCCAATGATCCTGATTCTCCTCCCCCTGTCTTTCTTTCTCAGGCAAGCCTGTCTTAGCGAGTCGCCATTTTACACTGCGTCATAAAATTTTCCTCTGTTCTCATTGTTTACCATTCATCTCTTTAGCTATAATCCATTCCACACAGCTCTTGAATTCCTGCTTGTGATTAGTAAAACGCAACGATCTTCTCTCTTTCTGGGGTGGAGGGTTATTAATATCACATAATGCAAAGAAAAAAAAGATTTTTTCCTCCACCCCCCCTTCATTCCAAACATACAGTCTCTTAATGGTGATTCATCAGAAGATTTACTTATCCGTCCGTCACTCCCGGTCACAGAGATCCATTAATCAGCAGTCTTATCTCTCGAGCGTTGCTTGATGTATGTGCTTCAGCTTCATTCCAATCGTATGTTTCCAATTATAATTCCGAGCTGAAGCTAACCAGCACGCGCTGATTGGAATCGGCGTCAGGAAGAGCTGACCTCATCAAGGGCTCTTGCCAAGTGACCGGCACCCCCATCTCACGGATCCAGGGGTGCATTGTGGACACCGCTGGCAAGGCAGCCCCCCCACCTCCTTGGGGGGGTAGGAAGACTGCATACTTACCATAGCAGCCTCTTAATTACCTCGTATGGGTCAGAGAGATGTTATTGTCAGCCATCTTCCAATGTGCCACCTGGTGGCCCCCCCTTAAAAGTATTATTGATGTTTTATTAGAAGAATTTCATTTATTGAAAAGTGGTGAGAAGGGAGAAAAAGAAAAAAGTGAATGAAATTTAAATTAAAGAAAAATATTGCATTACATTTCCACAAATATACAAATGTGTATAGTCTTATTATCCTAACACAAATTTCTTTAACAACAACCTCATATATTCTTTATAAAGTTGTTACAAATATCATTATATTTATCCAAAGAAAGTCTGTGTCCATAGACAGTCTGCTCATATGTTGCTAATGTTGTCATGTTTGTCAAGCCACTGACTAAGGGGAATCATATTTCTATTCTTCCAGTTCAACAGTATTGGTCTCTTAGCCACCATTTGCGTACGTAGAATCCATTTTCACTGTTCCACTGTCACTTTCCATACAACTGGTATAAAGTTCAAAAGAATAAACACCTTTAAGAACTTTACTATACAGTACAGGAAAGCGGCATGCAATTAATGTAATGGTGCACTTTAAGGCTGAAGTCCTGTGCATCTGTTTGAGAGTTAGCTATATTTTGCTCTGAGTTCTCACTACTTACAGAAACAGGAGCAGCCTACACCAAGTGTTCTAATGCAGTCTGCTTTATGCACTTTTATTTATTTATTTATTTATTTTCACCGAAATTGGCCCTGGAGGAGAACTCACCTGTGTAAAGGTGAACTGATGTGCCGATTGTCCAATTCCCTTTTCACTGTTCTTCATAGCAGTAGAGTATTTAGGTGCATGAAGAGTCACTGTTTCTTGATTTTCAATAATCAAACAGTCCTTAAGAGCACACAAATTATTTAAACCAGTTTCCTAAAACATTCTTTGCTTACTAAATTGCATGCTACAAACCTGTTTTACACTTACTGACGTGGTTTCATTTGTGAGCTTTCGGTGCATGCGATTCTGCTGCTGTGTAAACGCTGTACTTTCAAGTGCATTTAAAGCAGGTGACTTTTCCCAAAGAATCCTGGGACCTGTAGTTCACCACTCACAGAGCTACAATTCTCAGCACCAGGACCAGCAAAAAAACTTGGCGCTAAAATGGCGTCCCCCTCCTCACCAGATTAGAAGGGGGGAGGGAAAATCTACACCAAGAACAAGGTGATCTGTTACCCCATGCAGCCTGAAGCTGCCACTACACCTTGCCTCCTGAGTAGGCCGGCCCTGCTCAGCACCCTTAAACTATAGTTCCCAGGATTATTTTGGGGCAGTCATGTGCTTTAAATGTGTGGTATGCATGCGTCAGTGTGCAAGCTGCACTTTGACGTAGTGTAGTTAAATGCAAAGTTTCAAACATTACTGTAGATCAGGGGTATGGTGTTGCCTACATGGCATTGGACTATAGCTCCTATCATCACCGAGTACGCTGGCTGGGGCTGATGGGAGTGGGACTCCCAACAAACTCTGAAGGTTACCACATTGCCTACCCATGCTCTGGTGCAAGAGAGCCAGTTTTCTAACAATCTCATTGGAGCATTTCAGTGGTACAGTTATCTAAGCATCATCATCTAAAAACCTAGACTGCTATATATGTCATGCTTATCCAGCTGTTTTAGTGTCCAAATCTTGTGAAGGGTGACTCACAGCAAGTATAAGCAAACTAACTATATGCATACTAAGGCAATGTAACCTCATTGTAACGATGGAGTTTGGAGAAGGGTAGGTAAGGACCACCAAACAGCATATTACAGACAAAAAATAGGTAAAAGATTTCTATTTCCCAAACTGTTTTTGAATCCAATTCCCCACAAAAGATTTTAAAAAATGATGCCATATTTCACAACTAACCTGGTTTTCATTGTTTTCAAGCTCTGCCTTAGAAAACGGCCGCACTCTCAAGTATACTTTCAGTGGCTGATACATCACCTTAAAAAAAAGAATAATAAATTAAGGCTGAAATTGTGAAAATATTAAAGATGGTTCTTAAAGTTCTACATCACTACTTTATATTTCAGTATTATCAGTCGTCAACATCCTGTCGTTTGTCTTCATGCTTTGCCTAAGCTTTGACTTCTGCTCAAAAAGATTACTTCTTCACCTTAAAACTTTCCTTCTCTTTAACACTTAGATAGTCTCCACCCCTCCCGCCCCTGAGAATACAATTATAGAACTGCATTTTTAACCAAGAGTGGCACAGTGAGGGTATTATATGTCTTGCAAATCCTATTTGAACTCAGTGAAAACGCCAATAAAATGCACATATCCAACACCCGACTGCTTCCCCTACTTAGTTCACTGCAAAGTTAAAACTGAGTGGAAGTTTTATATTTCAAAAGCTGTAAAGTCTTAATAGCTGCGTCTTCATTTGATAAATTTCTAGCATTTAATATAGTACATTTTAAATACAACTGCCCCCGTTTGCCCTAGTCAGCTTGTCCATGTTGGTATTGATAAGTCAATGGCTATGCCGAAGTCTATTGCAGATTGGTTTTTAGTCTTTGAAATATATGTCTAAAGGAACAGAGTTTTCATACTAAGTATTTGCTATGCACAACCAATAGAAAACCACACAAATGTTTATGAAATTAATAGCAAGCAGCCCACCTCCTCTTCCTGCTCATCTCTGGTGTTGGATACTTCTGACGAGTCCATAGACATCAATTCTGCCATACCCTCAGCAGTGGATGTTATTCTTTGTCTTTCCTGACAATTCATTCTTTTACCGTATAAGATGGGGAAAAGAAATAGCAGGTCTGTACACTATCCAACTTTTAAACAAGGCACAAGTGTATATTTACATATTTTATGGACAATAGATCACTTCCTGGTGAAGTCAATGGGTTGTATCTACAACAACTAAGTTCTACTTCGGCTGCACTGAAATCAGCACAAGAAATTAGGTGTAACTAAGGGATGTCCCGTTGATATAAATGACTAATTCACTCTGGATCCAACTCAATATTACAATTCTCGATGTTTGCTATGTGAAGGAAATCCACCCACATGGATTTTAACCAAAAAGTAATAGTAGGTGACAGGGAATTTAGTTCTCGGAGCCTTTCCAAATGAGAAAAAACCACAGCCAGGACAAGGCACCAAAGGAAGATCACTATAGTGGTACCTCGGGTTAAGAACTTAATTCGTTCTGGAGATCCGTTCTTAACCTGAAACTGTGCTTAACCTGAGGTACCACTTTAGCTAATGGGGCCTCCCGCTGCTGCCGCATGATTTCTGTTCTCATCCTGAGGTAAAGTTCTTAATCCAAGGTACTATTTCTGGGTTAGCAGAGTCTGTAACCTGAAGCGTCTGTAACCCAAGGTACCACTGTATTAGCAACGACTGCTCCTTCCCCACTCATTTGTCAAGGTTTAAAAAATGAGGACAGGTATATGGCAGATCTGGAATTCAAGTCCAGGTTCCTGGTTCCACCTTCCGCACTTTGCTATCCTTCCAGAAATTAAGGGTTTTCTTGTTGTTTTGTTTTTGCTCACCAGAACATGAACAGGCTATAAGTAGCCATGTTCACGAAGCACAGCGGCAGCAACCAAGTCTCAACAGGTCCACTCTTAAGCCAGGCAGCACTGGAACATAAGGGAGGGCCTTTTAGTGGGTCAGATCATTGGTCCACCTAGCTCAGCATTGTCTACACTGACTGACATCAGCTCTCCAATTGGTCTCAAAAAGAGAACAATTCCCAGTCTTCCCCGGAGTTGTCAGAAATTGAACCTAAGACATTCTGCATGCAATACAGATGCTCTGCTCCTGAGCTACAGTCTTTTCCCCAGCCTCTGATGTTGAGCAAGAATCTCTTAATTTTACAGATCCAGAATGACTAAAGACATATCATCGAAGCCTACAAAATGAGTACATGACGTCAGAAAATGAATCTGGACCCACCATCAATGTCTATTCAGTATGTAGAAGAGTAGTTCAGTGCATGCACAGAGTTAACGGCACCTGTACTAACAAACCTATTCTTTTCTCAAGCAGGAAGATAAAGGCATGGTAAACAGCACTTCTGAGCTGGCAAAAAACTATTTCAATTGCCTCCCATAAAAAACACAAATTCCCAGAATGTGAGATAAAAAGAATTAGCTCCTGGTTCTAAAAACTTACTTAATTACTAACTAAACTTGCATATGCACAACACTTTACACCTATCAATACATTACTTCAAAAAGAAAATGCCTTTGTTCCATTATTGCCTCCTCTTTTCACTCATATACCTAGTTTTACTTGCAGCTTGATCCTGAAAGGAGAGCTTAGGCCCATTGATTCCAATGTTCTCAGGCTTACCTAACATTGAACAGGGTCAAGCTAAATTGCTGCAATCTTCTGCACACTTACTTGGGAGAAAGCTCCATTGAACAAAACAAACTTACTTCTAAAAGAAGGGCATGCATGGAATTGGGCTATTAGACCCTTCCTATACCTGCATTCAGACTTTTCCTTATTCTTAGTCTTTATGCACATACTTGTTTTTCTTTACCAAATTAACTTTTTTCTATCATGAACTTTACATTTTCATCATACATACCTGTTTTAATACTCCTACAAACACCGCTAGCTTCTTATGTCTTTGTTAACACAGACAAATTGTGCTTTCTACTACTGCTTCAGTCAGACCTACTATGCCCTTCCCCCAAGTTTTATAGAGAGGCTGTTGACCAATGAGGAAGAGACAAACAAACTGCTACACAGGTCCCTCAATTAACTCATAATTCCATTTTCCAAATGACTCAAGACCAACAGGTGGACATACCAGTGATCTGTAGCACACCTGAGAGTAGAGAATTTTTTTGGTTTTGGGTTTTAAATGGAACAAAACTGCATTGGAGGCAGGCAGAGTGACCCACCTCTCCATTGAAAACAATAATAAACACAGGGTTGTAATCCTGTGGATACTCACTTGGTTGGGAGTAAAGCCCCATTAAACTCAGAGGCACTTCCTTCTGAATAAACACAAATAGGATTGGGCTGCACAGCTGCTATATCATTCACTCTTAACTGGAAGCAACTCCCATTGAGCAAAGCAGTACTTACTTCTGAGAATCCAAATGTGAGCATAGCAGTATCAGGAACACATGGAATGGGACAAGTCCACAAACCTGAGAAGTCCTATGCTTAGGAAGGAGCAAAAATGAGTCTGTGTTGGCTTGAAACCAAACAGCTGCATAAGATAAGCCATTAAGGCAGGGGTGGGGAACCTGTGGTTCTTCAGATGTTACTGGACTACAACTCCCATCACCCCAGAGACTACAGCCATATTGGCTGGGGTTGATGGGAATTGGAGTCCAAGAGCGTTTTGTGGGTCGCATGTTCGATGTCCCTGCCCTAAAGCTTGCACACACAGAGAGAAGCTCTCAGATTTAAGCTAACAGGATTTCATAAAGCAGGAGGGTCGGAGAAACACTAGAATAAAATAAAGATGAGCTCTGACCCGCAGAGCAGGGGTGGCCTACATGTTTTCCCATCAGCCCCAGCCAGCATGGCCAATGGTCAGGGATGATGGGAGTTGTACTCCAACAGTATCTGGAGAGCACCAGCTACTTCTGTCATAGAGGAACCTCTGAACAAGCTCTGCTGTCTGCTGCTCACCCTTGTTCAGATGAACAGTGTTGGGAGGGCAGACTGTATAATAAATATAAAAGGAAATGTGGTGTATTGGCTTGAGGGGTGAAGCAGTAGCAAATAAAGCAACTTTGCCGCCACTCCTGCCCTCACCAGATCTAAGGAATCCAGCTCAGCATTGCCACTTATGCCCACTTTACTGACTTTCCAAAGGCATTTCCGAACACCTCTAGCTGTCTGTGCAAACCTATCCCAGCCTCTCATGAAAAGAGAAACACTCTCCCTGATTCACTCCGGACTTGGCATGACACACACGTGAAGCATGAAGACTCTGGTGTAGTCTGCGGCAGGCAGCACGCTTGCTCTCAACAACCTTTCTCAGTTTGTTTTGTAACTTGAGAAAATCTTTAATAAAAAATAATTAAAAATAAAAACAACCTTTCTCAAATCTCCGTTGGCAGATGCTGGGGTTCAGGACAGGGGGACTATAGTGAGGCATTGAAGAATAGAACTGTATTATTTTATTTATTTTATTTCAAAAAAATGATATACCACTTGACTGGGGGGGGGATGACCCTCAAAGCAGTTTACATGCTACCCTGCACCCTCTAAGCTAGCCAGTGGTCACCATCATGTCAGTGATAAATTAAGGTTCAGCTGGATGTGGAACGGAGGAGACACCTTCTTGACCTTTGACTCAGGAAGGAAAATGCCCTAGGCTGTCCAGACTAGACTACAGTTCAAGAATGCAGTGGTGAAATTCTGTTTCTTCTCCTCACTGCCAGAGAGTAAGCTTGATAATGGTTGTATTCAGTTTTCTGACACCCGCCAGGAGTCGGCAATCTTATTAGGCCTATTGGATTTTTGATCAAGTGATGGGGCTGCCACCCACTCTGGTCTACATGTTATTGGACTCCAGTTCCCATCAGCTGTGTCTGCTAGAATCTTATTACTACTATATTTACAAAATATCTCAAGATCAGGTACAGTCAATGTGCCCTTCATATGCTATAGGTCTGCCATCAGCTAAGCCCCAACTAGCATTTTCCAATAGTAAGCAATAAGGGTAGTTGCAGTCCAGCAACATCTGGAAGGCCACAGTTTTTTTGCCCATTTAATGTTATGCAGGGAACTCCAATATGCCAAGCAGATTATATCCACGCAGGAACCTCAACAACCTTGAACAGGCATTAGAAGCACACATCCCCATTTACTACTGGGAAACTTTTGTCCTGGCCTTCAATATTGCCTCTCAGGGCTTCAATCTGTAACCCACCCACCCACTCTTTGAATTCCTCATCCATAATACTTAATCCATCTACATGCAATTCTTGACCTGTCCAGGAGCTGCAGGACCATCCAGCAGAATGCTTAATGTATGCACACAGATGCCCAAGTTTTAAAAGAATCACAAAGGATACTTTTCAGTAGCTTCCACCACAAAACTATCTTGATAACTTTTCAGAAGTGCTTAATGCTACATTTTGTGTAATTACAATGGTGCATAACTGCTTGCAAATAAGCAAGAGTAAAATATATATTCCAATATGGAGAGAAAACCTAAAGCACCACCTTTACATAAAGTTATAACTTCTGGATAGCAAAATATCCTTTTGAACTTTTATCCACACACTAGGTGCATGTTTTGCATCTTAAGTGCAGGCTAACCAAGGTATGTATCCAGTGTGGATTACTGGAAGTTAAAATCACCCTAAATGTAGCTAGCTGACTTACCTGGATTTGAGTCTTTCATTGCTGCCATTCCAAGTGTTCTTGTATAAAATAAAAAAAACTTCTTTAGAACTTCTCTTGTTGGATAAAAAACACAAATGCTACTTCTAAATTGAATGCACACCCTTGGTGTTTCACCTTATACTTACAAATACACGCAAAAATACTGTGCTTTTACAATTGCAGCTGTTCTCCAGCAGAGGGCATTAGCAAATGCCTTCTCCCTCATTATCAATCAAACGTTAAGTTAAATGTAGCCCTCTATTTTTCAGACTCCTACATAGCCATGATTTATCATAACTCCTTACAAGCAGTGGTCCGGGCCTAAAATTCCATTTAGCATTCTTGTATATTTTGAATAAAAAGACTTCAGTGACGTTTTACGTCAAATGTGCTACGTCAACCTGTGGACACTGTGTATTGAAGGATGTTTAATTTCATGTTAATGTTACTGATTTCCACTTCCTTGTCACATGTAATGAAGTCTGATAAACAAACACTAGATTTGGGAAGGATGGAGGGCACAAGGAGAAGGGGACGACAGAGGACGAGATGGTGGGACAGTGTTCTCAAAGCTACCAGCATGAGTTTGACCAAACTGCAGGAGGCAGTGGAAGACAGGAGTGCCTGGCGTGCTCTGGTCCATGGGGTCACGAAGAGTCAAACACGACTAAACAACAACAGATTTGGCTCCTGGAGGCAAGAATGCAACTCCCAAACTAGCCAGATATACCAACAAACTTCTTGTGATACAAGACTTTGGTTCAAGTGCTACATTGTTAACATTGACTATATACATGATCAACAGGAGGAATCTAGCACATAATTACATACTAAAAACAAGAACAAACCAATAACCCCCTCCCTTAACCCCACCTAGTCTACTCACACTGGTACGCTTCATTTGTTGAATGAGTTCTAAAAATCAGTTTAATCAGAGATCTCGTACCTACCTGATAATTACATACTGTGTAGGCTTTTAAAATTGTGGACAAGTAGAGGCTTTTGATACTATTCATAATTAAAGCAGGAACACTGCCATAAAGCACACAACAAAAAGTAAAAGTTGATATTAACTTTTATTGAAGCAGATGACAATCATTTAGGCATCAGCAATGGTAACCTCAACTTCTACTCCAGGCTCAATACTGATAGAAGTTATCTGCTTGACAATCTCCGAAGGACTGTGCAAGTCAATGAGACGCTTGTGAATGCGCATCTGGAAACGATCCCAGGTCTTGGAACCTTCACCACATGGTGTTTTCCTTGTGGTGATTCGCAGAGTCTAAAATGTGAGTAAAATGTTTATTTCATATATTTAGCAAGGTTAATAAAAAAATGAGGTATTTACATAAAATATTCATTCAAAATAGAAATAAACAGACATTAAAACATGAGGTGTAATAAAATTATCAAAATATACATAAAACCAAGTTATAAAAACAAATATACATATTAAAGGCCTGCCTTTGAGAAAAATGGGGTGGGGTTGCAAGCATAAAAAACAATACAACCAAGTACCTTCCCTAATATCAATAGACAAGGCATTTCAGAGATTAGTTGCTGTCACACCAAAATATTCCTTAAACTCAAGGAATGAACATGATGCGACACTTGCTTAATGCTATGTTAGATGTCTATAGAGCTTTGCAGAAACTTGCATCCCTGGGGAAATCAAGGAGATAACAGAGCAGTTGATCAACGTTACCTCAGCAAATAGCCCCATTATGAAGGATTGAAGAGTTTACAAGCATCATATTGCTATGTTGACTTGCCAGTAACTACAGACTCATTTATACCACACTACCGTAGCATCTTTGGTTAAAGACAGGTACCATAGGTGCTTACTAGATAGTTCCCAGTTCAGGTACCATGTTGTATGTACCTTCTAATGTTTATACATCTCTAACTTATTTTTAAAAAATCTATTCAATACTATACTACACATTACTATACTAGTTCTATCTCCTTCTCCATCCCTAACCAATATATTCACTACAAAGCAAGTAAAATATGATGCAATGATAGGCCTTATTAAGAGGATCTTCCATCTGTAAAAGCTATGAAGCAAAGGAAGAAGTGATGTCAAGAAAGAATTTAAACTTAAAAACATTCAGGATAAGAATGTGCATGCAGTTACATACCTTGGTGGGCATGCGGACAGGTCCTTTCACTTTTAGGTTCTTTTCCTTAGCACCTCTGATCAGATCTGCACAGACTATAAAAACGAAAATTGAGTTTTTAAAAAGTTGTGTGTTCATCCGTATATTAAAAAAAGCACTATAAGTGTTGGCTCAGAATAGCGTATAAATTAATCAAAGTAGTTCAGTGCACTTTTGTCCTCATAGCCAACAAATGTAGATAAAAGTTTCCTCCTGTGAATTGCCAATGCAACAACTGACTAGAAGTGACGACAATTTAGGATAACTAATTTCATTGCTCTCTTTTCTATATATTTTAATAGGCAACACTCTCAAATTTCATAAACATGCCCACTGCAAACATTTTAACTTATGCAACATAAAAATTACCTCAATCAACCCAGACTTTATCCCCAACCCTGCACTTAAAATATGGAAGCAAACCGGATGGTACAAACATGCAAATCTACCTCAATAAGAAAGATAGCTAACTTCAACAGACCACAACTAATGAGTCTATAGAAGAGTCCTTAATCCCCCAATTTCAACTGAAATCGTCATTTAATCAAGCATGTCCTCACCATTTTTAAACATTAACTACATTAACAGCTCAATACGATGTCATAAGGCCCAATGAAATCAATGGGCTTAGAAGCACCAAACTGTACAGGATGAAACTGCCAAAACAGAAAATTGGGTGGGAAAGTGCACAGACTTCTGCCAGCCGTTTAGAATTTAAATACAAATCTATGCTGTGACCACATCTGGAATACTGAAGACAGATTTGGTCACTTCACCTTAAAAACGATATGGGAGACTAGGAAAAGGTGCAGAAAAGGGCAACCAATATGATCGAGAGGAGAAATTTCCCCTAAGCAAGGTTACAGCAACTATGGCTTTTTAGTTTACAAAAAAAGGAGAGTATGAGGCAACATGACAGAAGTGTTTAAACTCATGCATGGCATAGAAAAGGTTTTCTTCATGCTCTGATAACACTAGAATCCACAGGCATTCAATGAAACTGAATGGTGGAAGATTCAGGACAGGCAGAAGAAAGCATTTCTTCATACAGCGCATTAGACAAAGAAGATAAGGCTATCAATGGCTGAACTATGCCTCTGAATATGTACCCAGGTCCTGCCTGTGGGTTTCCCATGTGAGACCAGGATGCTGAACCAGATGGGTCACTGGACTGATCTATCAGGGTTAGATCCTATCAGCTATTTTGCTACTTACCTTTTTCAAGTGACTTCACATTGCGACTTGTCAAGGTGATTCTGATTCGATGAATTGCTACCTCCTGTTCTACAGGTGCTTTCCCAGTATCTTTAAATGCCTGAAAGAAATGGGTTGTAATGATAAGTTCTGGCATTCGTTTGATGCTAGTTTTGCAACCTCAAAAACTAATTCAAATCAATCTTTAAAATCATAAATAAGATCTACCGCACATATTGGACTCTTTCCCTCCACCATTACAGTACTAAGCAGAAATGAAGCATTTAGCACTCTGCACATCATAAAACAGTAAACACACATAGGAAGGCATTTTCTGCATTATCTTTACAACAGCAACAACTTGCTCAAACTCAAGCATTAATTGATATATCTTAGCCTTTTGTGACTAGGAATAAGTATAATTATTTACACTTTCAATGCTGAAGAACAAAACCCCCAGGATACTCAGTAAAGAGTAACTTTGTAGGCGTACAAGTATTTGTCATGAAAGGTGTCCCATGACCGACTTCTCAATATAGGACTGCACAAAAAGCTTTTACTGACCACTTGGGCTCTGTTAAAAGACCCAGGCAATACACCATGTGTCCCTTGAATTTGAAATTAGGATCTAGCAAACCTTATTCACTGACTACAAAACTGCAAGTTTGGTGACTGAGATGAAGAGCTATTTATTTTCATAATGCATATCCTGCTCTTTTAACAAAATGTTCCATGTAGTAAGAAACAATAAAAGTAAAACAGAAGCAAAAACATATATAACAAGAGCCCCAGTGGACAACGATATCGAAAGTGTTCAAAGTTAAGAATCTTTGTAGTTCTTAAGGGCCTACGAAAACATCTCTCCACCACGCGAGTTAACAGCGAAGAAAGAGGCCTTTTCTCTGCAGCACGTGGACACAGCCGTCCTACTTGGTTCTAAACCTCGGTATAACCAAGCAGCCGCAAATCGGTATTTTGCGCAGCCCGATCCTATCTGTGCATATTTATTCGTAAATCCGACTTTGTTCTACGGGGTTTACTTCCTGAGAGCTGCAGCTAAAACGGCATTAAAGCTTGATCTGGTGAACATACCGAGGAACATCAAAATGGGATCTTACGCGTGCCTCTTAACAGCAGAAGCCCCATCTTTCTGGAGACGCGGGAATGGAAACGTATCCTCCCCGCCTATTACCATTATTTATTAAAGTTGTATACCGCCCTTCTTCGTAAGATCGCAGGGCGGTTCACAACATAAAAACTACAAAACGGGAACAGAAAAACACGTAATAAAAACAAGAACGAACCAATAACCCCCTCCCCGAAAGAGGGCACGCCTCTACCCACGGTGGGCTTTTAATGAGGCATAAAGGAAAGAAGAACCGAGAGCCACGACCTCGGAGCAGCTAGTGAGAGCGCACGCGCGAGACGGTGGCTTGGGTTGGGGAGGGGGCCTTAGACGCAACCGTTAAATTCGAACGTCTCCAACATCCATGGCAACCCGTCGGCGCGAGGGCTCTTTCCCGCGCGCCTCCTGAGGCCCAGTCTCCCTCACCATGGCCGCCGCGGAGCCTTCCTGACCGACTTATTCCTGGCCGAAGCGCGCGAGGCCCGGGGAACAGCGGTGAGTCAGGAAACGAACGCCTCGCCGAGACACGGACGCAAAGAGGGCGGCCGGCGAGGCGGCGCGGGCTTTATAGGCTCGCCGAGGCACACACGCCCCGCCCCTTTCTCCCCCCCTTCGCCCCGGAACCGATTCGGGTGGGTGGATGGGGAGGAGAAGCAGCGACAGCGAGGGCTGGGCCTGCGAAGCGGGGCAGGGGCGGAAGTTGTTCCTCAGGGCGGCGGATCGGCGGAGGGAGGGTAGCCGCCATGGCTGTGCGATGGGTTTTAGGCTTATGCCGGTAGCAGAGTCCTTTTCCCTTTTCCCCGCGAGGGAAAGCGTAGGATCTCCCTGAAATCTCCCTTCTGTCATTTCCCCCTTTATTCCGGCAGGGAGGAAAGGAAACTCTAAAACCTTCCTTCTGAAATGTGGAATTTCCGATTGATCCAGAATAAGACACTCCCCCCCCCTCCATCGAAGGGTAAACATATAGTGTACTGCACTCACAAGGCGTCTTCTGCTGTAGCCTTTGCTGCTCTGAGGCAGTTCATCCAGGATGCCAAGCCTCGTCTGTCAAGTTAGAATTTGGCCCCGGAACCTCCCTCGCCCCTTTTAAAACTATTTATCTATATCTCTAGCTCTAGGCTGCCTTCCATTTCAGCAGTGATTGACTCCGATCAGCCGCTCGCCCATAGAATCAATATAATTGTACAGATGGAAGGTACCTGTGTTAACCACGTTGCTGGAGTTAGGGGGAAGGAAGCCCCACTGAAGCCGACGAGGGTTAACGCCCAAACAAGCATGCGTGGGATTACTCCATTGAGCGCTGGTTTTACTCCCACAAATGCTCAGAGACCAAAGCTTTGTTTCAGAGATACTCTGGGTCAACCAATCTGCTTTAGAGTGATGGAACCCACAGCATTCTTAGACTTGCAGTCTTAAGACTTCCACTTACTTAGATGTAATCTGCATAGAACTCAAGGGTACTTATTTCTGAGCAACTATGCACATTTGGGTGCAAAGCATGGGGAGGCAATCCGCAGTGGCAAAAGGGTGCTGGGGGGGGGGGGAGAGAAATAGGATCACTCCCCACTTGCTACAAACTGTGACTTCTATTTCCAGACAAAGACAAACATGGGATAGATCGTGATGTAGTCAACGTTTAGTCCTGTTTAGTCCTTAGGGAGACCTATTATGAAGTATTGGAAAGAATGCATCACTTTTCAGTCTTATAATTGACTGGTGCAGCAGTATATGAATATTTACATTTTAAATAGGATGGTTCAAAGGCAGGACACAACCAAGAACACCAATGTTCTGAACATATGCAACTAGGGCAGAATAATTTATCTTTGCAGTATTCCTTGTGTTAAAGATCTGCAAACTTTTAACTTTATTCTTCCTCACAATCAGACACATTTGGGAATTAAATTATACTTTATTTGGAACAACTTCACCCTTACATGTATTAACCCCTTAGTCCTCACCCAAATTCATTCATGGTGAGCCTGTTTTTAAGGAACAGGCTTAATGGAATATTTTACATAATAATGAACCGAATGCCTTTAATAAGGTACTATAAAATCCTAGTATGAACACATGTTCTAACAACAAATAAAAGTACCGTAGTAGGTAACTATACGACTGTCTAATCATGTTGTTCTCCAATAGAACCATTCAGATGACCATTTTACCACAATTTTGTACCTGTTGGACAGCAAAAACCCTCTCTTCTGCTTTGTACAATGATATATCCAACCAACAGTGCAATCCTAACTTTACTCCCAGGTAAATGGGAATGAGATGTTGGGGTGTAGGGAGGTGACAACTCACCCTGGAACAATTTGGTCATTATTTTGAACAAAAGTCAGAATGCCTTCAGGAATACAAATGCAAAATAGGCATATCTTACATCGCAGCAATATAGGATTTACCGGTAATTCCTTGCTTCCATTAGCAGGGCTTCAGTAATCATGTTACTACTCTTACCCATCTAGTAGGATAAAACAGCAATGTAACCATTTTTATCAGGTATTTGTTTTTATCTCTTATATAAAAGGTTTTGCCTTATTTTAAAAGACGAAGGTTGTAGATAAATTGAAATGGATAAGTCTATTTCATTTCCACACTCACATTTTTGTTAAGAAGGTTGGGTAAGTGGCTGAAGCTAATATGGATACAAAACAGCTTTGATGGATGACAAAGGAGATTAAATATCATTGGTGGTAGTTTTGCAGTAAGATGTGGAGAATAGGGAGGAAGAAAAGATGCCATCCATATTGAGCTTGAGAAAACAATTCCTTTTTAGTAGGATCTTAGTATAATAATTATAAAGCATTATTTATGCACAGCAGTGTCAACAGTTGTCATTGGCAATATACATTAGCCTAGCAAACCTAGGAAAACAATGCTGGCAGTGGGAGATAAATCCTTGACCTAAATTTAAAATCTAAATAAATAGAATCAAAATTGCTGGAGTTAAATTCTAGTTCAGTGATGTAACACTTTGAAGCAGATTTGAGATGGGAGTCCTATACAACTTTGTAATGTGGTGGCAAAAAAAGTGAAATAAAAGTCTGTTGGTGGAATATTTCTCCAAACATGATTTAGGTCTTAAACAAGAAAAGGGCATTCTGTCTCACTACAGGTGTAAAAAGCAACTCAGCAAAGCTAACATGATAACATTGATTCCTGCTGTTGTAAATAATCATTGCGCTTCTATTGTATTGTACTATTGTATGGAAATGTTATGTATCTCTTCCATTCTACACACTGTAACCATACATCTGTTTACTGTTTACTGAATAACACTCGATGCGTGAAACCTTTTGTCACAGTAATTTTCTTGGCGTTTAGAGTTCTGCAGCACTCATTTTTTATCCTTTCTTTCTCAACAGAAGGGGATTATCATATATACCTATTCACTTCTTCTCCACTGTAGATAAGAATTTTCTATCTTTTCCCATCTAGAGAGATGCTAAGGAGTTCACATTATGGCAAAAAGGAATAACTTTTTATTGACATTGATTCTGTTAGGAACCAGGTATAGCCCTCCTCTAGCATCTCTTATAAAGTATACTAACTGAACATGTGAACTTCAATTCAGATCAAAGTTCGGTTGCATTCTTAAAACAAAACAAAACTGAAACATAAAACTAAGTCTGTAAGATAAGATACATCCAACTGTTACATCAGCCCATCTCCAACTGTAATAGGAGACTGCACACCAACACAGATGTTTAGGACTAAATCCAGGGGTCTAAGATGCAACAGAAGGAGAGTTGACAAAAGGCAAATATACAACAGATTTTGATATATACATTTATATTAATGTGAGCATCTAATGTGAAGGTTAGTTCTTATTGTTAAAAAAAATGATAGATAGCAACCCATTTATGTTGACACACAAGCTACTTCTTTGTAAATAATACATTAAAGTATGTTATGTGTGGACTACCCAGCGTATTTCTGTTCCATGATGGTTTCTCATAGTGCAATAATGCATTTGAATACATTCTTAAAAATCCATGGGGTTCTACTAAAATAAAAGTAATGTATTTATAAAGTGGTCTGAGGACTGCTTATGGAAGCAGCTATCTTTTTCTCTGGACAATTCCCCATGAAGGGACCACATGCTTTGTTCCCTAGCTGCATTAAACTTTTTTTTTTTTACTTGCATGACTACAGTGGAGTTATTAGCTGCTCTAAGCTAGCTGGCTTTTACCAGCTTCAGCTAGAACAAGGATACCTAAAATATAATATCACCCCCTTATATGCCTAACCAACAATTACAGTATGCAACATAGAGCATTTTGCAGATATCATATTGCCAGGAAGTCTGTCTGCATGATACTACAATGGGCCCTCTAGTGTGCCAGCACCTGTCCGTTAGACAGGTGCTATATATCGTCTTTTCAGCAAAAAAATCATTTCCTCTTTCAACAAGCCTTCTAAATGGTTATGTATTGTGAAATTGCTTTGAAATACTTCACAGAAAGCAGTTCATAAATGAACTAATAATTAGTATTGTATTGATGCACATATTGGTTCACAAATTGTGGAGACTAATACACATACCTATGTCCTGATTTGCACATTGTTGCAGGGGACATGGTAAAATAATTTGGCTCATCCCAAAATGTGGAGAGAATAAAATTTCTCACGCATCCCTATTGCAGTCTTAGCTCTTAAAAGTGAGTTTGTGTGGACAGGTAGCTCGATCTCCTAATTAGCGCTCATTTAAAGTCTCAAGGCAGCAATCTGCATATGAAAGGGAAATTTCATCTAATAACAGCTATGAATCCTTGTGTTTTGATACCTTCTGGAATTTTTGTTTTATTATAATTGATAGACACTATTCTGGAAAAGCTGTTTCTGGGGTCTAGTAGCTAGATACCGTGTTTTACAATTTTGGAAACTAGTTTCACAGTGGCAACACAACTGCATAGAGAAATTCTCAGGCCCATGTTTTTGTGCACATACATAGGTTGTAATGAGTGAACCTGAAGGAAACATGTTAATGTGGGAGATAGAACTTCTTACTTCTGCAACTGTAGCCATATCCAAGTAAGAGTATTTCTGGACCCCATGATATTTCTTCCATACAATACAAGCAGGTTTGATCCCAATAATGTTCACTTTCACAGTGGTGAACACAGTGGTGAGCATTCAGTTATACTATATTAAAAACACCACTTCTGTATATTTGTAGTGTATGACACATATCCAGTTGTCAAGTTATAGATGCCTCAGACTTTGCCATATATATATAGTTTTAGATGTTGTAACAGAGTGTCGTTCTGTCAGCCAAACAAGAAAGCTAGAGAGTTCTAGGCATGAAGTCAGGAAGCATCAGCAGCTATTCTGTGTTTTTAAAAATACTCTGCTTATTTTGGATTATTGTTTAAATAGATACAATTGAGAGTGCTATTTTAAACTTCCTTATATCTTAATCAAAACAGACTAACTTGGCAAAACTTGATTCTGCTGGAAACAAGATTTTCTTATTGTGAGAACGGGAATTGCATTTGCTCCCAGCTGTGTTCCTAAAACAACCTATCCTATAAGCTTATGTAACTTAAGCCACAGTCTATTCATATCAACAAATACTGCCATAGTCAATACAGAAATCAATATGATTTACCCCCCACAAACAGCAGCATATTGTAGCACAGGGTAAGTCTCTTGGAAGTTTGAATGACTGTTTGAAGCAGTTTGAAATACTTGAGGGGAGGAGAAGAGGACGTCCCCACCATCATCATAAGCCAAAGTCCATAGTAAATATGTGACCTAAGAGAGCTCTCTGAACTGTGACCAGAGTATTGGGATGGTAGGGAAACTGTTTTCAGAAGTAGCTTTGATTATTATTATTTTATAATAAACTTCAACTTGCACTTCTTAACATAAAAGAAAATTGAAGTGTGTGTGTGTGTGTGTGTGTGTGTGTGTGTGTGTGTGTGTGTTATAAAGAAAATGTGGATATGAGAGCAAGGCTTAAATGTTAAACACAAACATTTAAGAACAAGGTAGCAGAAGACTTGCAACAACCAAAATGGGAACATTGACATTTGCATGGAAGTAAAATTAAACAAATCATTATCCATAATTCAAAGGTCATCTGAGAGGGTGTTGCAATAAAATAGCAAGGATTTCACCATATCTTTAGATTTAGTTAGAAAACTATCGCAGTCCTCCAGTCTCCTGCTTCATTATCAGTGGGGCATCTGAAAGCAGCCCTGTTTAGGGAAGCTTTTAATGTTTGATGCATTACTGGAATTTAATATTTTGTTGGAAGCCGCCCAGAGTGGCTGGGAAAGCCTAGCCAGATGGGCGGGGTATAAATAAATTATTATTATTGTTGTTGTTGTTAATTAATATACCACACTTCACCCAAAGATCAGAAGATGGTTTGCAGCATAACTCGCACACCACATATTAAAAGTACATTGTTATGAATATGTATCCAAATCTTTTTGCAGTACCATTGTTAGAAGTTAACTATTTCGTGTTGTTCTTGGTTTCCCAAGACCGCAAGTAAGGTTTTATCATTTTCAGAATGCTTGTAATTCACATAGGGGCACAAAGCATGGAAACAATTTAAGATCATTCTTTTTCCTTTCCAAACAATACTAATCTGGGAGAATAATGCTTGAGTATTCATTCTAGGGTGGCTAGATTCAGGACAAGCTACACCTGCTGAAATTCCGACTTCTACATTACTATTAAAGGTGCAGGGTCCTGTTCTCTATTGTGTCTGGACACACTTTAAAAGCAATCACTAGATAGTTAAACTTAACATACTCTTACGTTTATGACCTTTAAATGACTGCTTGTGAACTGCAGTTGTATTTGCCCATCAAGGATCAGTCTCTGTTTTGTCAACCCTTTTGTTATCTAGGTATAGTTAAGAAAGTATCTTCATAAACTGTACCACCTGGTAATGAACAGCTGGATGGTTTATCTGAACTGGAGACAAAATAGTGAGCCAATCTATTATTCATCATTCTGATCAGTTCCCCCCAAAATGCATGGATATGTTACACATACTGATACCTTGTTTGTGAGCCTATTTTGACCATTGAAATCATGTCACTGTGGCTTAGCAAATATTTAAAACAAGGAAAGAAATTATATAACTTATTTGTAGCTCAATCCATACAGATATATCACCATTTTCAAAGAGAATAAAATAACAGTCACACTGTTACCCCCCCTTTGTTCAATACTAGTTTGATATATGACACTGGGAGTATGACAATTGTTACATTTTTCTTGGTATGCATTCCTATTAGGAAGCTCCATTATCTTCAATGGACCCAATTCCCACCAAAGTGTGCCTAGGATAGCAACCAAGTCTCAGATCTTGACCATATTTAACCTGTGCAGATGCTTAGGACAAAATAATAAACTGAATACAGTTAATAGCAGTCTCTGAGAACCATCAAATACAGCTAATAGCATTCTCTGAACACCATCAAACCTACTACTAATTTCCTGTAATGAACTTTATTTATAGAAAATTGACCACCAGCAACATATATATTTTTAAACTTCTTTTGCATGCAGAGAAGAATCAGAGCAATAAGATACACAAACTTAGCAAGAGATGATCAACAATAAAAATGAAGGGGGACAAGACAAGGTCTTTTATACTATTAGAGACAGGGACTGAAGATTGTGAAGGAGAAGTTCTGCACTAGGACGCTCTGCTACATCAGCTCTCCAACAGCTTCCAATTATATTTTCAAGCCTTTGGCCAGTGGTTGATTCTCTAAACACAGCTGCAGTCAGAGAAGGGCGCAGGTTATAAGCTACAACAGAGTAGAGTACATACTGGCGCTCACCCGAATAAGGCTCTTGCTGTGTAACCATTTGCCAGAGGGTGATGGCAAAAGAGTAGATGTCTGCCTTGGGGTTGACTCGCTCACCTTTAAGGAGTTCAGGAGCACGGTGGGTGTATGTTCCCCCTTGTTGACAAAGTTGTGGGTCGGATGCAGCATTCTGTAGCTTTTGGGAACATCCAAAGTCTCCAATCTTGCAAACATTGTGTTCAGTGATGAATATGTTGGCAGGTTTCAAATCCAGATGCACAATCAAATGTGAATGGAGAAACACTAAGCCTGCCATAATGTCACAGGAGTAGCCCAGACACTGAGCTATACTCAACTGATCATCTTTCTTTTTAGCTGTTATACAGCCAGTCCCATAGATAACATGGTCCAGAGTCCGATTTCCTACATACTCCATTATTATGGTGCCCAAACTATCCTCATTGCCAGGGGCACATGTGCTAGCAGCCACTATACGCACCACATTTTTGTGATCAAGGCGTGCTGCATTTAGTTCTGCCCAGAAGCTCTGCCGTGATGCCAAACGGTTCTTACTGCATTTTTTTACCTGCTTTACAGCCACTGTAGCTCCATGGTATGTAGCCTTGTAGACAGAACCAAAGCCACCAGAACCTAGAGGGTGCAGCAGGCACAACTGATCCCAGTCTATAGAACACCAAGCTACACGAGAGGGTAGCCGACGAGCCCTAGGCAATGGACCTTCCCCCAACAAGAGTTTTTCACGTTTGGCAGGAAACACCAAGGGACTACTACAGGGTCGTGTTTCCACAGATGGAGAAAATTCCAGATGGAGAAGACGACTATGTGGAAGAGGGGATGGCATAATTATTTCAAAAGAAGGTTAGGCAACACAGTTTCTTCCAAGACAAAGGATTAAGTAGGTTTTCTTGACTTTGTTCTCCTTTTGCCTCCAAGTTCATGTTTCCTTCTCATAAATAGCTGCATTTAATCTCACATGACAAACTCCAATCAGCTTCAGATGATTCCAATTTTAATAATTACTCTAGTAACTTTAGCCTGTAAAGGGAATTGATATTGCAGTCCTAATCCTAAACATACTTACAGCACAATGCTAAACATCCTAAACATGTTTACTTAGCAGTAAGTCTCACTGAGTTCAGTACAAATTATTCCTACTAAGTGATTTTAGTGACAAGACTTCCATTCATGGAAATCATGAAAGGCTTATTCCTAAGTACACTTGCTAGAAATATTTAATTTGGATCTTATGTTAGGTTCTTATGCTGTTCTGGTCCTGTGTATTGCACTTGAAGGCTGTAGCTAAATAGAGCGACTTCTAGTGGAGTTTAACAACTGAATGATAGGTAGAAATTCAATAGGCAGTGTACTCTTGATGCTAGGAAGAGTCATAACTTAAATTTCTGCCCGTTGTTCAGCACATTAAAGACAGTAGGGCTTTCTCAGAGAAAAGTTGCAACCTTGTGAAGCTATATGGCTCTGAGCATAAAAACCTAAGAGCCTGCTGAATCAGCTAATGGCCCATCTAATCTAGCATCCTGTTCTCGCAGTGGCCAGCCAGATGCCTGCAAGTCAAAATGAGTGCAACAGCACTCTGCTTACCTGTGGTTTCCAGCAACTGGTATCCAGTAGCAATCAAGGTTGATTAAGTCCCAAAATTGTGCCTGAAACCAGATTGAGGTGGATCTAAATAATCTGTACCCCCCAGGAACTTCTGCAACTGCTCAGCCATTACTTTCTTCACCACCTTGTCCCCAAAAGGGGTACAGTGGTCCCTCTGGTTACGTACTTAATTCGTTCCGGAGGTCCGTTCTTAACCTGAAACTGTTCTTAACCTGAAGCACCACTTTAGCTAATGGGGCCTCCCGCTGCTGCCGCGCTGCCGTAGCACGATTTCTGTTCTCAACCTGAAGCAAAGTTCTTAACCCGAGGTTAGCAGAGTCTGTAACCTGAAGCGTATGTAACCTGAAGCATCTGTAACCTGAGGTACAACTGTAATTGCAACTGGGTGGTTCTATAATTATAAATTATAGAAACCGGAATGGGCTTCTTCAGGAGTGAACACACTGCCACTTGTTTAAGAGAAGCAGGCATCATTCCATCACATAAAGATGCACTCACCACAGCCTGGTTGTGCACATGGTTCATGAGAGCAAGAAGCACATCTTTGTAAGAGTCTTGTCCAAATCATTGGGCCATGCAAATTGAATCTGATCCCGCAGAGCATGGGAAGGCATTATATATGACACCTCAGGTGGAACTGCAATGACGGTGACACCCAAGGCACTATGGAGCTGAGTTACTTTATCCTCAAAGTGCTGTGAAAACTGATCACAGCATGCTGCTGAGGGCTCCAGAGGTCCGTCTACCGCTTCTGGTAATGAGCAGCCTTTGGACTATTCAAAACAACTCTGCCAGACAGCTCTTTGAGGATGCAACAGAGGCGGCAAAGTAATTCTCTTTTGTCACCTTCACTGCTGCTTGACAGGTAGCCTTCTGTGACTTAATAAGCATTCAGTCAGCTTAGGGTCTTCAGCATGAAGATGGGACTTCGGCATGATCCAGTAGGGCTGATATTATGTTTGTAAGTGTATTTAGGATTAGATTAAGTCATTTGCCCTAGAAAGAGGCTTCTTAAATTAGCTTTTTAAACTTGCCATAGTATTACTATGAACTTGTTAAGATTCATTCCTACAAGGAGCCCTCATTTTTCAACCCCCCCGTCTTAAAAAAATTCTTTTCCTTAAGCTGCTTCACTGAAAGTATTTCCCTGTTTTTCAGCAATTGCTTGCAATTATATCAGAATGAGAGAATGCCACACAGAATTCATTATCAATCAGAAATTTTACCTTGCTATCACACTGCTGCCAAGGAAGTGCATTCATATTGGGCTCTTTCACAAAGTGATGTTCCATGCAGATTTCACCACACCATGAGCAACAAATATAATTGTGGGATGATGACACAATTTAGGTGTCATTTTGTGATTTTCTAGATCAGCTGCTACAAAGCCGTGTATATTCAAAATGCTTACTTGGGACTTTCAGATGAGCATGAGCACAAGTTAAACTTGTGTGTGATATGACACAGGCATAAGTAAATGCCTGGTCTCTATAGATGAATATAAGTTTCAGTTTCTGATGTTAGTTTTGAAATGACAAGAGATTGTTTGTACAATACTTTTCAAATTGCTTTCAGCTTTGCTAAGTAACAATTTGTTTTGCTTTATTTTTTCTTAATCACATGAGGCTTCTCTAAGGCCAAAGCAGAATTAAAGCTAGAGAAATGTGTGGCAAAAATTAGTCAAAAAATTGCAGCATTTTAAAGACAATATGCAATTTCAGTAGATCTCCCAGAGTGTTGCACAGCATTCAGTTGTTCTGTTACCAGAGCTGATCTGTGTAGTAGCTAAGCGTGTGAGCTGTGTGCTGTGAAGTCTTTAGGTCATTCTCACTTCTGCAATATGTGGTCTTGGGTGAGTCACATTTCCTCAGTGTCACCCTTCTTCCCTTACACCTGTCATTATAGGATAACAGGGCTGACCTATCTTACAGGGTTCTTGTAAGGATGCTGCAGTCCTGTGCGCACTTACTTGTGAGTTCCTTTGAAATAAGCGGAGTAAACTAAAATCCAACCCGGCTGTGGGATAATGCACCTGAATCTCTTCACCCACCATATATACATATGGTAAGCAAAATGCATGCAATATTAGAAATGTACACATAAATTAGTATTTTGCTGCTTCAAAACCTGCCTTGTTGAATTGTATAAAGGAGGCTACCTTACCTGGGAATGACACCACACACCTGATCAGGTCCTTTTGCTGTGCGTTGCCCCATCTTTCTCTCTTTCTCTGCCAATCTTTCTCTATGGGCATATGAAAGTAAGGCTAATGGGCTTAATACTGAAAGTACTGGGGTTTGGGTGCCACTATCCTGCTGAAACCCACCTCTCCCCTTTCCAGCTAATGTCAAGAAGGCAGTGAAGGTTCCAAAGTTTATGTCTAGGTACAATGATTGACTAGATATGGCAATACAGAGGTGTTATTAGGCATTAGGAAAGCTAATCTGGGATGAGATGTACACTGGATAGAACTGTACTCTCTTTGAGACGTCCTTTTGCCAGTTCAAAGGTACCCCTGGATAAAGTAAAATTGGCTACTATCATGTATGGTCGAGTTTATCAAGAAGTTCTCAAGCCAACCTCACCTCTTTTTATTTTTTGAGAGTTACTAGTTGCCCAGATCATGGCAATGCCATAAACCAGGATTAGCCAATTTGTTGCCCTCCAGAAGTTCTTGGACTAAAATTCCAAAAACATTTGCCAGTAGTTGATAAAGTTATGATTTCCTCATTGACAAGCTGGTAAAATATGGACTGGACACAACAACTGTTGGGTGGATCTGCAGCTGGTTGAAAAACTGACTGCCCCTTAAATTTCTTCAATATTCTGTAGCAGTCTGGTGTTCCACAGGGCTTTCTTAGGCTCTGTGCTATTCAGTATTTTTTATAAACATATAAAATACTTCAAAGGTGTTGAGGAGATGCTTTTAAAATATGTAGACGACCAAAGCTGGGAGGGGTGGCCAACACCATAAAAGCCAGAATCAAGATTTAATAATATGTTGACAAGTAGGAACATTGTGCCAAAACCAGCAAGATGAAATTCAACAGAAAGAAAAGCCCTGCATTTAAAGCATCAAGAATTTATGACACATATGTAAGTTGGGGGACAATCTGCTTTAAAAATATGTGTGTCTTCACCTTAAGTTTTCAATATTACTTTAAAAACTCTGAATGCTTTTTTTGAGCGCTGTATTTGAGGATTGCCTCTTACCATGTGAACATGCCTTCCAGTACGTTCATAATCTGAGGCCTTGCAACACATCCTGTTACCTTCAGAAGTTTGGCTGGGTGGGTTGCAGCAGAGGGTCTTTACCGTTAAGTCATGGAGGTTGCAGAACTCCCTTTCTGAAGAGGTTTGGTTGGTCTCTTGTGGTTTTTAGGCAGGCTGAAAAAAAATTCTTCCAATGTATATTGATAGCTTTATTAAAAAATGCTATTTTTGATGTATTTGTAAATATATATTATAGCCAGGGACACTTTTTATGGATAAAAGGAGAAATATAAATATACACACAGTGCTGGTGTTAACCTTTAAAGCTTTAAATGGCTTGTGGTTCCTAAAAGCCAATCTCCTCACATATGTAAATGTGTGAGATTATTTTCTGAGGCTGAGGCCCTCCTCTGTGTACTCCCACCCCCATATAAGGCGAAATGAGTGGCTAGTAAGCAGCAGATACTTTTGAAGGGATACCTCAGTTGTGGAATGTTCTCCCCAGAAAGACTCACCAGACCCTTTCAGTGCCAGGTTTTATTTTTCCAGGCTTTCCAGTTAAAACAAGCATGTGCTCTTTGTTTCTGGTGCTTTTATACTTATATATGCTTTTTCTGTGCACCAGAGAACTTATTTAATGGGTAGTATTAAAATGTTGTTCATAATATATAAATGTATATAATGAGACTGGATATTTGCTTCCTGAGTCTTCTGAGATCTTGCTGTCGTAGTCAAAAGTTAGCTAGGAGAAATTATATAGTTACATTTAATTTCACTTATTAGTGGCAGAAAATGTGTTAGAAAGTAGCTATGAGTTCAGATGTCAAAGATGGCTAATAAAGAATTTGGACTTTTGTTATGGGAACAGATAAAAATGTTAGGAAGTAACACTTTATACGAAAAGTGACATTAACTAATTTGGACTTATTATAAATAAGCTGCAGTTACTGAAAAAAAATGTGGCCTATACAGATAATATGTAGCATGCTGAAAGCATTGTTAGATAAGAAATGGTATTGAGCAAGTCACTGTAAGATTTCTTATTGCGTGCTTAGTAATGTTAACAAAAAAGACTGATACAATGTATCTACACAAGGGGGCAACCTTGTATTTTGTCTGGCTTGAATTTTTGATGAAACCGATTGATGAAATCAACAATTTAAAAGAACTATACGATTCCCCAGTATTTTAGTACTCTTTTCATCAGACATGAAAAAATCATGTATAAATTTGTATTCTAGGAACGATAGAATACAACCCCACCCCATCTCAATATGGTTACATCCAAGCATTGGATAGTTTTGAGGTTTTATTCAGAAATATGTTAAATGGACTGCTCTGTAGAACAGGTGATGTGAGAACCACCAAAACAAAAACAAAAGAGAACGAAGTTTGTAAGTACTATATTAAACACTTGCTATGGTGAAATACAATAGAGTTTACTCTGTCTATTAAAACATGTCTTCAACTCATTTGCAAACAGCAAAAGGGCTTTGAAACTGCTGCAGATTCCCAAACATCTGACCACTAGCAGCTTGTTGAGCACTTTGAAACTCCTTACAAGGGATTTTGATTGGTGGGCAGTGGTACCCACCTGCCAATCATCTGGTGTCATGTGATTAACAGGTGGACAGCCGCACTCACCTTTCCAGTCTGACCTGAGAAACTGATCTTTTAAGGATTGTTATATCCATTTGTCAACATAAATTGCCATATACCATGTCAGATCATTGGTCCATCTGGCTCAGTATTTTATATACTCACTGGAAGCAGCTCTCTTTCACTCCATCCGAAGATGCCAGGCCTGAATATGGGACCTTCTGCATACAGAGTATGTGTTGTACTACTAAGCTCCGATCTTCCCTGTATCTTCTGCATGTAGCTTTTGCAGACATTAACAGATTCGAGCAAATGGTTTTCAGGCTGTGTCCTGGGGAACTGTCTCTTAAAATGAGATGATCAGTTGCTGAAGTAGTCTACCACTACTTCTCTTCCTGTATAATGCATGGCTATATGAGTGTAGAAAGTAAGTTACACAGCAAGCCTCAGCAGACCTGACTTAGTACCACATTATGTACGGAGTGGGTGTTCTACCATAATCTTTGCAAAGAGAAAGTCAAGATGATTTCAAATCAAAAAGTCCATGCTTTCTATAGGGAGTTAAAATGCTACAAGCCAACATGAACAGTATCTGTGATAGTTAGTTGGAGAAATGCAGTACCACAAATGGTGGCTACTGGTGTTTCTGCTAGGAGGCAGTGGCATATTTATTCCAGTGATAAGGAAAGCAAAGTTGAGAAATGGTACCAAGCCTTACAAGGAACTTTGTAATGAACTTTGCTGGGTTTCCTCATTCAGCACACCAGATGGATGTTGCTATTAGCAAAAAATAAGGTAGACAGGCCTAAATGTTAAGTGTTGTCCCATGCTTACTAACTGCAAGAGTAGGTATCTGTAAGCACTATATAGAAAACCTGTGTTTAGGAAGCATTTCTGGCAATGCACTCAGGAAGGTAGCTGTGACTTTGTCACCCAAGGAAACCTATGAGCTACACTACTGTTATGGCTTTGAAGATTACTATGCACAGCATAGTTCCATTGCTATAAAATGATTCATAATCTATATTTAAAAGGGTAATGTTTTGTAGCATAATTCTAATGCTGTAAAGTATGGGTGATTAATATGCAACCCTCCAGATTTTTTGGACTCAATTCTCATCAACCTCAGTCATCAAGGCCAATGGTCAGGGATTATGGAAGTTGTAGTATAACAACATCTGAGAGGGCCACAGTTTAGTTACTCATACTATAAAGAATTACTTAAAGCAACAGTAATTTTAACCAATGATACGATGAATTAAAAAATGGTGAAAATGGTTCAGATAAACCTGTCAGCTCCAGACACAAAATCTTGATACTGACTAAATTTGGAATGATGTCACTACTTTGCCAGAGACATTTTTGAGACTTGTAATATAACCAAATTTTGAACTGAGGGTACCCATAATCTTCCATTAGCTGTCAATTTACTATCTGCAAATAAGAAAGGTTGTTGGAATATGTTAAGTTCACAGTCTTTTGCATAATCACACACACACACACACACACACACCATCATACTTAATTCCAGGCATATTTTGTACATAACTAAAACCATTCTGTTTTATTGATATTTTGTGGAGTTCACATATTTTTGTACAGCAAACATAACACTGTAGGCCACAAGAAGCTGCAGCACTATTGTTTAATAGCAGCAAGTTATATTTTTATCAGGGTATGTGGACAATAAATAGTCTGTTTCTTTGGATATGAATGTCTAAAATGAATTTCTGCTGCAGCTTCATAATGTGATAGCTATTTTACAGAGCTTATACACAAAAATATATATGCAATCTTTTGTCTATATTTTATACAAATACAACAGTAGTTTGTGAATACATTTTAAAGTACATATACATGATAAGCAACTCAATTTCCCATATCACAGGATAGTAATTTTAAATGAAATACACAAATTCAGTCTGGAATGCATTTTTCTATTTTGACTCAAAATCTGTATCATTAAACATTTTAGCACACAAGTCCAAACATTTCTCACTATCTAAAAATATAAGTTTCAGCAATCCAAGTCAGGTTCAGGTGTCATTCTTTTTATATTTCCCCCCAGTTTGTTAATATTCAAAGGGCTCTTAAAAACAAGTATGTTCTTCACTTCACACCATATCAAAAGCCCCCCATTTCATCTATCATCTTCTAGTTTTGAGAATAGGTTCATTTGGGTACAAATTTACATGTCCAAGTTTCTCCTTTTGCAAGTGCATATGAATACATGGTGGTGTACAAAATTCATTAATGACAAATTAAGTCACAGTATAAAAATATATCATACATCTATAAATCTAGTATAGGCCTTTCTCTATGGATAAAAATACATCAGTCTGAATGAGACAGGGAGGTCTGTAGCACCATGAGAGGAGTTGTATCCCAAGTTATATTAGCAGCATGATCCACTATAATATATTTGCATGAGTGTTTCTGAGAAAATAAACATTCATTCTGGTTCAACTGTACCACTGAAGCTTATACTGAAAAGTGTTTGCATGCAGTTAGCAATAGTTCTGTGTCAATTTTAGGGTTAAATACTTACAAAAAAAACCATGGCCTTCCAGCACATGACCACCCCTTTAAGAGTTAGGGGACTATAAACACTCTTTTTTTTATTACTGTGACATCACTTTAAATTGTCTTCCTCTATAGTATCAAATAAGTGGCTGTTTTCATTGTAATATGACAGAATGCAGATAGGCAACTGAACCTACATGGCATACTTCATAGCAAACAATGTATAGACTTTATTACTAAGAGGCACGTTATTTTAAGCTGCTAAACCAGTGTATGAGACAAATAATTAAGAGCTTAAGTCTTCTCTTTATACTAAAAGGCACAGGATCAACCCTATGTTGAATTCCAGCAGCAGCATAGCTATGGTAGGACATATCTTTCCAATACTGCATCTTAAATGTTCTGACGGTTACAATCCTACACACACTTACTTGGAAGTAAATTCCATTGAATTCAGTGGGTCTTCCAAGTAAAATACACATAGGATTGAGCTATAAGGCTGTGCTCCTGTGCCTAATTTCACACATGTAATTCCCACTGAAATGTATGGGACTTACTTAGCATTAGTGGGCACATGACTGTAACCTCTAAGATTTCAGAGTATACACTTAACTATTGTTGACTATTCAATTTTTGGACTGGTATGAAATGGCAGTAGAAGACTGCAGTAGAAACATGTAAACCTAGGAATCCACTGTAAAACCCTTTAAAAAGACACACTGGTTTTGTGCAATATAGCAAATTGATACAAAAACACTTTTAAGATGTACCTGTTAAAAGTTACAATGTTTACCATTCTGTACCCAAAGCATTATACCAAAAGGCCCACGTATGTCATCTAATGGCACTTGAAAAATTATAATAAAAGTTTTTTTTAATAATAGAAAGCATAACCTGTAAGAAATTCTCTTTTATAAGATTTAGGTTTTCTTTTTGAAAGTGCTATATCTTGTATTATGTGTAACACAGAAGTTGATCGAGCTTTAGTTAAAAAACAACAACAAAAACAGCCTACAATACATAGAGCTCACTAGGCAAAAATCCTGAAAATATGTACTCTTAACATTCATTATTAGCTTAATAAAGCAATCAGGTCTGGCTCATGTTTTTAGTCAGTATATGGTTTTTGAAAACCTCTACTGCCAAATGAATAAATCACTCTATTCCACAATTCACTACTAATAAACACAAGCAAATTATATATATAATATTTTTAAAAATCCATAGCAGAAGTTTAGAAGTTGCACAAAGTATGGTGCATGATCAGCCAGCACACACCACACTCCACTCTTAAGAATTAACCTGGTAACTACAAAATAGGCTTTAACATTGACAGTTTTAAGTTGCCAATAATGACTTTGCCTAAATGATAGTCATAAAGCACTAATGTGTAAATATTGCCTACGCTGTCATTCTGCTTCCATATACTCCCACACCTTACTTCAGTGACAGAAACACAAGGTGTAGCCATCTGCTGAAGTACTAACTGAATGAGGTTCAATATCTTGTCAGAGGTCCCTACTACTATAATTTGAAGTGCACCTGTGTCTCTAATTAAAACCATCTTACAACCTGAGGGAACTGCCGTAACAACATGGAGCCTTCATATGTATTAAGGAGTACTGGAAAAACTAGTTTTTTATTTTTTTAAAAAACCAAGTTAACCAGCAACTAACACTGAAAACAGATAATATTGTCGTGACATGCTTTGTACATACCATCCCTGTCAAACACCATAAGCAATGTAGTGGTAAGCCTCTATTAGAAAATGAAAGGTTAAAACTAGTTCAACTCACTTCTGAAATGGGTGAACAGCTTTTTCAAATAGTCACCTGCTGGTGTTTCCCCAGTAACACACAAAACTACTGAGTGTGTGAAAAAAATGGGACAGAGAAGGCCAGTCCCTCAGGTACCAATTCTGAAAGGTGTTGAATTCCTTCAACATCTACCAAAACAGCATGGAAGGAGGTATACTTTTCTCATAGGACATGACTCCTTTCAAGAGATAGTATTTCCGTCTTTTCTACTACTACTACTAATCATAATCACAATTAAACAATTTTCTATTTGCTTTGTCATTTGGACATAAAGTAAGTTTGTAATATTTCCAATTTTCTTCTGATGTGTTCCTCTCCCCTCCCTTAAAATGATGGTGCTAAAAGGCTGGAAAGCAATATTGAACAAGTCATTCCACTAAAGCTGTATTTAAGCAACCTGTTTCATAGAAACTAAAGGAAGCAATCATGCAGCAGAGCTAAAGTCTACTTTGAGAAAGTCTTCTCCCAGCATATTGGAGCAGCTTGCAGAATTTTGAAACTGTATTTTCCTTATTAATACACCCCTTTTTAATGCCTTTGGAACATAAACATTTATAAAAAGTTACCATTCAGTAATAAAATTTAAATACATCAGTATAAAATAGTAAAATCACACCTGCATATTGTTCCTACGATAAAAAAGTAGGAACTAATGATACAAATATTGGGAGCCAAAGCTCCTTAATGGGAGCAACTTTTGTTTCTGTGAAGTATATTAAGGTCAACCACTTAAAACCTTGTATTCATTTACACAAATGATTGGAGATAATTATGCCAAGGAAAAGAATGTTACCAAGTTACAGCAAAACTACATTTTGCATTTATATATCACAGTTTTTCCCTCTTTTGGTTATTGGGGTAGGGAATATAAGAGGGCATTTTGAAAAGCAACAGCACTTTGACATACAGCATGAGTAGCCATTTTGTTGTTAGTTTTCCCAAACACCCTTTTATATTAGGTAAAAGTGGCATAAGCAATATGCTTTTACTTCACTCCTAAGAGTCCTGTTATTAATTATTGGCAGTGTGAAAAATCACTAGCCAAATACCCAGGCGTGGTAAGTGCGATTACCATCTGCGTTGTTACTTAGGGTGACATTATACACCATGAAATATAACTCAAGAGATCCGCTCCAATGATAATATGGAAAAATGTATTTGCCAGTTTACATTCATTTTTTGACTGTAAACTAAACATCAAATTGACATCATATGAAAAACTTTCTGTCTCGACTTCACCCCATCTTTCTGATGAGACTGCTAAAAAAGATTATGGAAAAGGTAACGTGAAAATGGATTTTATTTGATGCTTTCTGCTTACTTACTGAAGGAATTAGTCAGCAGAACTGGAAGAAGGCACTTGTTAGCAATTCCTCATTCCAGTGCAGCTTCCCTGCCCCACAATGGTTGCTGTAAATCTGGTCCGGCACAGATGGTGGGGGGGTGCAGGGGAGTTCAGGGAAACTGAAGGGGAGAAGGGAAATTGCCGCAGCAGCTTCCCTCCTCCATTCTGCTGATGGATTTCTTTCATCAGTGAATGAGCAGAAAGCATTGGATACTTAGGATACTCATTGGATACCCAGTGAGCAGTATTCAACCATGTTTGACTCAGAATAGTCCTATTGAAATTAATAGACCTAACTTAATCATGTTCTATAATTTCAAAGAGTCTACTCTGAGTAAAAACGTAGTTGAATACCACCCAATATTTTTATTTGAAGGTCAGCTCTTACATTTTGTCTCTTTTAAAACTTCCCAATCAGGCATACCTGTCTTACCAAATTATAATACTTTGTAATTGCACTTAAGCGAGAGGTTTCTTCCTCTCTATTCTTGTGAAGTTATTTAAGCGTAAGTGGTAGGTCCTTCAGACCTTTGAAGAAGACTACACATAAAAACTTTCTCATACAAGAGTAACACATTTCCTTATTTATAAATCATGATTTTTAGTTCATGAACAAGGCAAAAATATTCTGAATTTTTCACAGACATCTGTATTAACAGTAATGTTTTGTTCCTAGTCTTGAAAGTATCAAAATAGCCACAATTCCATTGACAAAGTGAATTATCAGATCTTAATGAAATTTTAAACAAGGGATACATAACTTTTAGTGGGAATGGTTTCCTTTTCCTTTTTTAAGTGTGGGTCTATTGGCAGTGAGAATACAGAGACTTAAAAAAACACACAGAGTAAACAACTGTGAATGAACACATTCAAAATATTTTAAAAGTTAATTTGAATTTCATACTGGCTTAATGAGATTGGTACTGTACAAAAGTAGATTTACAAATGACATAGTAGGCACTACATTAATAAAAGTAATCTAAGGCATTTCTACAAATAAACCTGTCACAAGGCAATTTTTCACCCTATTGGAAAGCTTGATGAAAACGTGGTAAGGTTGTGGTTGTGTTTAAACTGCTTGTGAAAGCTGCTGATAATGAATGCAAAGACCCAAGACCTATACCATTACCAGGGTCATGTGGATCTTGTGCCTGTTGAGGAAGCTGCGTCATAGATGAATGTGCTTCCTCTTGCGTGTAACTCATTCCGAGATTTCCTACAGAAACAGAAGGATTAAAAGGAGGTCCATTTACAGGTATAAAATTGAATAACTGAGAGAAGTCCAGTGATGGGGTGCTTAGAGGTTCACTAATAGAAACTGAACTTTTCGAAAGGGAAACATCCCCAGATCCATCATCTAGTGGCCCTACTTGAGGATCCAACCCTAATTTAGATGAAGACGCTTGAGAATCTTGGGACGAAGAAGGCATACCACTTTGCAGTTCCATTAAGTAACTTTCAATTTCCCCTTTCAATGGCTGCTCTTTATCAGTCATAGAAACTGTATATGAGGTAGAACTGAGTGGATATTTTAGAGAGAGCTGGTGAGAAGGATGGACAGATTCCATATCTATTGGACAAGGCATTCCTAAAGGTAATGATGTGGCAACCATTTGGTGTGCAGATGTTGAGCTCTGCATGGACTGAATCTGAGTATTGTAGAGATTTAATTGCAAAGTGTTTGTAAATGGCTTGGATGTCAGTTCACTGGAAGATAAAGACATCACTGGAAGTAACTCGTCCTTTATAGGCACAGAAACATTGCAAGGAAATGGGTCTAGTAGATCCATTGGCTCCGTTTTGACCTTCAGAAGTTCTTGGTTGTGACTTTTCTTCATATGCCGTGTTAGGTGATCCTTCCGGCCAAATCTCTGTGCGCAATACTGACAGAGGAAGTCCTTTCTTCCAGTGTGCACTACCATGTGTCTTCGGACATCCTTTCGGGTGTAAAACCGACGATCACAATGTTCACACTGGTGCTTTTTCTCCTTCACTCCACCTGATGATTTGCCTGCATGAGTTTTTAGGTGCTCCAGCAACACCCCTGTGCTTTCAAATGTCTGCAAACATACTTTACAGGTGAGGTCACCACTTGTTGCAGCATGCAAAGCCAGGTGACGCTTAAACCCAAGCTTCGTGTTGTAGTTCTTTCCACATTCTTCACACTTAAAGGCCTCTTTATTGGGATTATGTGTATGTAGGTGATTCTTTAGGTGATCTTTTCGATGAAACATTTTCTCACAATAATTACACTTGTGGGTTTTCTCAGGAGAATGAGTAGCCATATGCCTTGAAACACAGATATATTCTGTAAGTAATTATTTTGATCAAAAAGTACACGTGTTCATTTAATGGCAGCTAAATACTAAACTATTTTTTTCAAACAAATATTTTGCAAAAGACATGTCACTATAGACATTAAATGTCATACTTAAATATACCAAATCACACATTACAAGCAATTTCATTTCAATTGACATTTTAGTTTGATGTTTAAGTTATTTTAATAATCTATTTCATTATATATGAATATTTCAATTATGCCCATAGCAAAAATGCTCAATTCATACACTTCTTGGCAACATGTTTATACAACTGAAAAAAGCTTTAAACTCCTCTTTGAAAACACACACAAAGACTGAAAGATATTAGCTTGTAAAACTATGCACTATAGTTTATACTTCTACAATTTGATGTCTAAATTAACTAACATTTCCTCCCTGCAAATCAGCTGAAGTGTACACAGATATATACGTTTACAAAGCTTAAAATGGCCAACAAATGATAATATAATCTGAAAAATAAATAGAGTTTAATACCTTAGTAATTTGTACTTAGAAACAAAGGCCTTGGTGCAGTCTTGTTGTGTGCACTTGTAGGGCCTCTCTCCTGTGTGAGAGTATGAGTGAACCTTTAATTTCTCAACACTGTTAAAGGCCTTGTCACACAGTTGGCAAGGAAAGTTTTTTCTTGGTTTGGATTCACCACGCTTACGTTTCCCTGAAGGGACTTTCTGGGTATCTCTTACTTCTGACAAATCACCAGGAATGACAGTGGCCATCGCAGCCTAAACCAGGCCTTCTTGTTGGACACTTGGGAATTGCCCAACTCCACTAAATGATTTAGCTTTAGATGGCTTCTCAAGTTTCATGTGGTCGTTAAAGAAAGCAAAAGGGGACTGGAAAAAAAAATAAGAAACAACTATTTGTAACTACACTTAATTTTGAAGTTTACTTGCTATGTGATGTTTTTGAATAAAGCTTATATAAAATTAGGTTCAGCTGGTCTAATGTAATATATGTAGGCTCATTTAAGCTATTTATCACAGCTCATAATTCACTGCTCAGGATGGACAGAACCACATATGTGCTGAAACTACATCTTGCCATTCTTCTGAGGTTCTTGAGGCAATGTAGTAGTACTGCAAGAATTTATCTAAGCCTTAAATAAAAGTAACTGTTCCTATATTTCTGTAGAAAACAGTTTCTCATCTAGTATCAAATCAAAGTGATATTGCTAAGTGAGTGCCATCTACTGAAGAAAAAAAAAGCACAATTCAAAAGGAATCTAGTCTGAAGCAGCACTGTAAACTGGACTAAAAATAATGGTGCATGATACAGCACTCTCATGACTATACTACTACAGAACTTTGGGGGAAATGCAAGTATGAATAGCCTTACATAAAATTTTTTATTGCCTGCGGAATACAAAATGCCAAGGAAAAGTCCCTGTGAACCGATAACTATAATGTCTAATCTACCTCAGTGTCTTCTGACCGTATAGTTATTTATGCACAGAGACTTCAAAATACGATGATGATGATGATAATAAATGTATTCAATCATGCAAATCCTCAAACTGCATTCCAGAGTGCTATAGTCCTGAATGGTCTGTACCATGCAATTGTTCAGCATGTGTAGAAGACCCTAATATTAGCTACATAAGGATCTGACTGACAGCCAAGCTGTGGTGATTTAGTGCTCAGGAATTATATGGGCACAAGTATGTCAACATCTACAAGAGTTATCTAATCCTTGCTTTTAGTAACCATGAGCACGCTGCAATCCTCTATTCCTAACAGTACTGTTTTTCAAATATTAAAACTAAGCTGAGATAGCAAGGCCCAAGAAGCTATTAAGGAAACAGATTGGAGGCTAGATATGCAACTGACAGATACTAAAGGTTCATGAGGAAAGACAAGCATAAGCATAGAAGGTACCGTAATAAGATTTACTCAGAGGTGTAGTTTGCATGTCATGGTAAAGCAAACTATGGCTTACTGAAACCAAGTGAATGTGACGGCTCCTGGAGAGAAGCTCAGACCTGCTTTGCTCCTCCCCAGGCCTTTTAGCAGTATGGAATGGCATCCCAACTGAAGATCATGATGTCTCCTCAACCACGATCTGTAACCAAAGGACAAATCCCAGGTTCAGAAGACACACTAAGCTGAACCTTGACTCAGCTGTTGCACCGCTCTGTGCTAAAAGGTTGGGGGAGGAGCCAACATGAAGAGCCTCTCTTCTGGAGCCAACATGTTCATGCAGTTGCAATAAGCTACAGCTTGGCTTACAGTGATATGCAAACTAGGCCAGTTCCGCCTAACTGAACAATTGTCCGTAAAATATTTGGTGCTTTCAAACAAACCATGTATTCTAACGAACACCTAGTTACCATCCAAATATTTTATCTGTATATCAACTTTTGAAAAACCTGACATTGTTTTAAAAACATCCATCAGTGGATAAAAAATTAAACCTACTTCTTGGGGGACAGGGAATGGCAAAATGTATAGATTAGCCTAGCATGTTTTTTATTGTTTTATTGATTTCTGCACTTCACATTGTAAAAAGAAAAAGATTTTGCTATTCATAATTTGTGCCAATTTCTTTCTAAATGAACTAGATAAATGATATAAGAAAAAAAATACCTCCCTTTGGGAAAAGTGGTAATAATTATCGCCAGGATGTTTTATCTACATGCTAAAACCTGGTCGTAACAGATTCAGCTGGTTATTTGGGGAGCAACCCTATACAGATATTAAATTCTAGATTTTTAGGCTTGGCTACCACTACACTTTAACATAAGGAAGTTCGCAGACAGCAAGTTTCCTGTCCCTTCCACCCCCTTGCAGCCACCTGCCCTTCATGAAAAGCCTTTCTGGAAGTCATGGAAGTGGTGGTGTTCATCTGAATGCCCCTATTGTACAGCAGCCTCATCATGGCTGTATAGTCAGGACCAGAATGCAAATTTGTGTGCTCCTGTCCTCCAGAGTGAGCATCCCTAGCCTCTGATATTTAGGGGCTTCCTAAGATTGATTTTATGCCTGCATCAGCAATTTCATTAACCACACTTAGCATCAACCACAGTTTATAACCATAGTTAAGACCATTTTTTATAAAGTGGCTATTGAATATGTTGTTGCAGTTGCAATACCAATAATAGTTAGCCCAAAACTGATAGTGGGAGCCAGACCCACCTGCGAAGGCTCAAACCTTAGGGTTCAAGTTCTCTGGGAACTGCTGATCTCTCATGTACTCATGGTTAGGCCACTGGGAAAGCCCAAAATAGTTCTAAGAGCTTTTTAACAGCAGAGAGGAAAGGGCAACTATGAAACTCACAACTGACACACTATCTGGGGGTGGGGGACTACATTTTTTGATAAAATGGTACATTTTAATGCATCTTCCACAACAAATTGAATAACATACCCCTATTTGTTGTGCCAGATACTGATACTCTGAGGACGTCCTAAGTGAAAAGGAACTGAAGCTGTTCCAGTGACCAATTGTTGTGTCCCTTAATTAGCAACAAAAGCAAACAAGTGCAAGTCAAACGACAAATGAAAAATAAAGCACATTTAATTATTTGCCTGCCATCTTTCTAACCTTTCCTTATTGGTACCAATAATGCTTAATTAAGAAAATATGATGAAGTAGGAACTGGGAAGCAGAACACGCATTCCCAAAATTCAGTTGTGTATCCCTATAAAAGTCTTAAGCGAATAAACTGCAACTGTAAGTGAGCACAAAAAAATAATAAAATACAAGAAGTGTTTATGGAAATACTTAATGAATTCGGAAAGAAAGCATAACATCTCACATGGTGATTACTGCTTCATCATAATTCCGTAGCCTTATGGCATCTTCAAGCCCTATAAAAGAAGCTACACCTATAGTGAACTGCAATTTTATCTACCCACATAGATTTAGTGGCAAGATTTTCAAGGATTTGTCTCAATACAATGATGACATTGAATGAATTGTAAGGCCTTAGAAGTACCTTGGAAAAGAACTAGAACTGCTGCCTTTTGCTGTCAGAAAGTTGTGAGTAGGCTCAACCATATATGTTTGTGCATGTGTGTGTAATTGCTATACTTAAAAAAAAATGGGTGAGACTATCTCAAGACCCTACATATAGCACAATCACCTGCATCGTGGACCACAGGTAGTGGTGTGTCCAGCTGTACAGCAGGAGGGGTATGACTGAAAGAGAAAAACCAGTACGAGAAATGCTGAGCCCTTGCCCCAGCAACAGGTTTTTGTTCTTATTTTTGGCGACCAAAACCAGTCCCCCTAGCCACGTTTCATTTTGGTCTATGAGTTCAGCTACATGTAATGGATTGTGGGGCTCAAAAGCTAGGTACAATGAGTTCAGCAATCCTCTTTCACCACCTCTCTTTCACTTTAAATACACTGTGCTTTAGAGTTGCACTGCAGACCCACGTTTGAATGCTCAAGTCTACTGCTACTACATCTAGCTAAGGCCTCAAGAACATTTCATTTAAGGAGTTGAAACTATGTGCTGAATAAGAAAGATCTTTATTGCTCTGGAATCTAACCACTGAATTCATTACGATGATGCAAATGCTAATAAATTAAGTGCGGCTATGTCCTCATATAAAAGCAGTTTCAGCAGGCAGGATCCAAAGAGGCCTGTGCATGCACGTAAAGCACTTCCAAGAGTACCAGGGGTGGGGAAGTTGATCTTCCCTTACAACTGCACCACCTTGTGCTCACTGAATTCTCTTCAGAGTGTGCTCTAACCGTTAGAAGCAGCTGGGAGGAGAGAGAGGGAAAGGAGAGGGATGCATGCAAGGAGTTTCAGTAGAAAGGGAGGATCAGTAAAGCCCTAGTGCACATGTAGAGCATTGCATATGGTCCTCTGGAGCCCAGCCATTTAAATTTGGTTATGCTAGTCCTGGAGTAAATTTCTGATTAAACCACTCACTGGCTTATTATTTCTAGCTATCTAGATAAGCTAATTCAATTGTGGATGTACAGGCTGAGCAATGCAGACAGGATTTTAACATTAATGTTCAAATATTACACTTCTCAAAGACCAGCTGAAAATTTTTTGAGTCACAACGCCTATTTTCAGCTTCAGTATATTATTACTTATTCATATTTGTTCTTTCACAACTATAGGATGGATGCTACAGTTATTAGAAACCATTTAAAATCTACGTTAAAAAACAATACTTTTATATATTTTGTACCATTTTAAAAGGTGTTCATACTCAAAACAGATTTATGGTAGCCTCTGTTCAGTGCACACCTGGTGATGGATAACGAAGAAAAACCTTCAGATTTTGGTCTTAACCAGTTCCACTGACATGTCTAGGAGCAAACCAGAATCCAGTGCTTCCCATTTTTGCTGATCTGAAAAACAAAGAAGAAGGGGCTAGACATTAGTGAAGAGGTTGACTTCAGAAAACTAGATGTCAATGGGAAAGAAAAATAGCCTGTGCTCATACTTTTTATGGTATATAACAATAATTAACAGTAATCATGATCCAGATTTTCTGCAGGCAGAGAACAATGTATCTTGTCTCTAGACAGGACTAGAAGACAGTAAGTCAGAAGAGGAGATAAGCTAGAAAGCTAATATAGTCTTCCCCCACCCTTGGTGCTAAAACAACAGTGTTGCCCAACAGTACACTCCTCTTTCTGGCTGCATGCATTCTTCTAGTCTTCAGCAGACTAACAGCACCAGGAGCAGTTCTGCACATAGGATCCAAGTAACTGAATGTGCCCAGAGGAAGAATGTTCTGTGAGACACTGCCATTACATGAGCACCAAGAGGGATGACAAGTCAGATGTAATCAATCTTCACTACTCTTCTTGTTTGCGTCCTCATTCCCTGTTCTGCTCCTTCCCTTTGATTCACTCACTTGTTTCCAGTCCTTTGCACATGGAATCAACATGCTTTACAATGGTCAATGCATACCAGCTTACCATTACTTTTTAATTTAATGCACATAACTGATAATGGTGAATTTCAAAAGGTAGTAATTCCATAAGCAACGGCAATACCATAAGCCAAATAACTCCAAAGATGAGAGTACAAGTGGGAAATTTTGGAACAAGATGGAGACAGACTAAAATTGCAGAGCTTTGAAAAATTGAAAAATAAAGTGCGAGATTGGCTCCATTATTACCAAATAATGGAGGCATACAATTTGGACAAAAAAGTTGGTTTCCAGGTGGAAAAATCAAAATTGGAAACAGAACTGTTAGATCCAAAAATCAAGAATTTGTCAAGAATGTATAACTTGCTGTTGAAATGGAACACTCAGGATGAAACGGTGAAATGGATGAAGCTATGATTAAATGGGCACAAGATGTTGGACATAATATAATGATGGCTGACTGGGAACAGTTATGGACCACAGGTATGAAATTCACGGCATGTAATGCCCTAAGAGAAAATTTAATGAAAATGATTTATAGGTGGTACATGACACCAGTCAAGCTTGCAAAAATTTACCATTTGCCCCACAACAAATGTTGGAAATGTAATGAGACTGAAGGTACATTCTTTCACCTTTGGTGGACATGCCCAAGGATTAAGACATACTGGGAGATGATTTATAATGAAATGAAAAAGGTATTTACATCTACCTTCCTGAAGAAACCAGAGGCCTTTCTCCTGGGCATAGTCGGCCAATTGGTGCCAAAGAAGGATAGAAGCTTTTTTATGTATGCAACAACAGCAGCAAGAATACTCATCGCGAAGTATTGGAAGACACAAGATTTACCCACCCGGGAAGAATGGCAGATGAAGTTGATGGAATTGGAATTATATGGAATTGGCGGAAATGACTGGCAGAATCCGAGACCAGGGAGAAGAGTTGGTGGAAGAAGATTGGAAAAAGTTTAAAGACTATTTACAGAAATACTGTAAAATTAATGAATGTTAGAAAAATGTTGGAATGAAGTTATATGGCTTTAGTAGAAATGTTATAAGGAATTAAGTATAAATAGATTAATAGAGTATTAAAGGAAAAATAAGGTTAGAATGTGTTAAGATAATTATAGGATAGAAAACAGAGGAAGATGGAAAGGAATTGCTGAAACAATTAACAGAAGTGGAATACAAAAAGGGAGGTGTGAGGAGGTCGTGGAAACAAGTGAATGAAAGATGGGATATTGAAATTCTTTGATTTATTTTACTGTTTTTGTTTTGTTTTGTTAGTTTAATGTGTTTAATGTGTCAATGTTATGTAGTGTTTTTGTATTGTATTGTACTGTTTTTGTAGTGTTTAAATTGTTGGAAAAGTAATAAATATTATTTAAAAAACAAAAAACAAAGATGAGAGTACAAGTGTTTGAGTTCCACTTTGAGGTGTGGGTGCATGCATGCATATGATTTGAATGAAGAAGTATCAGTTAGAAGAATAGTTAAGCACTCTTCCCCCATCCTGTCTCTTCACCAATCATACATGTCCCTGAAGTGGGGCTTCCAGTTATGAAAAGGGATGATGGGCAGCCATTACACGCACTTATACATAACTTGCTCCATCGTCTGCAAGTATGAATTGCAATATGGATCAAATTCAAATTCTTTTTTAAAAAAATAAGGATCCACCTTATTTCTTTAATTTTAAGTACTGTTAAACTGTTTTAATACAGTGGTGCCCCGCAAGACGAATGCCTCGCAAGACGGAAAAACCGCTAGACGAAAGGGTTTTCCGTTTTGAAGTTGCTTCGCAGGACGAATTCCCCTATGGGCTTGCTTCGCAAGACGAAAATACCTTGCGAGTCTTGAGATTTTTTTCGCTTCCACTTTATCTAATCTGCTAAGCCTTTAATAGCCTTTAATAGCCTTTTAGCAGCTAATCCCCTAAGCCTTTAAGCCTTTAATAGCCGCTAAACCGCTAATAGCGCTAATAGCGCTAATCCGTCAATGGGCTTGCTTCGCAAGACGAAAAAACCGCTAGACGAAGACTCTCGCGGAACGAATTAATTTCGTCTTGCGAGGCACCACTGTACTGTGTTTTAATTGTTGTAACCTGCCCTGGGACTTTGGGTGAAGGGCTGCTAATAAACTGTAGCAATAATAATACAAACAAAACAATTTCTCAATCCATTTACATTAGAGAGAACAAATTGACAAGACAAACAATGTTACTTTTGATGTGTTGGACAAAGATTAGCTTTAAAATGAAAAGATTACTGTATTAGTTTCAAAGGCCTATTCACATATAACACTAAGCCATGGGTTATATAGGCAAAGTGTGATTTGTTCAGCCATTCGAAGCATGCCCAGCAGACTAACTATGGTTAGACTAACAAAGCCATGGTTTGTTGTTGGCATATGAATCATGATTTGTTTTTAACTATGGTTTGTCATTATGTCTAAATCCTGCAGCCTCACCTAACCATGGTTTGTTTGACAACCCCACCTCAGACTCTCACCAAAAATGGTCATCCCACCATAGATACAATCACAAAATATTAAACTATAACATGCAATCTAAACAGTTTTAATAGGAAGCAACAAAAAACAGAGCAGACAATGTCTGGGAAATGTTAGAAGTACTAAAAGAAATAACTTATTTATTTCCACTGGGAATGGGCTAGGAAATTATAGAATACAATCAAGAAAACAAATCAAAAATATAGTTACTGTTGAATTCACTATTGTTTACTTTATACAAAAGAGATACTGTTCAACATTTATGCATTGATATTGTGTATGACTGACTCAAGAATAAGTTATGCACAATATTAGAGAGTATTCTCTCTTCCCACAACTTAAAATAGAATGAAAACAGCACTTATCAAAGCGAACACTTCCATTCAGACAGATGTTCCTATTCTAGTTGGTTTCATATCAAAATTGTTTAATTAGGGTGAACACATGAAGACCAAAATGTAATACTTATTCCAGTACATTTTTATTAATTATTTACAAAAAAGTTTCACACATCAAATACAATTTATATGTTCACGTTAGCAATGTATTATTGTTAATACATTGCACATATTTAGTGTACTTAATAATAATGATGGTAATAATAATAATAATAACAATTTTAATATTATACCCCGCCCATCTGGTTGGGTTTCCCCACAATGCATCAAAGCCAACATTGAGATAATGGCAAAAGGTCATCAACACACACGTGTCTGTGATAAAAGTCTTGATTTTTTTTAGATTTTTGCAGGTGTAGTACTACTATCTGGCACCAGCACAGCCTGCAAAAAGCAATCTCACTGAAGCTACTATTCAGGAGACATCCCAGTCCTCTGGACAGGCTTTTCAGAGAATCATAGAATTAGAGTTAGAAGGGACTGTGAAGGTCATTTAGTCCAACCCCTTGCAATGCAGGAATCTTTTGACCAATGTGGTGTTCAAACCCACAACCCTGAGATTAAGAGTCTCCTGTTCTACCAACTAGCTACAGTAAGGAACTACAGTGAGAAGAGGAAAAAGAAAAACTCTGTTTTGTGAGGTTCCTCCCACATTTGGTTATCAAGATAAAAACACAGTGCCCTTTTCTCTCTCTCAAAATGATAACATTGTAAAATGAAGTGTATAATATCAAGTTGTGATTTTATATCTAAATAATCATTTCCCTCACCCCAGTGACACTTGCACTTTGTTTGGATATAACTTTTAAACTACAGGGGAATCCCCACTTACACGGGCGTTCCGTTCTGGGACGCACACAAGTGGGGATTCACCCATTCTGCCCTGCCCTTTTTTATCGCCATTTTTGGCACGTGTGTTAGCAGAAGCACACATGCTGATTGTGCGCAAGTTGGGAGACATCTGTATATTACTGAAGTTGCTTCTTAATCAAATATTTCAGTTTATATTTTTTTGGACATATTTATTAAGGCATATTTCTGCAGGGTTTTTTTGTTTTGCTTTTAACAGACTGGATCAAATGCCAGTAAGTTTATAGAACCATAAAGTTTTCCTGTTCAAAATATTCCAAAACAACCCACAACACTGGGCATATAAGAGTATTAACAGACTTGTTAGATCAGATGAAGTCTAGTGCAGCTTTGTTTTCAATGGTGACTAGCCAGATGCTTCTGTTCACAATCAAGACATGAATATGATTCTATTTCCCACCTGCAGGTGTCCCTAGCATCCAGTATGGAGAGTTATACTGTCTCTGAACATGTGGGTTTAGATATTATGGCTGATAAGAGGTACCTTCAATTCACAGAGCTGTGGTAGAATTCTAAAAAAGATCCATGTAAAGGTGTGGTTAGGGGTAGTTTGACAGGACTGGTAGGGTTTATAGCATTCCCACTTCTGGGAGGCATCAGCCATCCCTGCTTGTAAACGTGGGAATGCACCTATAATTATAAACGTGAATAAAAGTCAATATACAACCTAACTAAGAGCTCATCCACTTGTTCTGTGTCTAAAAAAAATGGGGCCGGTCTGAGTGTTATTCTGCTGGTCCCGTGCTTTCTAGGCATGGGTCTGAATGGCTGTGTGTTTGCCCCCCAGCTTTTGCCTAGAAAACACACTCTTGACTGCTGAATCGGAAAAAACAACAATCCACAGAAAACCCAATTGCAATTTGGTCTGATTCAGTGGTAAACTGTGGGTTTCCCTGGGGAAAAGCAGCGGGACAAATGGAGGTGTGGATGAGACGCTAAAAGGCATCATGATATGATGCGTCATGCTTGGATGAAGGAGACCAGAATCCTAAATCAGTTCTGTAGTCCATTTAAAGAATGAAATATTGTGCCCATTTTTCGGTCAAACACACCTGACCAGATTTTCTAAGCATAAAAGGAATCATCCTGAGGAATACCGGAGTACATATGTAATAAAAGTTTGTTAAAGCAAAAACATTAAAAATAAAAATAAAAAAAAACCTTCACCCACCTTTCAAGCCAGACATGTAAATAACCACTTGCCTAGATATGTAGCAGCTCACAGGCAAGTGGGAACTCAGAACTCTTGATCTGCAGTACATCCACATCTCGTGTCTAGCCCTTTAAAAATAAAATAAAATTCCATCGCAGAGGGCTGAGGAAACTTTACACTTTCCAGGTATCAGAACCCAAAAATGCCTTTTACCAGTCCTGTCTGGTTCACCAGCTACAGCTTTTCTTGCACACTGATAACTTAATAATAATAATTTATTACTTATACCCCTCCCATCTTCCCAGCTATTCTGGGCAGCTTCCAACAAAATATTAAAAATACAATAAAACATCAGACATTAAAAACTTCCCTAAACAGGGTTGCCTTCAGATGTCTTCTAAAAGTCAGATAGTTGTTTATTTCCTTGACATCTAGTGGGAGGGCATTCCACAGGGCAAGTGCTACTACCAAGAAGGCCCTCTGCCTGGTTCCCTATAACTTCGCAGTGAGGGAACACCCAGAAGGCCCTCGGTGCTGGACCTTAGTGTCCGGGCTGAACGATGGGGGTAGAGATGCTCCTTCAGGTATACTGGGCTGAGGCCATTCAGAGCTTTAAAAGTCAGCACCAACACTTTGAATTGTGATCAGAAACGTACTGGGAGCCAATTTAGATCTTTCAGGATCGGTGTTATGTGGTCTCGGCAGCCACTGCCGTTATATGCGTTGGTAACCTAAAACTACAAACATGAGTTTGACCAAACTGCGGGAGGCAGTGGAAGACAGGAGTGCCTGGAGTGCTCTGGTCCGTGGGGTCACGAAGAGTTGGACACGACTAAACAACTAAACTGTTGGGATACTGCCAGGGAGACAGAGTCCATCATGCCCCCACGCCGATGCCGGACAATCCATCGATCTCCCGTAGATACAGTATCAGTCAATTAGCGACATGAGCTTCCAGAAATAGCTTGCCACATTCCAGAGCTGGTGCACGCTCTTATCAGCAGAGTTCGCACAGCAAAAGACTCACTCAGGAGAGCATATTTACAAGTTTATTCAGCGTTGGTCAGAACAAAGAAAAAACATGACTGCCTGCTTCAGTGTCTCAGACACAGAGAGAGAAACGAAAGCAATAGACAAAATATAAACTTCCTGTGAACAGGAAATACGCAGACTCTGTGACTCACAAAGCCTGCTCCCTTTTAAGGTGGAACAGAAATATCCTAACATCCTCCCCCTTTCCGTGTAACCTGTAGTACCTGTGGTTCAACCCAATTGCAACCTCTGTACATAAACCTTAAGTTGTTCTCTGTTAACAACCTTAGACAACAGATCAGCAGGAATTTCATTTCCTGCCATGTAGGACACCTGAATGAGTCCTTTCTGAATACACTCTCTTGCACGATGTAGTTTAATCTGCAAGTACTTGGTTCTTTGCTTGCAGCTCTCTGAGTTCAGCAAAGCCAAACAGGATCTATTGTCTTGATACACTTGTATAGGACATTTCACAGAAACTCTGATGTCCTTAAACAGTTGCATCAACCATTCACAATCCATGAGGGAAAATGACAGAGCATTGAGTTCTGCTTCACAGGAACTTAGGCTTACTGTCGTCTGCTTCCTGCACAGCCAGTCAAACAGACAGTGGTTGTACATGTAGCATACTCCAGAAGTGCTTGTACCATCCGTGGTGTCACTTCCAAAACTAGCATCTGCAAAGATTTCAAGACCTCCAGCCTTCTGACTGGTGAACCTCAGCCTGTAGTGCAAAGTCCCTTTCAAATAGCGGGCTATGCGCTTCAGAGCTTTCCAGTCCTGAACAGTAGGATTGTTAGCATGTCTGCTAAGCAGGTTAGTGCTTACAGCAATGTCAGGTCTTGAACATCTAGCAATGAAATTCAGCTTGCCTAGAATGCATCTGTACAGCGTAGTGTCAGAAAACGCTTCAGCAGTACTATCTACCTGGTAACCTGTCACCATCGGTGTGTCTGCTGGGTTTGCATCAACCAAATTCAACCTGGTTAATACATCAGCAATTTTCTGTGTTTGGTGTACCAGAAAATTACCTGCTTGGTCCCTCTCCACCTGCAGAGAAAGATAGTTGGATACCTCACCAAGATCCTTCATGTCAAAGTGCTCCTTCAGCTGAGCGAGGGTGCTTTGGTACAAAGCCTGATTCTTCCAAAACATCAGAAGATCATCAACAAAACATAAACAATACAGTTTGTTTTGCCCCTCCTCCTTGACAAACACACATGGATCAGCTTTGCCCTGGTGAAAACCTAAAGAAAGCAATGTCTCATTGAGTTTTGTGTTCCAACACCTGGCACTCTGCTTGAGACCATATAAGGATTTCCGAAGTTTACAGACCATTCCCTTCTGTATCTGCATTCCATCAGGTGGAAGCATAAACAGCTCCTCCACCAAAACCCCGTACTAAAAAGCTGTATTAATGTCATGATGGGAAACATGCAGTTTCTCCTCTGCAGCAATCTTGAGCATCAGCCGAATGCTCTCATACTTGACGGTGGGTGAGTAGGTCTCGTGGTAATCCTGTCCTGGTACCTGTGAAAAACCTCTGGCAACCAGTCTGGCTTTGTGTCTGACAACCTTGCCATTCTGGTCTGTCTTGGCCTTGAAGACCCATTTGCTGCCAACCAGTCTCATTCCTGGGACTACCGGTACCAGCTCCCAAGTTTGGTTCCTATTCAAGGAATCAACTTCAGCCTTCATGGCATTAAGCCAAGGCTCAGCATCTTTAGAGGTTAACTCCTGAACCTCTTTGAAGCTTGAAGGTTCCCACACCTTCTCTGAGCTACTAAGAACAGCAGTTGCTGTCTTAGCAAACTCATCAGCAAATCTCTTTGGAGGTCTGCTTTTGGTTGCCCTTTCAGATCTGCGTACTAGACGCAAGTCTTCTGGACTCATCTCCTCCTTCTTAGGAGAAAAGTGGCCAATGGTGAACAGTGGTTCTTCCAGTTCATTGTCAGACGCATCAGATGGTCTGACTGAGGCCTTTGCGCTCTTGTAGTCTGCTGTGTCATCACTGTCGCTGACATCAGCAGCAGCGCCGCCCACTGAGCTGGAATCCGAACTCTGATCATCATCATCATCCTCAGCTTCCTCTTCTACCTCAACATTATCTGCTTTTTTCACATCACCTTCATCCTCCTCTGGGTAACTCTGGAAAATTTCCACATTTCCCCCCCACTTAGGATTGTACTCAACACTCTTTGTGAACTTAATGGACTTAGAATCAGTCATCCATACCCTGTATGAACCTTTTTCGTACCCCATGAATAAACCATGTGCCCCACGCTTCCCAAGCTTGTTGCTCTGTGGGGTGTGTACCCACATGTCAGAACCAAAGATTCTCATGTGCTTGACGTAAGGTTTCTTACCAAACATCTTCTCATAGGGAGTACAACCAATAGGTGATGACAGTCTCCTGTTATAGGAATAAACGAACGTTGACAAAGACTCCCCCCAAAACTTCTCAGGAAGATTGGCATCATGCAACAAGGTTTTTAGGCCTTGAAGCAATGTCTGGTTTGCTCGCTCAGCAAGTCCATTTTGCCATGGCGATCTAGGCGTTGAGAGGTCATGCTGGATTCCCTTCTCAGTCAGGAAAGCTTCAAACTGCTGAGAAGTGAACTCCCTGCCTCGATCAGTAAACAAACAGCCGATACGTTTACTGTGAGCATTCTCCAACCAAGCACAGAATGCCTTGAACCTAGGAAATGCTTGCGATTTCTGCTCAAGCATAAACACATGAATGTACCTGGAAAAAGAATCAATTAGAACCATGAAGTACCTTGCTCCACCCAAAGAGGGCGCAAGTGGACCAACCAGGTCTGCGTGCACTAGCTGGTAGGGTTTGGAAGCCTGCCTGCTAGACTCCTTGCCTTTTGGAGCAACCTTCACCTTGTTCTCTGCACAAGATACACATTTCATGTGAAACTTACAGGGCTTGATATTCAAACCCTGAACCAACTCAGGCATCTTGGCCAGTGCCTGCCAAGACATGTGAGTAAACCTTCTGTGTGCCTCGTGAATGCATCCTGCATGAAGAACTTTGTTAGTTTGTGCAACACAACAAGAATCAACATTTGACACAGCAACAGCATTGTCATCATAAGTTATACAGAATAAGCCATCCATAAACTTTGCATGCAGAATGTCCTCTTTGCCTTTCCTGATGACACAGACTCTCCTCTTGAAGGAAACCTCAAAGCCACGCCCAGTCAGCTGTGGGACACTGAGCAAATTGTCTGCAGCACCTGGAACATAAAGTACATCTTTGATGGTTGTGTGCAGACTTGCCAGTTTTACAGTCCCTTCTCCTGCGATTCGCAACGTCTTTCCATCAGCCTGGTGGATCTCTCCGTCTTGAGGTGTGAAGGAGATAAACAGATGCTTATCTTTTGCCAGATGGCGGGTGCATCCCGAATCAATAACAAATCTGGCCTTGGCCTTTGGAGCAGCTTTTCCAGCAAGCAAAACCTTGTTTTCCACCGGTGTGGGCTTTTGCTGCTTCCCCCCTGCTCCTGGCCATCAAACTTGCCTTCGGCTTTTGGAGAAGCAGTGCCAGCAAACAAAGCCTTGTTTTCCACTGGCTTGGGTTTTTCACTCCCCTCTGCTTCTGGCCATCTGCAGACATCTGTCTCTGTTTACTTCTGGCCTTCCGGCCTTGGTTCTCACGAGAAACAGAGCTCTCAGCTGCCGACTCCTTGGCTCCCCCTGGAGGCTGGAATGCTGCCTGGGATGACATCACAGTCAGCTCCCCCTGCAGCTTGCAACCAGGCCCTCGGCATCCCTGCAAACATTTTCATTCTGGGAAACAGCCAGGACCTCCGATGCAGTCAAACTCTGGGCTGGGATGACCGGCAGATGGGCTACCTTCAAAGCATTCCACATCTGACGTGCAATCGTGTTGCCAGCTAGCGTAGCAATTTCCTCCAGAGAGACGGACAAGACAATTACGTCTATGGCCCTTGAATTTTGGGCCCTCCATCTATCTGTCAGAGGAACTGGAGGGGCTTCACACACAGTATGCCACACTCCAAACTGTCGCAGCAAACTTTCACAGCAACTTGCCGAAGTCTCATAATT